TTAAACCAAACTAAAATGATATCTGTTTTGCTATGAAACTGGTAGTTACGGTAGTGTTGTATGCTTGTTCAACCTAGACTAAGCGTGTTTGTGGATGCATTGTGGTTCTGTGGTTCACGTTTTTCCTTACCACTGCTAGTATAAATTATTGAAAGGATGGGTCTAGATGATAGCTATCTTAACTTCTGTAATAGCAACTGTTGGAACTTAAATACTAGGAGGATTTGAGTTTAACACTAGATCGGTTTTGTGAAACACTATAATTTGAGTATGTCTACATACATACTGTGAATATTGTTTTAATGCTTACATTATCACAATTAGTATCAACTGTGGAGGTTATGATTTTGTGATACATATCCTACATATCTGTATGTCATTTGTAAGGTGTTAAATGGAAGTTTTAATTAATTCTGTCTTTATATCAGACTAAAGGGAACAACTTAAATTGGGCATATATATGTTGTTGTTGTGACCCTGTTTACCAATGCTTATTTTATCACTGCTAACATTGAATGTTGGATGTTGGAATTTAGTTGATATATACTTGATTTATTGGTATTATTGACTACTGGAGGATTGGAAAGTAGGCATCGGTATGGGACGGTGGCATACTAAGGATGGGTTTGATTTTTAAAACAATACCATTACCCACCTACTTGGAATAAGGATGGGATTAACTAAAAGTTAAGTCCCGTGGATTTGTATTGTCATGGTAACTACTTGTTGAGCGGCAATACCAGGGATTTTGGATGGATTTTATATATGTACTGTTACGGTGCCTCAGTATGAGCTTGAGCTTCAGGTTCGATGGCTAGGGAGCGTATATGCATCGGGATGTGTAGCTGGCTACGATGGTTGGAGGTGTACCCTGTTTAGGTATAGGTACATATGCCCACTTCGTGTGCGTTTTAGCATGTTACCTCTATTCAGGTTGAGACCGGCCTGTAGTCCAGTGAGAGTCCTTTAGTGTGACTATATATATATATTTACGGACTATTAGCTATTGTTGAATTGTTTAGGATGTACATGCGTATCGGGCCTCTGTTTGGATTGTAGTAGTATAGAACTTGCGCGTGGGCCTGACCCACTTCTATTTTTCAGGTACACGACAGTTCCAGGCTTAGACGTGTTCGTGCTGAGCAGAGGTCTCTATTTACTCTTTCGACGATGTAGGGCTCTCTCTATAGTTTTATTTCTGGACGTTTATTACAGTTGTTCTATCTTCCGTTTGGATGTTTAATAGGGGTCCACTAGAGATGGATTCCCAAGTTGTAAACTGATGGAGTTTTGGAGTTTGGGTTTGATGGATTTTAATAATTATAATATTTTGCGGATTCTATTTTTAGTTCCTTCCTGCTTTAATTTCATTTCTTAATTTATTTTGTATTCCGTGTTCATTATAAAATATTAATTGTTTGATATTCCCTCGGGTTTGGGCCTGGGCCTGATCAACCCGTGTCTCGGATCCTAGGGGTATCTCAATTGATATCAGAGCACTCCAGGTTCAAGTGTCTCTAGGATGTTTTCGTATTAAGTCTTCCACGTAGTGTTTTCTCTTGAATAGAGCTTAAATTAGGATTCATTGTATTCCTTATGGTTCGTATAGAAAGGGTACTGACGTCTATCTTTTCGTGTTAACAGATGGTTAACGCTAGAAATGGACAGAACATGCAAGGAACTAGGAAGGAAAGGAGAACGGCACGTAGGCAACAATATCTCCTACGGCGTCAGCAAATGGAGGAAGAGCAGCAAAGGCTTGGGTTTCAAGATGACATGGATCAGTTTCAGGAGGAACAGGAGAATGTTCAACAGACTCTGGACCAGGTCAGAGATCCAGAGATTCCTCCTCACCTCAATGACCTCGTTGCTCAGGCTATAGAGGCTGGGGTAACAACTGCACTTCGGAATCAGCCTCAGGTACAGCCGGCACCTGTACCAGCACCAGTGGTTCAGACGGATTCTTGGGGAAAGGCTAGGAGCTCTTTCACAAAGGGGAGTCCACCTATGTTCTCAGGCTTAAAAAATTGTCAAATTGTCACTAATCACAGGTTCAAAAAATTGTTATATATTTCACAGTGTAGTAAATTGTTTATATAATTCTAATTTTTAAATCACAATTCAATGCTACTATATTATATACGAATCATGCTGCTATCAAGTACCAATTGAAGAATGAGATTGCAGCGAACCCAATAAAAGAAATGATTTCAAAAATCAAATAAATACACAGATCATCTACATTATATAAGAATTAAAAATAGAAATTAAAAATTTAAATCCACACAGCGCAAAGGAACAAATTCATAATCTATGTGGAGTCATTAGAATCTTAAATTGATTTATCAGGGCCGATACAAATGCCTGTAGTCTCCTTTCATAGGAATTGCCTAAAATTTTATTTATTGACTTTGGAAAAAAATTACAAAAAATCATCAGAAGTAAATTGAATTAACCAAATCAAATCATATAATTCAGTTCCTATCGATTTTGAATTTAAAAATTAAAATTATTGATAACAGTTCAATTTCAATTTAAAGGACTTAGACGAACCAATGGAACCTTTAGTATAAATTAAATATATATTTGCATATAAGTAGCAGTATCATTTGTAGATCAGTAGGGTTCTAAATCAGTAGCAGTTGCATATCATTTGCAGTTGGAATATTTCAAGGATAATTAGTTACACACACACACACACACACACACACACACATATATATATATATATATATATATATAGAGAGAAAGAAAGAGGGAAAGAGCACCTGAAAGATCCTGTTGACAAAATCAATAAACAGAATGAATCACCAACAGAAATTTGCAGGGAAAAAGCTTCGTTCCGTGGTTGCGAAGAACTCTGAGGTTTCAGATTCGAGTCACACAAATACATAAAAGGGAGAGGATTGAGATGAAAACCAAGTACAGGAGGATTGATCGATCTGTAGCCTAGCAACGAAGTTGTAAGGAAAAGGAAGAAGAATCGCCCATGAAATTGCCTCCAAAGACCTGCGCGAAGAGAGGGGAAATGAGGCTGAAAATGGCTAGGTTTTCTAATATATGTATAATTTAAAGAGAAAAGGTTGAGATTGAAACCAAATACGGGAGGATTGATGGATCTGTAGTCTAACAACGAAGGTGTAAGGAAAATGAAGAAGAATCGCCCACGAAATCGGTTCTCAGGACCTGCGCAAAGAGAGAGAAAATGAGGCTGGAAATGGTTAGGTTTTCTAATATATGTATAATTTAAAGAGAGAGGGTTGAGATTGAAACCAAATATGGGAGGATTGATGGATTTGTAGTCTAGCAACAAAGGTGTAACGAAAAGGAAGCAGAATCGCCTATGAAATCACCTCCAAGGAGCTGCGCGATGAGAAAGAAAATGAGGATGAAAAATGGCTAGGTTTCTGATATGCGAATTTTTATAGTTGATATCACCACTACAGTAAAAACGAAGGGTGATATGTTTTTGGTTTGGGTTGATATGGCCGCTACAGTATATCATATCACCCAATATCACCAATTATTTTATATGGGTTTTGGCCCAAATCTGATAATGTTTTTATACTATTTAATACCACATTAACCCACTCCAAACATGATATTGTCCCAAAAACCAAAACCAAAATATCAGAATAATAGTCCAAACAGGCCCTTATAGTGCAAACTAAGCAACGCCGATCGTTGGACATCTCCAATTGAAGCACTGAATGAAAATGGACATGCCATTACTGATGTGACTACTTGGGATCTCCTTTTGTTATCAAGTGCTTGAATATCTTGTTGTGTTACTTGTTTAATCTAACTCGGAGCATGTGTTGATCAGTACACAACTACAGTTCACGCAAGAAACTTCTGTAGTGGGCCTTGCGTGCTAACATGACACTTGTTTTGTCGTTTTTGATTTTGGTTTCACAAATATGGTGGTAAAACTATGGATCCCCATTCTATGCCTAAAGACTAAAATCCCAATTTGAGTGCAAACACTCGGGCCATGAAAATTTTAAATATAAATAATCAAATGGAAAATAAATTTCTGGTAATCACTCCCTTGTCCGCTTATTGCAATGGGTTAAATAAAATATCATACCATTTGCAATAGACCATTTGCAGTAAAAGAAAATTAAACTGTTGAGTGAGCTGTTTATACCATACTATGTCCATTCGTATCAAATATATCCTACAGTCGTTAACCCCACTCACTGCCTATGCCTTAGGCCATTTACACCAGCCTCTCCAGATTTTGACTCTCTAAAAACGTCACATCAACTATTCCAAGAGCCACATCAGCAATTCCAAGAGCCACGTCAGCAGTTTTCACTCTCCAGAAACATGCACTCCATCAGGCTCTCCGAATTTTCGCTCTAAAAAAAAATAATAATAAAAAATTAAAATTAATAATAATAATAATTATTATTATTATTATTATTATTTTTTTTTAACTTTTCCTAAATGGCTATATTTATAACGGCTATATTTTTAACGGTTATATTTTTCATCTTATATAATGAAACTCATTTGCTCATCTGAAAATCATCACTATATTCATCTCTCTCCATTGTAGCAAAATACCATCATCCATCTTTTTCAATTTCGAAATTCGAATGGCTTTGTCATCACAAGCTTTTCTTTTAGCAGATTATAATTCTTTATTTTACTCGTTATCCTCTTCAGAATATGATCCTTTTAGGGCGTTGATTCAATAGGATCAAGACGAATTCTATGAGATTATGAATTCAGTGAGGCCACAGATAGTTGAGCAAGTATTTTAAGTCTGTAAAAAGAAGCGGTACATTCATCATGACCGAGAAGGAAACCACTGTCAGCTAATGAAAGATTACTTCAACGAGTATTGCACATATCTACCGGAGTACTTTCACAGGCGATTCAGGATGCGACAATAACTTTTTCTTTATATCCTTAATGATGTCAAAGCTTATGACTATTTTGTCCAAAAAAAGGATGCGACTGATCATCTGGGGTTGTCTTCTATACAGAAGATGACAACTGCTGTTCGTATACTCACATATGGTTGTGCAGCCGATCACTATGATGAGTATATTAAAATCGGTAAAAACACTACCATTAATTGCTTGAAGGCATTTTGTAATGCTATTGTTGCTGTGTATGCAGAGGAGTATATGCGCCCACCTAACGAAACCGACATAGCACGGCTACTTGAAGAAGGGGAGCAGAGAGGATTTCTGGGTATGCTTGGTTCTATCAACTGTATGCACAGTGGAGTGGCAAGACACACATAGAAGACAATCTGGCAAGAATACTCTCATATTAGAAACATGTTGCCTCACAAGATTTGTGGATCTGGCATGCATTATTCGGAATGCTGGGTTCACACAATGATATAAATATGTTGAATTATTCCTCGGTATTCAACGGTATCGTCAATGGCCAATTACCTCTGGTTAATTGTGTAGTGAATTGACATCATTATAGAATGGGGCATTACCTGTCTGATGGTATATACCTTAAGTGGGCAACTTTGATGCAGACCATCCCGCACCCAACCACTACAAAAGAAAAATTATTTGTTCAGCGACAAGTGGCAGCAAGGAAAAATGTGGAACGGGCTTTTGGGGTATTGCAGATCAAGTGGGCAATAACGCAAGGACCAGTGCATTACTGGGAGAAAGATGACTTGCGCTTCATAATGAAAACGTGCATCATCCTTCACAATATGATCATTGAATATGAGCGTCACGCAAATGTTGGAAGATGGACTCCGTCACCGGAGGATGCAATCCCTATTCCCACTTTAAGTCGATGCCCATCGGTTTTAGCGGCATACATATCCTCTCGCCAACTTCAGATTCGTAACAGAGAGACAAATACGCGGTTGATGAATAATTTGATGAAAAATTTGTGGAACCGCTATGCTGATGAAGATGCTTAATTTATGTTACATTTTATTTTATATTAAGATGTTATGACATTTCGTGTACTAGTATTTTTATTATGTAATGGTTTTTTAAGATTGGAATAAGAAAATAAGTATTACAAAATAATATGGGAATAAGTAGATGAATTTGTAATTATAATTATTTTTTTTTCAAAAAGTTAAAAAAAAATTATAGCCGTTAAGGCACTGTTTGTGTAAGCCAAACAGTGCCTTAACACCTAAATGCACTATTTGGCCTACACATTTAAAATTTAAAGCAAAAAAATAAAAAACTTAGTTTTAAAGGAAAAAAACAAAAAAAAATGTTTTTTTAATATATTTTGGTCTAATTTTTTTTTTTTTGGACAAACAATGCCTAAACAATATATTTTTTATTTAATGAATTTTATTTTATTTTATTTCCAAAAAAAAAGAGCTATAAATAACCTATTTTTAGGTTTTTTTTTTTTTATAAAAAAAATCTGCGGCATTGTTTGGCGCACTGTTACAGCACCTGCACAAAAAGACAAAAGAGAGGCAGCCAAACAGCACCGTTTTGAAACCATAAAAAAAAAAAAAAAAAATTACTGCGATCGCGAGACGGCTCGCTGAATACCGCGAGCCTAAATGGGCCCTACTAGTTTGAAGAAGTCGCTGCAGGACCCAAAGCCTCTCTCTCTCGAAAATTGAGTTTCGTTGGTGGGCTGCGAATGCTCTAAGTCGTCAACAAATAACCCCACTTTTGGACGGCATCCACTGCACCACCACCAACTAGGACTTAGCTCATTATCCAAAAACCAAATTGTTGGCCACTTCAATAACACAAATTGCCCAGTCACTATTTCAATCAATTGTGCTGTGGTTTACTTAAAATTTTTAGTATGCATCAGTTTTAATTTGAAAATAAATAAAAAAGCTCAAGCTTCATTTGTTTTCAAATTCAATATCTCTTGAACTAGAGGTAAAAATTACAGAAATAATGTTTAATTGCTACATCTGTGCTAGGAATAAATTTGGTGCATCCGTTTATTTGAATCGTACGTGCATAACACGCACGTGTAGTCACCTGATACCGTCTCCTGTGCTGTGCATGGTGGAGGCTGTGACTAGTCAGTCGGCTACACCTCCCACTCGGTGAAATGAGAGCGTTGTTTTGGCCACGTCAAAAACGCTCACTTAAACGCGTGCACTTTTCCTTGCATAGCATAGCAACAAAAGGAATGAAAATGCACGTTGGTGGACTTTTCTCTTTACCCTTTCGTTTATAAATGATACACCACTACCACCAAGACGATAAGGTAGAGGGCATAAAAGTAACTTCACATGCACCCACGGCGGCCGCACTGCTCTTGTAAGCGCTCCAGACCCGCCCGATCCGGTCGGACCGGCCAATCCGTTTGATCATTTTCAACGTAGTCAATACGTCACCCCCTTTTAATTACTTTTTAGGACTCCTCCAAACCCACCCCTCTCCTCTTTCTCTCTCCTCTTTCTCTCTCTAACCATCTGGACTTCGATCAGTGATCCGTTCCTGATTTTCGATTCAAATCGATCAATTGGTGGCATAGAAGATTGTACCAGAGCTTTAATTCGTCATGTCGATGTCTGATTCCGATACGTCCTCGCAAGGCAGCGAGTACAAGAACTTCAGACAAGTTACTCGCGAACGTTAGTCTCAACTCTCTCTCTCTCTATATGTATTTGTTTGTATGTTTGTTTTTGTTTGTTTCAGTTCTGGTTGAATCAAATTAAGTGATACTTAATCACTCTGTTTACGATCTATCTTCCAACCAATGTTCTGAATCCAACAAGCTACTTATTCTATGCTTTATACATGTGTTTTGGATAATCATGATTATCTGCTAGTATGCGCTATACTGGTTCTGAGAAGCTCATACATAGAGAGAACACAGATGCATAAATGTATATTTATACATGTGTATCCTTTTTGTACGGAATTCTGTAGTCTGTTGAATAATGTATAGATGGAAATGAAGGTAACATATTTCGGAAGAGAGAGAGAGGAATAGAGAATTTCAATATTATTGTGTTTGTGTCTTGTATGCTACAAGCGAATGAAGGAAAGGAACCACAAATGTGAATTTGGATGCAAAGTAGCCATCAATTTCTTAATGCTTTTGATTTCAACTAGGGTTTATTTTTGTAAGGGATCACTGAACTGACAAATTAGATTACTATTTTAGACCTAAAGACATCCAAAGTCTCCCCAATAAAGATTATTGCATGTTCTCCTACTAGATGCTCTCAAAAGTTGCGAAGTGAATCATTTTAATTCTCAGTGAGCTTGCTTAAGAATTGTGGACATAATGTAGGAATGAGAATTCAGACATGACACAAACTCAACAATATGTGATAGATTAGGCCCCTATGAGATAAGTAATGAACGAAGAGGTGATTCTACAATTATTCCAGCTCAAGACAGAAAACACATGCAGCAAACATTCACTAAAGTCCACTGTTAAGATGACTGTTGTAGTAAGCTGTGTTAGTTACAGAAATTTGGTTGGGAAGGTATGACTTCCTTTTGGTCTAACTAGAGACTACAATCAAATGGGTAGTGTTTTCCACAGGTTTTTTTTTGGGTCCCTAAGAATATCATCAATCCTACTAAATAGCCTACTGGAGAGAGCCTCCAACCATGGTGCCAAAGAGGCAAGAATGAGTAATAAAGAAAGAAGATGCAATTAGGCTGAATAACTTGCTCTTTCAACAAGTAAATCCCTCCCTCATGTAGAATGAAATATGTCTTTTCAAGCATTGAAACGTTTCTCCATTTTTTCGCCTTCTCAACCACAAGATCCTAATTGCATGTATATATACAAGATCCTAATTGCATGTATATGTATCACACACAAAATCAGCCTTCTTGGGAGACCACTACTTAACAGGAAGATTATCCAACCGGAAGATTCTCCACCCTGAAACCCAGCTTGTAGCAAGAATGGAATCATCTGATGGCAACACTCTTTCTGAAGTGATTATTGGAGTTTAGATCCATTAATGCTTGCTTGCTTGCTTTGCACATCACAAAATTAGTGCACCATTAGTAAATTGGAGACAAGATGTATAATGGACTTAAGGAGCTATAGGGAACAGTAATGAACTATTTGGAACACTAAATTTTTTTCTCCTTTGCATGTAGCTGTATTTCACTTGAAAAAACATCTAGGAGAGCACCACAAAACTTGAATATCTATTCCCTCTGTGATTTCCATTAGAAATGATGCACATAAGAGAAGTGGTTTAAACCGTTTCTCTAATGGATGATAAATCATTTTCATGATGCTTCATTTTCATAAGTTTGAAAAACAATAAAGAATTATTTAATTGCAATATGAGAAACTGGAGCACTAAAATTCTCTATTATTAGTTCTCTTTTTTATTGGGGCGCTGAAATTCTCTATTATTAGGTCTCTTTTTTGTTGGGCCCTATGTGGCCTTTGTGGAGTTTTTGCGGGTTGCATTCCCTGTTTGAACGCCTTCTATTGATACTTTACTTATAAAAAAATAAAAATAAAATTTGAGAAGTTGGAAATATAAAAATTGTAACCGTGCGCGCACGCGAGAGAGGGAAGATTCTGGAGTTATTTTCCCAACTACTAATTTTTCCTTACGTTGATTTCAACATTATATTATAAAGTGATAGTCTGTCAGTGAAATTCCCACACTTGTTACCAACATGATTTCCAATAATCAGCTCTCTGTTGAAGAAGTCCGCTGGGATTTTGACCCCACCTTAGAAAAAAAGGTGATTGGAGTAGAGAGAAAAAGAAAGGAGAACAGAATTAGGGCAACTTAAATAAATAGATTTCATCCCCGAACCATATATTTTTCTTTAAAGATGCACAAGGAGCGAATATCACATTAGTACCTTTAACAACATGCTAATTTTAATAATGTCCAAGGTACATAATTTTGTGGCACATTTGGTTGATTCAAATTTCAGAGTCAGCGAACAGATATAGGTTGCGACACTGGGAAAGTTTGCTTTGTTATTTTATTTTTCTATGATTTAGTTGTTTTATTTTATTATCTATTGTTCATAATTTCAGATACCTTCTAAGGTGTTGCTAATTAATCTAGTTTCAGTTATTGTTTCAAGTTTCAACACAACTTTGAGTTCGAGCCATAATATTCACCTGGTTTGATTGAGCTGAATGGTGGTTATGGTTTCAACCAGTTTTTGTTGGGAATTAAAGCCCCATCATTCGGCACAGCGGGAGCAAGACACAAACTAACATACATAATAACACAATATTTAATGTGGTTCGGCCCCACCCGCCCCACTTCCACACAGGGATGAAATTTCAGTAGAATGAATCAAGAATAGAATATACAACTGTAGAGAATACCCACCCAATTATAATGAATTATTGCATCTCTCTACTTTCACCCACTCTCTTGTCTTCTCACTCACTCCTCCATTCTCTTTTCTTCTCTACCTTCTCCATTCAACTCCACATCTATTTATAGAGTTCCAAACCCAATTCCTTATTAGACAAGAATTGCAATTCCTTGGAGCCCAAGACTTGTCTAACAAGAAATTACCTAATAAAATACGACTCTAAAGTAGAAACCTAATTAGACTAGAATTTGTGACATAATACATAACAATCTCCACCTTAGCTCAAATTCTCCTCGATGACCAACTCAATCTTCCTTTTTTATTGCGTTTTCTGGATCTCCATCAACCAACTCTCGAACTCCCCTAGATGAACCATGCTCTGATACCACTTGTTGGGAATTAAACCCCCTTCATTCGGCACAGCTGAAGCAAGACACAAACAAGCACACATAATAACACAATAATTAACGTGGTTCAACCGAACTCGACCTACGTCCATTGTGAGAAGAAATTCCACTATAATGAATCAAGAAGAGTATATAAAAATTGTAGAGAATGCCGACCCATTTATTGCATCTCTCTACTCTCACTCACTCCCTTCTCTTCTCCCTCACTCATCCATTCTCTTTTATTCTCAACCTTCTCCATTCAACTCCACATCTATTTATAGAGTTCCAAACCTAATTCCTTGTTGGATAAGAATTACAATTTTGTGTTGTCCAAGACTTGTTTAACAAGAAATTACCTAGTGAAATACAATTCTAAACTAGAAACCTAATGAGACTAGAATTTGAGACATAATACATAATAGTACTGTATCTCTTGATTGGGCTGAATGGCGAGACATGATTCACGTAGCCAATCCTAGACTGTTGAGTTAAGGTTTTACTCAGTTGAATTGTTATTCGCTGTCGTCTAATTTTCCTTACTCTTTTTTGTCCCTCCAAAGGTGTGGTTGCTTGCATATCTGAAAATTTTATGACACCAAAAAATTTGTGTGCAGTGAGATTTATAAAATATAAGGGTCATGTTAATGAATATTTCTCTTTCGTTCGGAGCGGAAGCTATTAATTTGTAACTAATAATTGAAAAATTGAATCGCAATAGTGGCCTGATAATTTCCTATAGGTAGCATCAATGAAAAAGATACCCGACCAGATAGAGTTTGCTAAGCTTCTTTGAGATTAATGCCACTGCTCTTCTAAGCATCATTTATTGAAATAGAGACCTCAATATTTCCTATTCTAGCCAAACCACCCATCAGAGCCATTGTTTATTATTGGTTGTTAAGGTTTATTCTAAAATTATTATTTACTTAGTACTCCTATACTGATGAGAATTTTGTGGTCCATCAAATCTCATCATTATTATCATCAACCAGAGCTTGGAATTTTATTTTCACAAACTTATGGTTCATGTTATCTTTGTTTCATATATTTCATGTCACGAGAATTAGGCCTGTTTGTGTTGATTCTTTATTTTAATAATTTATTTTGCAATTGTATCTACAGGATTACTGTATGAAATGCTTCGATCAGCCAAAACAGGGGAGTCAAAATCAACTTGGAAGGTAGTACCAACTTGTACTGGTGATGTCATTTACAATTTGTTGAATACTGCTCTTGCTTTGCTAATCATCTTGGTCACTTTTGGTGATAACTGATACTGCCATGTTTACTATTCTTAAAAAGCTGAAATGTTCAAACTTATCAAAAAAAAAAAAAAATGTTCAATGTATTTGTAATATCTACAAATGAGATCCTTATCAATACTATTTAGTCTACTTTTATGTTTTTTCACTGTTGTTGTGCTCATACATGTGTAAGCACCTATTTCCACGATCCTTGTCATAAGCCAAGTTACTGAACACATCGCTTAGGCATTAAGGCATTCCATAAATTGGTAATGGATTTTATAGAGAATTCCATGTTAGCTCTTTGACTTTTGGGAAATTAGATATGAGAATATGTAGTGTTTCTTCCTCATCCTTTCTTAAAATGAAAAAAGGAAAAATCCCTACACCTATTTATTAAAAGATAGGTAGCAACTTGGCTACGGCAGATATAAGAAAACCCAATGAAAATGTGATGCCTATGAATGATAATTGATTTTTTTTTCCCCCCCTTTTTAGATCATACTAGAAATTATGTTGTCGCATAATTGGCTTCCTGTACACTTTTGCAGCTAGTGTTTAACATTTTCCCAGTGGGAAATCTGTGGAACTTTAGATTTAAAAAGCCACCTATTTTGAGTTTATTTTAGAAATTTAAAGATAATAGGGGCACCAGCCTTCTACAATGTAAGGGGTATCTTTCAACTTATACTTGAGAAAAGAGAATTTTTGTTTCTTTTTTTATTTTTTATTTTTCTTAAAATAGATTTTGTGATGGTTGTGCTTCCCTTGCCCAATAATTCCATTGTTTGGCTTTGTCTGTGGTAGCGAAGTTAGGTGGCCTTTGTCAGGCTCTGCACTGTTTCTGGCTGCAATTTTTTTTATCAATAAAGATTTTCTTAATAAATTGAAAAAGTGAAGATTGAAATCTATACTTATTAGTCTATTTTATTCGTTATTGTCTTGTTCACAGTGGCATGAAAGTATCTTCACTTTGCATGCACATGACAAATATAAGCAATAAATTATCAATAGAAATGGTCTTTGTCATATACCTGAGGTACTCAATCAAGATGGTCATGATCACGAGTTCTATTCTTTTTCATTTTGCATTTATTTTATTTCTCTTTCCTCCCTTTTACTGTATCCCTATATCTTGTTTAGCATCCTTCTCGTCCCTACTCTACATTTCAATGGAGACTATTTTCAATGGTGTGACTCAATTTTGGAGCTAATAAATAGGGTTTTGTAAATCAAATTCATTTATATTCAAACCTATTGTAAAGATAAATGGAAGCAAAATTATGTCGGGCATTTTTACAGACTGCTGGAAGCTTTTATGGGCAAGAATGATGAGTTAGGCATTTGGAAGTAGAGATCTTCTAAGATTAAATGAATGATTGATGTTGTTTATAGCTTGTCATATTTTATTCAGAGACGTTGTGAATAAAGAGCAATTTCATGAGAGTATCTGCAGGAGGAAGATATTAAACTTGAAGTTCTATCTAGAAAACTACAGTTGGTCATTCATTGCTCGGTGGCAAGGAATGTTGGTCTTTGTTTTTGGTTGCGTTTGGTCTTCTAGCCTCTTCCATGGGTCTACGGTTGACTTGCTAGAGACTTGGAGAGGGTGTACAGTGGAGAGCCGAGTCAGAGATGCTTGGAGGGCTACTCCCCTTTATATATGGTGTGGTTTGTGGCGTGAGAGAAATAGGAGATACTTTGAGGGAGATGAGTCTCCTATTTGGGTTCTTAAGTATGGTATACTTCTTTATTCTTTTGGGTAAATGGGCGGGATTGTAATTCAATGGATTTTCTTTTGGATTTTGTTGATAGTTTAAAGTTATAGTGTTGTCATGGACGGCGGTTGTCTTCTTTGGGAGCGCTCCCCTTTTGAGCGTTTTTATGAAATCTTTCTTATATATCAAAAAAAAAAAAAAAAAAAAAAAAAGGTTCTATCTAGAAAACGTGTTGCTGGGCAGAGCCAATTTTATCGAAGGCCAATTTTATTGAAGGGACATACAAAAGATGAAAGCTGCACCATTTAGTCAGATGAATTGTTGAAAAAATGTAGTTTTTGGCTCATCTTTTGCATCATAAAATTCCAGAAAATGATTCAAATCAGGAGTAGCTTCTGTAAGGAACTGCGTTTTTTCCTTCGCTAATTTGTTGCAAATATTTTCAGTTTATAACTTCTAGCACTTGTCAGAGTTTATGAGCTGTATGACAGATATGTAGAATCATAAACTCTTCGTCATGCTTTCCGTGAAGACATAGCCACTTGATGGAATTGACTCTATTTCACATTTAGTTTTCTTCACCATGCCTTTCAGGATGCACCTTGAGCTAGTCTTAGTTTTTTCCTGCCAAAATTATGAGGCTTTCTCTCCAATTAGCCGACTCTTGTAAAACTGCCGCTGTGGACTATCGTGCTTCTAGCCTTGTTTTGTTACTGCAGTTGGTCATGGTTTTATTTTCCTCCCCAAACTGAATTAGTGCCCTTCCTAGAATTGATAATATACTTTCTTCATCATCATATTCATGAGAAGTAAACCCAATGGCTGCAACAATTATTTGGGAAGTTTTGGTTTTGTCTCTAAGAATTAATTGTACGTTTATCATTTTCTCAGCAGGAAAAGTGGATGTGCCTAAGGGTGTATGCTGAGATTGTGAAAAAATTATGGTGGTGTATGATTTAAACGAGGATGTTGCCCTAAGTAGAGGAAAGGGGAATCTGAATTCATATTGCCTAGCCCAAGACCCAAATTGCTGGGACAAACTGTTGTTTTGTGTTGAGCATCATTTTATTTCTCCTTTATTTATTTATTATATATATGGAGATTGCTTCATGGAATCTTAGTTCTGTTACTCACATATGAACAGATCAAGTTTGATACTAACAGAGAATGAACTCAATCTTTTTGGGCACGGGTGGGGGTGGGGTAAATTAATTAAAAGCTTAGCTGTCAGCACTCTGAACAATATGTGGACTTGGTTCATATGTCTATATTGGTTTATTCAATTTCTGTTTGTTACTTTGTCTTGTCGTTCTGAAAATTTTGATATGTGGGCTGAAATTGTGATGAGCTTATTGGTTTTAACTTTTAATTCTTTGCTACAAGCCTACAATATGCTTTTGCACTTAAGGAAGTGCTCCAATTTGATCTTCTTTCATTTTTGCATTTGTGTGCATTTATGTACATGCATATGGAGTTTGAACTTTAAAGCTTTTAGAGTAGAGCAATGGAAAAGGAAATGGGAGAGACAAAATAAAGAACAGGGTTTTGCTATTTACACTGGTGCGTTTCACTTTAAATTCTTCATGATACACTTAAAAATGTACATTTATTGTTTTTCTTGTCCATACATGATCTATTTAATTGTGGTTTCCTATCTCTTGTTATGCAGACAATACCATATGACATGTGCTCCTTTGTAAGGATTGCAGAATAAAGCTTATTTTGTAGTTTTGTTTCCTTACCTTGGAGTCCAACTTCCTTTTATAGGCTTTCTTAACATACAAGCAGTTATCTGTTGGGTAGCTTGCTAAGTAGTGGTAGTAGTTACTATTATTTTATTATTTATTTATTCCCATGATATACTATATTCACTATAGAAATCAGCTACTTTTAGTTGATGCAGCGACCTTTTAACTTCTCCTTTTCATCTATTTGTTTCTCTTCTAATTAATTTTTGCTCATTATTTCTATTTAGTTTCTTTTAAATGATGATGTTCTTTATTTCTTGAAGTTTTCATTTTTCAAACCTTGTCAGTTTCTGGCACTTTTACTTGTAGGTACTTATCATGGACAAAGTTACTGTTAAAATAATGTCTTGCTCGTGCAAGATGGCAGATATCACAGAGGAAGGAGTTTCATGTAAGACCTAAAAGGCTAGTCTCAGAAAAATTGGATTTCTCATTTCTTTTCCATTGCATAGTGCCTTGGAGTTTGTGCTCAATTTATTCATGTTATCATTTAAAGACACAAATTTGCAATTTATTGTATCCATGCTATGTATCATTTCCAATATTTCTTAGCTTGTAGTAATTTTTTTAGTTAGTATTTTGATTGAAAAAAAGCTGTAGTAGATTAGTAGTTGCTTTCAATGTTTTAGGAGCAAGCAACTTTTGGTTTTCTGTACTTCAAATCTTGTAGATTTCAAAGTCCTCTTTGGGTCGATTTGAGAAGTGATTTTCTGAGACAGTTGAGTCTTAACTCCTCGAACATCTGGGTGTCTCCATTATGATGGGCCTTGGTTGGTCCTGAATCTCCTGACCAAAATAGACAGTCACAGATTTTATGCAGTGTCGAGGCATCTTGGTGGAGCCTTGGCCTTGGAGACGAAGGACCATCTTTATTGGCTTCATAAAACTTCAGATAATTGAATTGTTGATGAAAGTAAGGAAAAATTAAACAAAGATTTCACTCTAAGTTGGGTGAAAAGAATTCTGGTTATTCCCAGCCATTGTACCCAATTATAAAGAAAACATGAAATGCAATGTAGTGTAGAGGGAAGGAATTAGAAAAACAAAAATTGATCTGCAAATTAATATCTGATGCTCACATGAAATGGGATTGTCATTAATTGCAAGTTGATTAAAAATCCCATTTGAAATACCTTGATAAATAGAGTGATATATGTCAATCCGTTAAGATTTTGATTGTCAAACATCATATTACCACTTGGGTGCCTAGTGCCTGATGATTTTTTGCTTAGTATCACCCTGGCATTTTTATTGTGTTTGCATAGCTACGACTTCCCTTTACTGGCTGAAAGAAGGTAGGAGGTGGTAAGACAGGCAAGGTGATTGCTTAATTGCCTTCTAAGGGACTTTCAAGAAAGAGAGAGAAAAAAAAAATTAAAAATCACGGGGACTGGTATGTTTGAAATAATGAGTTAAATAATTGTCTCAGATGGTCTCAAATCATGGTATTGGGTCACATAATGATCACGGTATACAGCATTGGGAATAATGGGAATTAAATGTCGATGTTTTGAATTATTTGACAATGTTATATGTGTTAGATTCTGTATCTCCTTATTTTGCGGATCCTTGTTCTCATTATTTTTGAATCTTTTATTTTCTTTCTAATTTCTGAGTCTAATAGGTAGTGTATTTTTGTGTATGGCTTGGTAGCAGTATGATACACCATGGCGAAGTTATCTTAGGTGGTGTTTGATTAAACTGAAAATTAAGTACTGAAAAATTTAAAAGCTGAATTTTTAATCGCTGAAGTTTTAATTTAATTGTAAATTGAGAACTTCTTTAATATATATTTTTTGGATTTTAAGTGTTCAACGTTTAGTGATAAGTGATATTCAGTGATAAGTGAAGTCACTGTCACTTCAAATTTTACCTCATTTTAAGTGGTACTTAATTTTTTTAGTGACATTTATAATTTGTTACCAAAAGTACTTGATTGAATAAGCACTTAATCTATGCTGAATTAAGTGCTGAATTGGGTTATCAAGCAGCACCTTCGTTCCCCTTGAATCCAGTGTTGTTAAAGGCGTGCCCAGGCTCATGCCTAGGCTCGAGGCTCAGGTTTAGCGCCTGTTGTCATCCCAGGCTCATTGATGTATACTAGGCGCGCACCTCGGTTGCACCTTGTCCTGTTTGTGAGGCGCGCCTCACTCATATTTGTTTAAAAAAATACGTTGTTCTATTTCTTAAGCTAGAAAGTGTACTTTTGGCAACTTAATAAATAAAAAAGAAATCCTAAACATATGATAGAAGGAACTTTTGTACAAAAGAATAAAAAAATAAGAAAGCCCAAGAGTCAAAGTGTTAACCGAACAACAATAGAATGAGATTGTGAGACGAAGACGAAGCCCTAGTTGCAGAGATGAACGACGAAGCCATTTCAATTCTTTCTTCTTCTTCTTCTTCTTCTTCTTCTTCTTCTTTTTTTTTTCTCTCTAGATCTCCGCTCTCTTCTTATCTTTGTTTACATCTCTCTCTTCTTCTAGTTCTCTTCTCTTTGTGTCTTTTATTTATTTTTTTTGGCTCTGTTTTTTCTTTTCTTGTTAACAATTTTTTTTTCTTTTCTTGTTAACAATTTTTTTTTTTTTTTTTTTAACATATTTATTTCTTTTTGTGCTTTGTTTTGCCATTCAAAAAAACACATTTTGCTTTGCCTTTCAAGAAAACAAATGTATGCTCTGTTTTATGGTTGTTGGATGCTTGTATAGTTGATGGATTTACTTTTTTATATTTGATATTAATTTTTAGAATATTGATATGACTTATGAGATATGAATGTTATGGTTGTTTAAAATTTCAATTGTGCACCTCACTTCACTCAGGCGCGCGCCTCGCCGTGTGCCTCGCACCTAGGCTCCAAAGGACCTCTAGCTCCTTGGTTTTTTTAATAACACTGCTTGAATCAGTAATGGATGCTGCAGCTTCGAATTATTGTCTGAATGCATGTTGATCTGCATTAATTACTAAAAGCATGTAGTTTCATGACACAAACAACATAAACTATTTTAAGTTTACGTAGTTTTGTTCATTAGGGTTCATTAAGAGGGAACCCATGTCAATCATGCAACTTGAGACATTTTCATCTCAAGTTTGTGAATTTTGAGAATCATATAGTTTTGGGTAAAAGCTTCCTTCCCCTCCTAATGATGTCTTTATTCACAATGTAGCTCACGGGAAATGTTAGTTCCACAACTATTGACACATTGGCTTGTGATAGAACTGGTATATTTGCATTGCCTATTATTCAAATATTGGCATTGTTCTTAAGTTATCAATTTTTTTTTTTTTTGCAGTGGTGGAAGACATATACAGGCGAAGGCAGCCATTGCCCACCATGGATGCAATATACTTTATACAGCCAACAAAAGAAAAGTAATAAATTTCCTTTTGTAGCTTTTAGTATGTAATCAATATATTCTGTCCTGTTGGGTTTGGTTGGTTAACATTAATCTTATTAGTCTTGGTGTTGATTCTTGTAAGGTCACCAGTATATGGTTATTAGAAAGAAAAGTTCACTTGAGATGTATATCTGAAATTGCATGAATAAATATTGCTTACATTTAATCCCTTTGATTCTTGAGACTGAATTTTTATTGAAGTTATGAATCTGATTTTCATTTTTCCTTTTATGCACCATGTTAACAACTTACAAGATTCATTTGTTACTAAATTTGTTTTTCCATTCATAGATTCTATTATGTGCTTCTTGCATTTATTATCTTTGGCTGAATTCTAGTAGGATATTGAGTTTGTTAGTTGTATTGTTAGAGAAAATGTGTTTTGTTATCTTTTTAGTATAGGTGCATGGATCTCTTACTGTCTCACATGCTTCTTCTTTCTTTTTTATTTTTTTTTTATCCCCCCTGCAGTGTTACCATGTTCTTGTCTGATATGTCAGGAAGGACACCTCTGTACAAAAAGTAAGGACCTTTATTATTTTCCCTATTTGTTGTTGTTTGTGCAATATCATCTTTTAGATTTTAGATTTTAGTTTTCTTAATTTTTGGTTGTTCTGTTTTAGGGCATTTGTTTTTTTTAGTTCTCCCATTCCACGAGAATTGGTTAGTCATATCAAGAGGGATACAACTGTGATATCTCGCATACGTGCCTTGAGCGAGGTTATAATTCCTTTGTTATTTTTTAATTTGTTTTTTATTTGAGTAATCTTGTTGAAACAATTTGATGCGCTAGCTACTTGCTGTTTAATATAAGGGGATTTTGTTGTTATTCTCATTTTGGGTGGGAAACATGCAGATGAACTTGGAGTACTTTGCGATAGATAGCCAGGTATGTTACACCTTCATTCAAGATTTGTTTAAATTATTCATAAAATCATAATTTCTTTTCAGTTGAAATCTTCATAACTTATAGTTTTCTAAATATTTTACAAGTTGCTAATTCTATGAATAGAGAAATTATGTGATTATTAGTATGGCAAATATCTCCAGGCAGTAACTAATGGACTAAAAGTGCGTTGATGAACTCTTGAACACAGACTGAGAACTGGGACATTTTCAATAGATCAACGATATTTAGCAATTCCCATGTTCTAAATTTATTTCCATTATTCAAGCAGAATTCGTAGAATTATAATGCAGACTGTAGTCAAATTCATGTTCATATGTTGCAAATATTTGTGTGAAATTGGAAAGGGTTATTGCTCATAGAACTGAGGTAGGATAGGTGAAATAGACTAGTGCTTCTGGACTATGTCTCGACCTATATCCATAAAGCAAAAAGGAAAGTTATATAAAATTTGAGAGAAATTAGGATCCGACATTGGTATTCATTGGGTTATGCCTCGGACATCTCGGGAATTGCTGGATATTTGGAGGGGCCAATGGGTGGGGGCTCAGGTGAGAGTCTTCTGGAGGGTAACCCCCTTTTGTGTTTGGTGGAGCATTTGGAAAGAGCGGAATAGAAGATCGTTTGATGGGACGGAGTCCTCCATTGGGGTGTTGAAATTTTCTATTATTTGTACTCTTTTTTGTCGGGGTTGGGGGAGAGATTTTTCCTCCATTGAGGATATTGTGGACTTTTTGGGCTCCTTGAGATCATAGTTTCAGTTTTTTGTATAGCTTGGGACGCGTTCCCCTTTTGAACGCCTTCTAATACATTTTACTTATCAAAAAAAAAAAAAAAGAAAAAGAAATTAGGATCTGACATGTTTATAAAATGAGGGTCAAAATATGAAACATTAGATGGATGTATCGTAATACAAGATATGACAAAATCTAAAGACAACAAATTGATGAGTTGCAGAATTAGCCCCAATTGGAGATAGAATGAATAAAATTGACTATGATGGTTTACCCTTTTGCATAAAAAATTAATAGCTGCAGCAGTGACAAAGACTGATATAGTCCACATTAAAGGAAATGGTAGGGGAATGGTAAAACCATATTTAACATGGGCTGACATTGCAAAGAAAGACACTAGTGCGTTGTTCTGTAGAAGTTATGGCCTTAGACAAAGGCAGAATGGGGAAACAAGTTTCATGTAGACCACAAGTTGGAAAAACTTTGTTTGTTTGAGCTATTTCCTCGACTGGTGCTGCATTTTATTGTTTTGTTGTTTCCCTGCCCTTTTGTGTTTAAAAGCTTGCTTTTCAACAAAGAAAATCATTTTTTATATTTTTTTTACACTTTTTAACTATAATTTTGTTCAAATTAGGTTACAAATAACGCCAAATATGTGACTACAGCATACATCAACTTTGAAGCTCATGGAATCCACATCACTAGTGAAAATTCTGATAGTTGTTGGAGGATTTTGTTTTTGTTATAGACCTCCAAGTGAGTATCATATTGGGCCCTACCATCAACCCTGTATTATGTACTAGCCACCCTGCATCACATTTCATTAATTTCCACCGCTAAATGCAGAGGCATCTTCGCAGGAGTGTAGTATGTTGGAAAACGGGTCTATTCAGCTGAAGCAAATTTCAATCCCACTTGTTTTTGCGAATCATAAATTAGAGAAGAAGAAAATTGTACAACCTTTGGACAAACGGTAGATCGTCTAATGGTAGAAATCTCTTCCCTTCTAGGAATGGGCTGCACCTTAATGGCTTCTAATCACCCCCAAATCTTCACTCCTATGACCTTGAATGAAATCCACAAGCCTTGCAAGAGTGGGCTCCAAGTGAGTATAGAAACCCTAGAGAGAGAATACGTCTTGTGCATGTCTCAAGTAAAGACTATGGCAGTGCAATTAAAATATGAGAGACAACACACACATATATAGGGAGAGGGGTGGGCCGCCCCTCCTTGGGTTAGCAGCCCCTCTATCTCCTCTCCCGTTTCCTTCTAACTCCCATTGTTTGCCCTCCAAGTTAAGGTAGGAGTGGGTAGTGTTGTTAAAGGCACGCCTAGGTTCGAGGCACAGGTCTAGCGCCTGTTGTCATCCCATGCTCACTGATGTTTACTGGGTGCGCGCCTCGTGCGCCTCACTGTTTTTTTTTTTTTTTTTAAATGATTATTCTATTTCTTAAGCCAAAAAGGGATCTTTTGGCAACTTAATAAACTAATAAGAAAACCTAAGCTTATAAGAGAAGGAACTTTTGTTCAAAAGAATAAACAAATAAGAAATCCCAAGAGTCAAAGTGTCAACCGAACATAGAAAGAGTGAGTCTGTGAGACCAACGACAAAGCCCTAGTTGCAGTGACGAACGATGAAGCCAGATGAGTTCTTTCTTCTTCTTCTCTCTCATCATTGTTTACTTCTCTCTCTCTCTAGTTCTCTTCTCTCTCTTCCTTTTTCTTTTTTTTGGGCTCTGTTTTTTCTCCTTTTTTTTTTTTTTTTCACACTCTCTATTCTCAATTTCTCATCTACTCCTCTCTTCATCTACTTCTTTTTTCTCTGTGTCTTTTTTATTGGGCTCTGATCTTTTTTCCTTTTCTTGGTAACAGTTTTTTTTTGTTTCGTTAATAGATTTATTTCTTTTTGTGCTCTGTTTTCCATTGGAAAAAACAAATTCTGTTTTGCCTTTCAAGAAAACAAATTTGTGCTCTGTTTTATGGTTTCTTGAATGCTTATATAGTTGATGGATTTACTTTTTTATATTTGATATTAATTTTTAGAATATTGGTATGACTTATAAGATATGAATGCTTTTATGGTAGTTTAAAATTTCAATTGCGCGCACGCCTAGGCTCCAAAGGACCTCTAGCGCGTTGGTGCGCCTTGAGCTTTTAATAACACTGGGAGTGGGGTCTAGTTGGGCCTATCCAATACTTGGCTCCAATGGGCCTATTAAATTTCTAGTCAACTCTTGACCAAATAATTAGCTCATTAATTATTTTTAATTGCATTAAACAAAAATAATTGCACTCCAAGTGATGAATAAAAAAGCCACAATGTTAAATTACGAGATAACCCTTCCATGCATAATTAGTGATTGGATAAAACAACGCCATAAATCCAATAACTAATTTACCCCTTATTTTGACTTTTTGATTTATTCCGTTTCATCACATAAAAATTTATTTTTAGAAAATAATACATATATATATCTATATTTAATAAATAAATAGATGATAAAACAATTTCATCAAAACCACTGGATCCAGATTTTTGTGATGAAACTAATCAAGTCGAGATAAATTATCTAGCATAGACACCATCTTGCCAATGCCAATAGTTAATGATTACCCAAAATACCAGATTTTAGATCCTTGGGTCCACTAAAATAAATCAATCAACCACTAATAAAGACAAGAGTCCATTTCTCTATTAGGTTCAAGAGTTTCTCGCTATAACACTAATAAGTGAAAAATTATCACGACTATTATTGTACATTTTTCACTTATCCTCGATTCAGTTCAATGTGTCCTGGCACAGACCTGTTGTGGGGCAATTGCCCCCACTGAATTTTTTTATTTTTGGTATTTATATTTACTATATATATATATATTTGAATTATATACCTATAAAATTTTAAATTTGCCGCTGCAGAAATTACAACTTCTGCCCCCCTTCACAGACTTTTCTGGGTCCGTGCCGCAGAAACTACAACTTCTGCCCCCCTTCACATACTTTTCTGGGTCCGTCCCTAGATGTGTCCAACACATCAACATGTATGGTTTAAGTCATCTACTAATGATTGAGATAAGTCATCTTATCTCATAAAAACAAGGGCTAATTTCAAAAAAAACCCCACTACTATCAAAATTTGATCATAAATCCCCAACCTATTTCAGAGAACCCCCAACACTATAAAAAGTGATCAGGCTGTTAAATTACAAATTTGACCTTACTATTATTTATGTTAAATTAAAAACTGAAAATAATTTTTCTAAAATTACAAAAATACCCTCTTCTTCAACCCCCTTCTAAAACAGACCCATCAGCTAGTTATGGTAGATCATTCTCCCACATATGTAAATATAGGAATTACAGAGGGGTAGACTCGGTAGAGAGAGAAATCGAGGTGATCTTGATCTCGCCTTCTATGTCTCATTCTCTAATCAATTATAAGAAGAAGATGTTGACGATGGTCGACAGTTACATTCTGGGTACTTTCTTTGTGTATCTGATGGGCTTTGTTCTTCTCCATATTTTGCAAGACAGGACCAAAAGAAATTGCCGGCAGAAAGCTACTAGTGCGTGTGAGATGTGGGACGACAACGATTCGAGCTTCGCCGATGGGAATTTCAGGCCTGACAGACCTGAATCTGACATCATCATTGTCGGAGCTGGGGTTGCCCGTGCCACCCTTTCTCACACCCTCTGTTTTGGGTCGCTATTTGTTCAGTGCTTCACTGGAGTTGGGTCTCCGTTGTAGAGCTCGACATTGCTCGGATCTCGAGGTTCTATTCACCGTGGAAGTTTGGCTGTGATCACAGAGGAAGACGACGATACCACCGTCACCGGACTGGGTCTGTCTTCGTCGGACTTTGTGATTGGCAAGACGACGATACCACCACTGGGTATCTCTTCCTTCTCCCTCTTGCTCGTCGATGAACAAGAGGACCGACACGGAAATAGATAGCTGAATTCTGACCAAAATATGCTCACAGCTTCACAATCAAAACCCTTTCTTCAATTGAATCAAAGCCCTCTTTCTTCAATTGAATCAACATATATCAACATAATTTTTGTTACTGTGTTTATTTGATTCTACAATGAATGATGATTGAGAAAATCAGTCTATCAACCAAGAAAGAAAATCAAGGAGAGTGAATCCGTTGGCAAGCAAGAGATATATCACTATGAATGTTGATACTCCAAGTTTAGTTCTTGGAGAGAGATGATGGTGATCTAATAAAGCAGTGATGGTGAAATTCAGGGGGGGAGAAATTTTTAGTGGTGGTGGGTGGTTGCAGCTTGGTAATGACAGAGGATGGTTGTAGTGGTGTTTGGTAGAGATAGAGTGCCATGGTTTTAATCATGTGGCGGTCTGAAATTGGTCAGCCTTGCTTTGATCATTGGGTTGTAGATAGAGAGAGAGTGTACAGATAGAGTGAAAGTGTTAGGGATAGGTATTTTTGTAATTTTAAAAAATAATTTTCAGTTTTTAATTTAACATTAAATAATAGTAAGGTCAAATTTGTCATTTCATAGCCCGGTTAATGGGTCGTACATATATTGGGGCAATGTGATCACTTTTTATAATGCTGGAGGTTTTCTGAAACACAGGTTGGGGGTTTATGATCAAATTTTGGAAGTAGTGGTTTTTTATTTTTAATTAGCCCTAAAAACAAATTTATTACATTCTTTCAGATAGAATGCCCAAGCTCTATCACTGACTGCAAACACATTCATGATAGTGTAATCCGATGATTAATAACTCCTATGTATGAGACTCTCGCTATGCACAAACGATATTACATAGTCGAAGAATAACTTAATTCAGCTCATGAACCCATACAAGCATGCACCATGCATATGTAAATTATTAAATAAAAACATAATTCATTAATAATAAATGTCAAATACAATCAAATATTGGCTTTGAAGGGCATATAATCTCAACATAGTACTTATGGTTGATAAGGAACCTACGCCTCTTTCACAAGACACCTTCATCTTGTTTCTTTAAGTGATATTTTTTTCTCTAGATGATATGTACCTCTCTCAATGACAGTGCTCCCAAATTGTTTGCTTCATCGCAATCCCCTCCTTTCCCTCTCTCCCTCCCTCCCCCCCCCCCCCCCCCCTCTCTCTCGTGTGCGCACGCGAGAGAGAGAGAGAGAGAGAGCCATGAATCTTGGAAATTCAAGATTTTCCTTCCAGAAATCTATTTGTATGTCATTGTTAATTTCTAAATATTCAGCAATGTCCACATGCTCTTTTTTGCCCTCTTTATTGATATAATTTTTTCTACAATTTTCTTTGTTGGACGCCTGTTATTGTATATCTTATTTCTTTCTGAACCGTAGTTTTTACCACACAGGGTTTTATCACTGATAATGAGAGGGCTTTAGAGGAACTTTTTGGGGATGAAGAGAATTCACGCACTGGTGATGCGTGCTTGAATATGATGGCCACCCGCATTGCTACAGTTTTTGCTTCATTGAGGGTATGTATATTGAGGATTATTATTCTTAATACATATCTTTAATCATTTTTAAAGCTTGTATGAGTTATTTTTCCCCCCAGGAATTTCCTTTGGTACGATACCGCGCAGCCAGATCTCTCGATCCAACCACAATGACAACATTTCGTGATCTAATTCCTACAAAGCTTGCAGCTGGCATTTGGAACTGTCTTATGAAGTATAAAGCTGACGTCCCTAACTTTCCCCAGACGGAAACATGCGAATTGCTCATCCTGGATAGATCAATAGATCAGGTTTTGAGATGCATCTGTTTGTTACAATGTGTTTATGGCCTGCCTTATATGTTTGATTGTATCCAACATGCTTATTTTACATTCCTAGATTGCTCCTATCATACATGAATGGACATATGATGCCATGTGCCATGATTTACTAAATATGGAGGGAAATAAATATGTGCATGAGGTAAGTTGTATCATTCTTACTTCAAAAAAAAAAATATTTGTATCGTTCTAAGTTTCATTTCTTCTTTTGATATGCTGTTCGATCTCCTTTAACTACTTCATATCAAGGAATTCTGCTGTTTAGGTTCCAAGCAAAACAGGTGGTCTACCAGAGAAAAAAGAGGTCCTTCTGGAGGATCATGATCCTATCTGGGTAGAGCTTCGCCATGCACATATAGCTGATGTACGTCTTGTTGAATGATTTTTAGTTCTGAACAGAGATATAATGAATGTTTTATAAAAGTTGACTGCCTTGTCAGGCTAGTGAACGGTTACATGAAAAGATGACCAGTTTCGTATCAAGGAATAGAGCTGCACAAATGCATGGTTCAAGGTTAGTTTTTGTTTTTCTACTGTGAAAACCTTTCATTATTAATGTCATGAAATATTATAATGTTACAGAAATATGAGTGCTCTATTCCAGGTAGTGGTAGTCAATTATGATTTTATTGTATTTTTTTTCCCCCATCAGTGTTGAAAGTACTATGTTTTCCATAATCCAATATCGATGGGATCAAATGCAGCTTGGTGTTGCCTGATAGCTTGTGATACACAAAAGATGTGCAAAATATTTTAAATACAACATAAATAGCATATTTTTTTTCCTAGTTGATACTCACTCACCCCCCCTCAAGGAATTGATTGCACCCAAGAGGAGTCGAACCTTAGACCTACTGCTTCCCGAGGCACCAGGGCCAAGTTCTTACCCACTTGAGCCAACCCCTTGGGGTCATTAAATAGCAATTTGGAATGATAGAATGGCAAAGTGTATTTTATGCTACATTTTATATGATGGCAATACATTGCATGCATTACACCACCAGGTATTGACACTGTTCATTGAATTTTTTTATACTTTTATGCTAACTTCAAGGTATCTATGACTTTATAGAAAAGTAATTATTATCTTCTTGTCAATTTTATTTCATCAATTTCATATTTTAGATTTTTTTCATTAATTATTTTTTAACATGCTTAATGTTATATCAATGCATGGTATGGGGTTAACATGAAAAGTTTGACATGGGAACTCCAATGGCATGACTAAGTTTATGTTTCCTTCAGGTTAGTCATGGGTATTTTGGAAGTTTCATCTATTAGGATCTTGTTGTAGGTGGCTCATTGATTTATTGTATTTGCAGTTTGGCTTTAGTTGTGATATGGGGAATTTACTGTGATGACTCACGTGGTGCAGAAAGAACATGTTTTGTCACCGAAATTTGCCGTCACAAAACTAAGTTTCTCACATTTACGCCAAGTAGGTTTAGATTAGTTTTACTTATGTAATAGGAAAGAGTGGAGAGAAAGGATTCATGTGGCCGATCCCATTCATATGGGATTAAGGCAAGGACGACGAGGTTTAGATTAGTTTTTAGTAGTTCAAATGTTGAATTTTAGTTTTTGGAGTTCAAACTGTGCTAGATTTAGGGAGAATCAGCGTCCTACAAATATTTATGTATGCTTTCAGTGACATGGTCTACATTGAGGGTAATGCTAGGGGAAGAAGAAGAACAAAGTTAACGCGATTAGCAAGGAAGGATATGATAACATGTGGTTTAGCTAAAGCTAGGACCTTTGATAGAGTGGAATGGAAAAATAGGATTAATGTAGCCGGCCTCAAGTAGTGCACCTACAGTTTCTGTTTTCCTAAAGTTGGGAAAAAGGCTCTGTTTGTAATGGCCCTCACCCCACCAGACACAATATTGTCCGCTATTGGCTCCCCCAACCAGAGCCTTCCCAAGAGGTCACCCATCTTGGTACTACTCCAGCCTCCAGGTTAAGCACGCTTAACTCTAGAGTTCTGATAGGTTCACGGCCATCACAGCTTTAAAACGCGTTGTGTCATAGAAGGGTGATGAATATACATATAACACTTCACTCTTCCACACCAAGGCAATGTGGGAATTGTGAGCATGTGTAGCTCGCACCAGAGCCTTGCCTCTCACAGGCCTGCTCCTGCCCACCGAGCCTCGGAGTTGAGTTGCTTTCAGTTAATTAAATACTTACCAGACCTGCTTGTGGTACTATCGGAAGAAGATGCCCTGAACAACGAGGGATTGATTCCTTTTCCATGAAAAGATAACAATAGAAGCCTCCACCTTTCTCCAAAATTTTCAAACATCTATCTTTTTTCATTTAAAATGTATTTATTTATATATTTATTTGTGTGCTTCAATTGTTAATATCCTCCTTTGAGTTCTTTCAGTCTCATTCACCTATTTCTTGTTCCCATAGTTTAAACTTTAGTCTGGGCCTGTATAATTGATTTATGTTTGTGTCCTTATTAAAATTGTATGCACTTTAGTGTTCTTTTCATAATCTTAAAGGTGCAAATATAGACGTTTAATTTGGTAGCAAAAAATCTTATGCTTGCTTAATCTATTGTTGATTTAAGTGTGTCAAAATATCTCACTCTGTATAATTGTTTTGAATAGAAATGGCGCCGAATTGTCTACGCGGGACTTGCAAAAGATGGTTCAAGCTTTGCCGCAATATAGTGAACAGATGGAAAAGCTTTCACTCCATGTCGATGTGAGTTTCTTCTATGAAAAGACATTATAGTTTCTAGTAGAAGGGATGTTCTTATACCAAAGATGGAATGTTTTAAACAACATACTTTGTCTCAGTTGTCGTACTTGGTGAGGAAGAAGGCAGCAATGTTGTATTTTGTCATTTAGTTTATGAAAAAAACGACCTGCAGGGAATGTTCATTTTGCTTGTCATTTCCTTTTGGACTGAATTTTCACTCTGGTTTTCTAGTGCTCGCCTAAAACTTCCTAGATTCATAAAACAACTAAAAGAAATAGATAGGAAGCTCTTCAGGGTACATAGTTCTGTAAAAACTAAAAAGTGAGGTTCGTTATGCTCTCCAAGTATAGCTCATACAAGATATAACTAGCTAATGGCTTGGTCCAGTCCTGTTGCCTGGTCTACATTTGAAAATAAAGATGTTACTTTCGGAATTGTGGATCCAATGCTATTATATGCTTGCTGGTTTTGCTGCACGACATTTGCTTTTACCTATTGTAGTGTCGGTTATACCAAGTTATATGGCTTTAATGCACTTTACGAAGTCATGCCACAAAAAACTTATATCATAACCACTTGGATCCGATGAGCCCATCTTTTGTAACCATTCAGCCATTTTTTGCTGTATCTTTTGTCGATTCATAGCTAATAAGCCTAATATGCCCTCTTATAATTGCTTGAGACTACCTTTATTTTGGTTTCCAGTTGTCATTCTAGTCTTCAGTAATAAAAATTATTAAGTCACTAATCCTTTTGGTTTTCTTCTTGGTTTTTGCGTCACACGAGTAAACCAATTCTTTTGACTTCTTGTGATCTTGTCCTCAATTTGTGCTGCATCATAATTTTCAGTAATCAGTTGATCTGTTATTAGACTTGTTCTTTTATAGGCTCGTACATTTTTGGCAGCCTCATTCCAAGCATGGTCAGTCTGCAACTTGTTTTGTCTTGAATGCATCATTCTATATAGTCAATAACAGTTGCCTTGTCATAGCTATAATTTTTTTCTCCTCAATTTGTTTGGATGTTATCTAAAGTACCATGCATCATCATACTTTCTGGTTTTATGTCTTGTCTTGGTGCCATCGTCTTAATCTTTTTAGAAATTTGGCTTCATGCTAGACTTTTATTGACACAGATTGCAGGAAAAATCAACAATATTATTAAGCAGATGGGCCTTAAAGATCTTGGGCAACTAGAGCAGGACCTTGTCTTTGGAGATGCAGGAACTAAGGAAGTAATCAATTTTCTGAGAACAAAAGAGGTGAACACTTGTAGATATAAAAAATAGATATGCAGAGAGCATTGCCAGTGCATTCACAAATCTATATATATAAAGAAATCTTCCTCTGTTATGCAGGATGTAACACGTGAAAATAAGTTGCGGTTGTTGATGATTTATGCAGCCATTTATCCTGAGAAGTTTGGGGGTGACAAAATTACAAAATTGATGGAGGTGGGTCCCTTTGTTATTTTATATAATTTAATTATTTAACTTCCATCCCTTGTTCTTTTTTGGGATCAACAAATGAATTTATTGTAACTTTATTTTTCAAATTACCATCAAAATCATTGCCTTATTAAAACCCTTTGGGTTTCAACATGAATACCCTTCGGTAATTGCACTCAATCTGGAGAAGAAATTACAATATTGACCTAGAAGCCAATGGAGCACCTTTTTTGGCCCTATTTTCACTTGAGTTACGCGTAATTTAATGTGTGAGTTTAATGGGTCCATTGTGTATAGAAACCAGAGTTGTTGAATCTACATATTTAAACCTGAGGAACTCAACGTTTCAATTTAATTTTTAGGATTTGGTATGAATCCAATCTATGAAGTTTCGTGTACTATTGGACTCTGGTTATTCTTATTGGGCTGGATTGAGAAGGTTGCAGCAATACAATCAGGCTTATTAGGTAATTGGATTTGGAGGTGGGTGGTGGAGGGGAAATTTGACTGCGGATGGCTAAAGCTCGAGAAACGTCGGATGAGACTGATTTTGTTATGACGCCATGTTAACATGCTTCCTAGCAATTCGAGAAATTTATTTAGGACAAATTTATTTAGGACACCACTGTGACGCGCTTCATAGAAATTCATGAATATCAGTGCTCACTGAAATATTAATACTGGCTAGCAACGTCTCAAGTCTACGCACCAAACTCAGATTGTAGTTGTTGGTATAATTTTTCGTAAGGGCAGCTTATTGCAATAGATGGTGGGAATGTAGGAGAGCCCACTGCTCCCCTGCCCACTTTTGTATTCCTGTTTTGCTGAGCTGTTCACTGGGAAAGTGAAAATGTAAATGCAAAACGGGGGTCAATCAGGTGTATGATAAAACTCTGGAATTTTCAGCAAAGTACTTTGATATTTGTATTATTATCTCTTGGATATTTCCTTCGTATCTGTTGCTACTTCTTATATTAAAGCCAAAGCATCTTACACTTCATTTTTTAGTATCTTTAAGGAGTTGTTACTTCATCCTTCCATTTGAGAACAAATATCATCTTGACAATATATTTTTTAATTGTATGCTTTATCTTTATATCTTTCAGTTAGCAAGATTACCGCCTGAGGAAATGAATGCTGTTTATAATATGAGACTGCTCGAAGGATCATCAGATACTAAGAAAAGCTCTATCGGAGCTTTCTCTCTAAAATTTGATGTTCATAAGGTAAAATTTGATGTTTGAGGGCGAGGAGTCCCCTATTAGGTCTCTCAAGTTTAATATTCTGTCTTCTCTCTTTTTTTGGTTAATGGGCGGAATTGTATATCTATGAATATTCTTTTGGACTTTGTAGATAGCTTGAAATTGTAGCGTCGCCTTGGGCGCCTTTTGTTTCTTTGGGTTCGCTCCCCTTTGAGCGCCTTTTATGAAGTTTACTTATCAAAAAAAAAAGAAGAAGTGATTTGTTGAATTTCTTTTCATGGTTGATGATGAAGTCCACTGTCTAACCAATATTCCTGTTTTTCCTTTCCATTTTAACTTCAGAAGAAGCATGCTGCTAGAAAAGATCGTACTGGTGAAGAAGTGACATGGCAACTATCACGCTTTTACCCTTTGATAGAGGTACATTCCTGAATAGTTTTATTGCTGCCTAGGTAGTACATATACTTTTATGAAGGAGCCTTATCATCATCATCCTTGCCTTGATCTATATCATCATCATCGTTGCCTTGATCCAAATTATATTGGGTCACCCACATGAATTTTCTCTTCTTCTTCTATTTTCAGTTATCAGTAATGTTTCCTATTTTATTTAGTTTCACATTTTTTCTTATTACTTCATTTCATGTTAATTTTGATTTTGTCTCTGTCCCTTTCTATTTTTTTTAAATATCTCTTCCTTTTTGTTATTCATGGATCTATTGGCCTTAGTTCAAAATGTTAGTAGCATTTAAGCCTAAATTCTCTTATTTTATCACTAATATGTATCACTTTTTATTTCTATGACATGTTGAGTATTAATCCTGTTTTTTCTGCTTACTTCTATCATTTAAGCCTACATGAATGTCGTTCTTGTTTCATTATTAATGCCCAGTATTTTGCTCAATATAAGCTGGTTGGCCTAATGATTGTCCTACAGAATTTTCCTTACAACCTATTTGATATTCTCTTATAACTACTTGTTACATCATTGTTCATCTTCAGGTCTCCTTGTATTATTGATCCTAAATAAAGAAAATTGTTATTTCGAGTAATCCTTGACTTGAATTATTATTGTTACATTTTAATTTTTCTATTTTCTAAACCTCGACTCTAGTGTACTTCTCCATGTTCTCATTTTTATTGCTAAGTTCTGTAATACGTGTAACAGAACTATATCATCAGCAAATACATGAACCGTGAAATCCCTTGTATAACTTTCATTATGTCATCTAAGACTATTGTGAACAGATATGGGTTGGTATTATTGCTAATCGTTCGTTTGAACCTACTTTTATAGGAAAATACTCAGTTTCTCGACATATAGTGCAGATACTAGTCATCATATTTTTGGATAATTTTAATGAATAGGAATTCCTATTATTGGTATAGTCCACCAAGTAATATTTCTTTGTACTCTATTGTACACATTTTCTAGGTCTGAAAATCGTGTCTAATCTTTATTTTTTACTTTTGCAATCTTCCATTAATTGTCTTATTAATTAACAGATTTTTACAGTAGATCTTCCATTAATTTGGTTTTATATAGTGGACCACGTTTTTAAGGAGTAGCAGTGTGGCATATAACCAGCTATTAGCTTTAGTGGTATTAGGTTTCGCATCTCACTAGTCAGATATATTAATAGATTAAGATAGCCATAGCTCTGGAGTTCTGTATCCCCAGCTATGACACCAAGAAAATTCTCATTGCAGCCATGGTTTTTCTAGGCAAAATTGTTTCACAAGGTGTGACTTTTATTCAAAAGAAGTTTATTGTTTATTTTTTATTTATAGAAAAATAGAAATAGTTTAAAGAAAACAGAGAAAATCATGTGGAACAAAAATACATGTAACAGTTATTTTAAGACATTTTAAGAGGAAAAATAAATGAGAATAAAATGTGACCTTTTTGTTGTTTATTAATTTATATGAACATCGTTCATGTAATTGCAAAAAGGGGCATAATATGGTTCAACCAAGAAACTAGTCACATACCCCAAAAAGGAAAGAATTTTTTTTTGTTTGGCGCAACAAATATTAGGGAAAACATTGTTGGTCACCTAAGGAAAAAAACAAAAAGCCACTTGCATGAACCTAATGAGTCAAGGTGTTAAAAGCTGCAAAAAGTGCTCGCTTCTTATCTACTTTGGCTTTTGTGGTGTGTGCTGAACATTACGAACTTAATATTTAAACTGAGCCGTTCTAATACTGCCTTGCTCCGCGAATTTCTGTATTTTAGCCTCAAAGGGTTTACTGAAATCGTGATTCTAGCATTTGGACACTGACTGGATTGAAAATTTAACCGTCATTTTGAATTAAATTTTCGCTAAATGCCTAATTTAAATCCTTCCAATTGTCTGTATTGGCCAGATTTGGCACATATCAGTCTGCTTTATTTATTTATTTATTTATAAATAGCCTTTGGAAGCTTAGTTTCCCTAGTTTACATTTTCATTGTCCTTTTTCAAAATGCTATGCAGATTCTTGCAGATTTAATGTTTTATCATGCTCAGATTATCGCATATATAAATTATCCAGAATGTGTTTGTTATTCCCCTCAAATGATGACATGGAGATCCCTGGGGTTTAATATCCAGACCCTTATTGGGACTTGTTAATTCATCCAAAGGCATGATAAGATATGAAATCCTATTCACTTATTCAGGAAAACAAACAAGGCCCATACCCATGGTACTCTACACTTGCCTTCAATGTTAAAACACTATGTTGGAATCCAAACTGCCATCCAACCTGCCTCACAAAATGGGATTCCCTCTACAACTGACATTGAGATAGGGAAGGAATGTGGGTTAAACATCTGTCACTCTTTAGGTGGAACTATTTCATGGTAACATGATTTTAAAAATGTTCTTAAGTTTACAATTTTTGTGTGCTATAAAAAGTTAAAGAAGTCTTATGTTTTTTTTTTGAAAGCTAAAATGAAACCCAAAGATGAATTTGAAATATTATTTTCTGATGGTGCATTTGAATAAAAACTTACAAAATAAAAATTCTATAGTTGGTGGAATAATAGCTTGAATTTGATGTACTTGTTGAATTTTGGCTATATCTCCTGCGGACTCTAAATTTAAAAATTTTCTTTGATTATGTATCTTATATAATGCATTGTAAATCAATATATTTAGATCCATATATCTACATGCTTACATAATACATTTAATGTTTTGTTAGTTTATTCTGTATTGCGATACTTTTTTGGTGTTTGTGTTGTAATATATATATATATATATATGAATTAATAATTATTTATATTATTCCATATATTATAGGACGTATAGAACTTCCAAAAAGTTATCACTTTTTTTTTTTTATATATTTTATGTTGTATCTATTATTTTTAGGGCAAACTAAGAAAAATAAAACTCAAAACTTTCAAGGATTTGCAAATACCCCACCACAAACAACAACAAACTATCTAAATGTTGCAACTTACCCCCTAATCAGTTAAAGTGCCCATAAGGTGCATCTAATTTACCATTTTATCTCTAAAGAAAAAAAATTGGGTAAAATGAAAAAAAAAAACCTCAACTTTCAAAGAGTGATTTGCATCATTTCTTAATACTTTAAGGGGCTTATGTGTAAACACGAAAGTTAAGGGGGGTAATTTATGAATTCATGAAAGTTGAGGTTTTTTGTAGTTTACCCAAAGGGTATTATAGGAATGTTACTACCTAAAATCTTATGTTCTATGCAAGTGATAGTTTCCCGTCCATTCCATAACTGTCCGCAAATGGCAAGGGGGTGATTTGCAGCATTTCTTAATACTTTAAGGGGGGGTTATGTGCAAAAACAAAAGTTGAAGGGGTTAATCTACGAAATCGCGAAAGTTGAGGGGAGTTTTTTTTACAGTTTACCCTTATTTTTATGCATTTCCAATTTTTTATTCCCATAACATCTTTATCCCTGGCTTTTGCCAACCAAATTGATGTTGATACATTGCATGGAAGGTTAGCCAAGTTGATTAGGATATATATTCTATGAGTTAATAATTTGTTTACTCTGTCCCTCGGTGGATTCTTCAATGTTGTTTGGTGCATATACCTTTGAAGTATTCAGTTATTCATTTATTAGGTTTTTCCCTTGCACCCAAGAAGATATTTGAATCATGTTTTAACATCTTGTTTCCAAATTGTTGTTTCCATTATATTTCCAGTTTTCCTCTTCCTTTGCCAGCAGAAAGGGGATTTAATACCTTATGTGGGACCTTGTACAAGGCAATGACCATGGCCATGACGCTATGGCATCTTCACATAATATTAGAACCAAAAGAAATTGAGTGTAGGTTGTAGAGTGTCGCAGGTTCTGAAATTTTCATTTTTTGACCAACTTTTTGAACACTCTAGTTTTATAGTAAAATTACTTAGTAATATATGTAAATTCATTAAGAAAATAATGAGGCTAATCCCTTCTGTTTTACATGAGCAAAAGCATATTTCCTGTTGAAACCTTCTGCTGGTAGCTAGGTATCAAGTGCGTCTAATAATCTTAGACTCTTACAGTAGCCACTTAAATCTCATCCTGTTTCATGATTCTGCATCTTGCATTTGTTCTTCCGTGTGGTCCCAGCAAGGGAATGAAGCTTAAGCTGAAACTAGTTTTTGTTGATGATATCAAGACGGGAGAAACAAGATGGCGAGCTAAGTTTAAGTTTCACCATTTTTTTCACATATTTTGTTCATCTTTTAGAGGTGATTATGGTAACTGACTGTGCAAATGACGATATGATCCAAATAAAACATGCCAATGTAAAACTTGTTGGATGTTCAGGAACAGAATCAATTATCTTGTCGTATTGCCCATATTTACATTCTATAGAAGGGATGGATTACTCAACCCAAGGTTCATTTTGTCTTTCAGGAACTTGTTGAAAAACTTAGCAAACGTGAATTACCAAAGAATGATTACCCATGTATGAATGACCCGAGTCCAACTTTCCATGGGACCTCCCAGACCGTGCCAGTTCAGACAATTCCAGCTCCAGCTGCTCATTCAATGAGATCAAGACGAACAGCAACGTGGGCTAGGCCTCGAGGCTCTGATGATGGATATTCAAGGTATTTCTATGAATGTTCTCCTAATTGCTTTATTAGTTTCTGAATATAGGAGTTGCTTGAACTAGGGAGATGAACCACAGAATTCAGCAGCCTGCTGATGTCTGCTAAAATTGTTATCCATTCATCTCGTTTCTCATCTATTGTTTTCTCCTTTCTTTAATGTTTTTGAAAATGTGATGCCCCTCCATGGCTATTATCTCCTGATTTTAATTATACAGATGCATATAGGAGCTAACAAATAAACCTACTAAAAGAAGTTCCTCCCTCCTCCCAGCTGTTATAATTTTTTTTGCCACTTGCATCCATTATTTCTTTACTAACAGAATCTTATTCCTCTATTACTTTCCATCTTGTAGTGATTCAATTCTGAGGCATGCATCGAGTGATACCAGAAAGATGGGTCAGCGAATTTTTGTATTTATTGTCGGGGGAGCAACTCGATCTGAGGTATGAATGAACTCTCTCTTATCCATTTAGTTGAAATAAAGCAAAGAACCATTGCTGTTTTCTGGCATTTATTGGTGTTACAAAATTTTATTCATTCTCAGCTACGGGTTTGTCACAAGTTAACAACAAAGCTGAAAAGGGAGATTGTTTTAGGATCTTCAAGTCTTGATGATCCACCACAATTTATCACGGTACTTAATTTCTTTCTTTTCTCTGGATGTTCATTAATTGAAATTCAAACCATTGGGTACTTCAGTAAAATACATAAGGTCGGGACCTTAGATTTGGGTCCTTCTATATTGTATACCACAATTTATCATGGTCTTGTCTGTGATGTATATCTTTATTAGGACCTACATTAGCTCTTTTAACCTTTCGTTACATCAAATATCTTTCAAATATAATGTATTTTCTAACAGATGCAAATTATAGGGGACACTGCCCTTACTGTTGTGACTTGAGCCATTGTAGCGAATCCTGTATTTTTGTAGATATAGTATTAAATTTGGTGTAAAATTTTGAATATGCCAGAACTATTGTAATACCAAGTAAATCCGTAACAAAGCTTCAATACCTTTCTAACAATGTTTGATTTATTTGAGTTGCAGAAACTGAAGCTGCTTACGGCAAACGAACTCAACGAACTCTCACTGGATGATCTTCAAATTTGAAGACATGGGTGGATTTAAGAAGCTGGAAACATAATTTTTTCCCGGTCCTCTTGTCCAGTTTGTAACTATAGATCCATGTATAAAATCATTGAATCCATTTTTTAACATTGATGCAATGTCTGTCACGAGCTTGATCAGCTGAACGATAGGTTTGATAGTTTTCTGGTAGCATGCAGGATCGTGACCTTTGATTTGGCTCCATTGACATTCTCACGCCTTTGGGCTTTTGTATTGTAATTGATCTGTTCCGGACATGTAAGCGACCCTGTGTGTGTATAATACTATTCTTATCGATGCAATTGACCAATTTGAAATCTGTGACAAGTTATAGAATAATATTCCAAAGCCATTTTTATCTGTCTGTTACCTGATTTTTCGCTGATTAGTTGGTCAACATAGAGTGCTGGTTTCTTTTCATCAGCATCTGCAATCTGCCATTGTTGTATATATTCTCAATAATTTATGATACTCAGAAACTTGTAAAATCCAGAATTAATGTTATCGCGTGTGTATGACTGCAAGCAGAGACCTTCGGGGAGCACGAAAATGGCAAAACTATGATCTGAAAAATCAGTGTCTCAGGCTCACTGCCAGTTGGATTGGTCAAAATATAAGTTTTCTATGGTCTGCAGAATTGTTTCTAATGTCACAGAGGTTACTGGAGCAGAAAGAACAACATAGCCTTGCGATGTGTTCAAAAAGGTGAGCAAACTCGATGATGAAATATTGCAAGAATTCTTCCAAACATATATATATATATATATATATATATATATTTGGGGGGTAAATTACGCTTACCTTATCTCTAGTTTTGGTTTGTTACATTTACCTCCTTTTGTTTTGGCATATAACGGTTACCCTCTTCTTAGATAATGGTGTTGAAGTCTGAAATTATCCTTTTGCCAATATTGTTATATAAAAATAACTTTAAATGGAAAATATCGTAAGGTATTTTTGTCATATAAATCTTCAAATTTAACCACGTCAGCATCGACCATTGCTGGCAGTTACTGTCACTAACAATAGGGGTATTTGTTAAGAACGTGCAAATTAGAGGGGTAATGTAATATGCCAAAACACAAGGGAGACAAGTGAAACAAATTCAAAGTAGAGGGAAGACAAGTGTAATTTACCTTCTTTTTTTTTTTTTTTTTCATTTATTTATTTATTTTTATATATTTTTTCACGTACAAACTACCATTATGTATTCATGCACGCGTGTACACTCACACACATCAAAAAATATATATGGCTATAAAACTAAATTTTAGTATTAGTATCATTATTAGGCAAGGCTCACAGGTTAGGTTTCATGAACCTAGAATGTATATGATTTTATATACTTACACTGATACTTTTTTGGTTGTCATGTTCATCATATCTTGTCACATGGAAAACAATAGCAAACAAGCCTCCAAAAAGTGGACCAAAAATATACATATTCTACCCAATAAACTTGGAAGTTTAAAATTTATGCCTATAAATATTACGGGTACTAACATAATATATATATATATATATATATATATATATATATAGCGGCATCTTTTGAAGAAGCGAACGGGGCTACATGCACCGACCTCACAGACCCAATACACAAGTCTAAACTAGTGGATCCCACTTTTTTCGAATCAAGTGGGTTTTTGACTGTATTTTTTGGCAAGGAGTGTGAATTAGGTGCAAAGTAATTTTCTTTTGAAGAAATGCCCACTCTTGCTGATGATGCTGGAAGGACGATTATATCCTTGCCAAAAAGAAGCAAATCCATTTCAAATATAGGGTACTTTTGGATTTTCAATTCTGATGATGCTGGGAGGACGATTACATTCGTCCCTACTGTATACCTATTACAATGCATTACGCCGTGAACCGTATATCCTTCAATAAGGGAGAGTGTTCCGTATCAACACACGCTTACCCGTGAATAAATGTCTAATATTTTATATATAATTTTTAAATATATTTTTATTTTTAAATATCACTTTGATATTTTGGTTATATATCCAAATTTAATAATTGAAAAAAATACTTCAAGGCACATATTTAACAAGTTTTGAATATTAAAATATAAATCTTAAAGTGTAATATCATAATATAATTGTTTTAAAAAGTCCCTGATTCCTTAAAAAAATATAAGTGTTAGATATTTGATGGTTTTAATCCAAAATTTATCCATGTAATTTAATCCTCAACTCCCAACTTATTTGTCAAAATATTTTATTAAGAAATTTTAGTGACAATATATATAACATGACAAATAATTATTATTTAAATTTATCAATTTGAAATACTCACACATGACAATATATATTATTTAAATGTTGCTTTTTTTTCTGTATCCATGATCGTATTGTGTTTTTTTTTTTAATTTTTTTTTTTTTGGTTGCGTTGCTTTATTTTGTAATGTGTGTTTGTATTATCATTATTATGTAATCGATATTACGTTAAAAATTATGCACTACTAGTAATTAAAGTTAAAGCATGATGATACCCCGAAAAATGTGGACAAAGAAAAAGTTAACACATGCAATTCATTTAACAAATCATTAACTCAAAAATATAAATTAATGCAGTATTTTTGAATGATTAATCAAAGTTATAATTGCACTAAATCAGCTAAATCTGTCTGATTAATCATAATCACAATACAATACAATATATATATGGTGTGTTCATTGTTTAATTAATCTATGGTGCTGTATGCAATTATAAAAAAGAAGAAGATAAGATCAAGAAAGTTAACTACAGCAATAATAACAAACAACATATAATAATTAGTGCAAAGAATGATAGCTATGATTTGTTTTGTTGTATATGAAAGCTAAGTTCTAACTGAACTAAATTTAAAAGTCAAAAAATTATTAAAAAATTTTAAAAAATAAAAATAAAAAGTGAGAGAGATTACAACTACCCACATTGTGCCATGAGTATATTGTGCCACGAGATTCCAAACTACAATGGTACAATTTAATTTAGTTTATTATTTGTCAACTCTAAACCGCTAAACCTAATTAATTACATACCTTCGGTTGTTATAAAAATGAATTATTTCATGATTCAACCCAAACCAAAACGAAACAAAATTTAATTTCATTTTATTTGGATTTTTGTTTAATTTTTTGAATAATTTCTTTTGTTTATTATGGAGAGAGACCCAAATTATCATTATGTTAAAAATTATGAAAATTTAGATGAATACAACAAAATGTCGAGTTACTTTTATAATAAGAAAAACAAATTACAGACTACTAACCGCTAATTCGAATAATATAGAAAAATAATTCATTATTTTGATTATATTAATTACAAGATAGAAGAATTCATATATGTATTATATTTTGACGTGTGTGTCGGTGTGTGTAAAAGAAGACTTAAAACAAATTAAAGAAGAGAAGGATGAGGCCATGCCCATTTCAGAAAAGCAGCAAGAAGATAAACCATTTATAAAAAATAATTGAGGTTATATTTAGCTAAATTCATCTAATTTAATAAATACGACGTAATCTTAACCTAAGTCACACAAGATAAGTGTGAAAGCGAAAGAGAATGTGAGAATGGAAATTCAAAAGCTACGAAACATGTGTGGACTATAAAAACAACACCGGTCCACATTACTATCATTATTCAAATTTAATTTCATTATTATTGTTATAACTTCTCTAGTGGTTATATATATTATTTATAGCACAAACATTCCAAATCATGGGTGGTCCATCCAATTGGAGTTGCAGATGCATTGCGTTAACAATTAGGTGTCCCAACAACCGCATTTCAAACGTGGTATTCCAATATATATATATATATATATATATATATATATACAAGGAGGACATTTTATGTTAATAAAATCACGCACTCAACAAATAAGCACGTATATAAATTCACTTATCTTTCATGTATATAGTTTTTGGGTTGGAGTTTATTATGAGAAGTCATTTCATTTTTCAGATTGATCCGTATAGGCTTGTAACAAAAGTTTGTAGACCAGTGAATATGTGTTTATATTGATGGTTTTTTAGTCCCATAGCCATAGGGGACATGTAATGATGTAAATATGTGTTTTTCTTACCAACCTAATATTATTATATAGTATATATATAAAATATATGCTCTTGAATCAAAGACTATAAACTTTTAAACCCGACACTCCTGTAAAATAAAGACGTTAGTCACAATGTGTTTTTCAACATATGAGAATTGCCTCAATCGATGGCCAACACCAGCATATAAGCCATGTTTCATGCCTAAACGTGGTGCCACAACCGTTTCAAAATCTTTAATTATATTAATATTATGTTCGGGGACATTAAATAGATAATTTTGATTTAGGAATGAAGGAAGTTTACTTTAAATTTTGTACCAATTCGGCTAAACATAACATAATTTAATTTTCTAGATTTTAACTTTAATATATCTTTAATTACAACAATTTTTTTTTTAAAAGAAACAAAAAAAAAAAAAAAGATATTGAGATTAACACGTGGAGGGTATAAATAAAACTGAAAGAAATGAAGTTTAATAATGAGGAGGCATTGGGAAGGGAAAGATTCTTGTAGAAAGAGAAATAGGCATCCTACTACACTAATCATCATACCTTCTTTTTAACATCACCAAAAACCATTAATGAAGATATGTGTACAATACCATACATTCTAGTGAAAGAGCTCAACCCCTATAAAGATAAGTCCACACTGTCCCCTCTCAGTTGGTGAGAAGTCAGTTTTACTATTATTTTACTTCTTCTAAATTACACTATACTCCACTCATTCTAGTTTTATTTCTACCCACTTCACTCAATTAATCCATTAATTTCACGAGAGTTAGTGTCGGTAAAATAAAGAAAAGTGAGACTTTTTTTTGTTTGTAACTATAAAAATAGTTTTCTGTTCTTAGAATAGAAAACTGAAAATAGTATAAAAATCTCTACTTAATTTAGTTTTTAAAAAACTCTTATAAAAATACCTGTTTTCAGAGAATTATAAAAGATTTTATCTGAAAGCAGTTTCTGTTATCAGAATTTTTTAGAACTATTTTCAGAATTACAAACGAAGCAAGTCCGAAAGAAAAACGAGCAACTGACTAAACCCTTGCAAATGATTTTCTTATTCTTTCAAAGTTGAAGAATACGAGAAAACGATTAGAATTACATTATGTTTTCTAGAACAAGTCAATTTTAGTTTTCACCACTTGCGTCAAAATAAAACAATCGTTTAATTTCTTTTCTTCTGTCCCCATTCAGGACAGATTCAGAAAATTATGTAGGTTGGGGTAATAGTGAATTTTTTTAATAGTTTTGGTGGGGGCAATAATTACATATAAGTCCGTACTTGTCTTTGCTATCTTTTCCAAACATGATATAAATTAACAGTATACTTTTCTTCATTAATTAATCAAACAAGTCAGAAACTAACAACATTGTTTTCTTCGATATCATAACTAATAATGTTATCTTTACTAACTTTTATTTTTTCTTCTTGTTATACCAAACAAAGTCTTAAGGGATTTGTATGATGAGGGTAAATGATGGAGATAGTTTTTCATTAGAACTTACCTTAAGTAAATGATAATTATTATGCTTTGTCAATGACTTCTCATGATACATGTGTATAATTTGTGATTATGACTAACAATTACATATAGCTACAGTACAATGATTGAGTTGGTAAAGTGAAATTTGATTATAGTATTGCTTTTTATTCTCTCCGTGTGTCATGGACTCGTAGTGTAAATGCATATATATATCATGGAATGAGTAAAAAACATGATAAGGTATTTATCTCACGTTATAAAGGATTAATTTATGGTTATGATTAGCTTGCACATGTACAATTACAATGCTCATACAAAATTATGAATATTCGACTCTAATTAATTGATGATGTTTTTCGAGAAAAATTTATTAACATGTATCATTATTGAGAGATGTTCATATTGAAACAAAATTTTATATTGATTAGCAAGTTACATAATACTCTCTCAATTTTAAAAAGGATGTCTTGTTTGGGGAATATGATTAATTTATGGTTATGATTAGCTTGCACATGTACAATTACAATGCTCATGCAAAATTATGAATTTTCGACTCTAATTAATTGATGATGTTTTTCGAAAAAAATTTATTAACATGTATTATTATTGAGAGATGTTCATATTAAAACAAAATTTTATATTGATTAGCAAGTTATATAATACTCTCTCAATTTTAAAAATGATGTCCTGTTTGGAGAATCCCAAACAAGACATACTTTTTGGGGCGGAGATAGTACTATACTTCTTTATTTGAATTTGAAGACGAAGTTTGTCTTTGTAACATATAGCTGCATTGAGATATATTGTATGAAAAATAAAAAATGAAAAATAAAAAAATAAATTTGAGTGCTGTTGAACTATCCCACTGGTCAAATGACTCAAACTTGCCGGTTGAGCTACCGACATGAAGAAGTGAAGTGACTCGGATTTTGTTTAGTGTAAATGTCATTCATAGAGTACGTAATACTCCACTAGATTACTACTATAATTGTTGTGGTTATTACTAATTATTTCAACTTTTTGAATAGAATATAATTATTACATTTGGTAAATGAAACAAAGAACTCATTATTCTTTTTTACTGCTACTTCTTGATTAAGTAAGAGTGACCCGCATTAAACATGTCTTAATTTAACATCAAGAAACTACCAAGTGCTCGATCTCCAAAATCCCAAGAGCTATTATATTATATTATTTTATTTTATTTTCCCATATCCCTAAGAAGGATTACATTTCTGTAAGATAAGAATTCAAGATGCGAAATATGAATAAACTTGTTTTTCCTGCAAGATCATATACAAATTAAATGTAAGGAGATTTAATCAAAATTCGGAACTACATGTATTGGCTAACATATTTTCACAAAAATCGATAAGTGAACACAAACTATAAGCTTAACAGTTATGAACATATACTGGATGAAACCACAATCTTCACCACTGTATGAGAAATATATGCGTAGTGAACATTAACAGAAAAAGCGGATCAAGAACAAAAGAAATAGGCTACAACCAGAGTGTTGCAGGAATTTTAGTACGATGAGAAACCACACACAATTAGAGAGAGTTCAGAATGAATATGCATCACCGTCCCCACTATACTGTTATAGAATCACGACCACATAACAAGTGCAAAAAATACAATAACAATCCCCAAAAATTTCGGCTAGGCGTACAGTATTATTAGGCTACAAAACCAGTTTTAACTTATAGGTGAATGATGAATCGCTAGCAAGCATCTTCTGTGTTGCTTCATGCCGACAATCTCTCTAACTTTGGGTCCTCCCAACACCTTTTTCACAATCATGGGGGGCATAATCCCATGACTCTGCATGAAATCACAGGCTTTGGAATGTTTTAAAGAGAAGTTAGCCAAAGTTGATTTAACTTAAGGGCCCTTATCTCTCTCTTTGTAACAACCAAAACTTGGAAACAGACGTCCACTTCTTTGCTGGTGGGGCTCCATTCTCCTAAAGGCACACAAACCAGAAGATAGGAATGAGATAACAACAGAAGGGCAGTGCTACTCCAGCTCAGGTCCTTCCGAGGTTGTTGACACATGTCGGGAACTGTGGCTTGCAAGTCCGAGCAACCTCCGGCCTTTTTCAAAAAGAAACTTGACAGAGAATTCCATATCGAAGTCTTTTCTTGGATCCTCTCCGAAAAATCCACTTCAATCATGATCTAACCAATTTGTGTCACCAAGTAAGCATCTTATGGTGGCTTCTTCAATCCAACTATATCTTTGTTGACTGCCTCTGCCATACAAAAAAACACAAATATTGAACCAGCATGATATTCCAGCTCATTCTTCATTTGAAATAACAGTGATATTTATTCAACATTTTAGACAAATTTCATCCACAGATGGAAAAAAAATTATCTCTTTTAACAAGACCTGATGTGTCAAGCACACAGAGATAACATGATTGGTGTCGTAAACAAAATTGAGTCATAAGAAAAATGAAGTAACAAAAAAGAATAAATGAGGGGAAAGATTAGAATCTAATCATTGCAGGTGCAAAGAGTTTTAGTTTGTTGTGAATACTACTATTTCATATGTAATTTCAATAAATGAATTAGCCTGAAGGCTCAGTAGCTAAGTAAAAGCTAAGTAAAAAAATAAACTGAGGATGAGGCTAGATATCCTCACAAAGGGAAAGAACCTTGCATGGTTTTTGTAACAACACTAGGGGTGGAAATAGTAAGCTTCATATGAGCACTGCTGTGAATTGTGCAAACTGAACCTAGACTTGGGGTATATATATTCTAAGCAAAGCTTTGAAATCACAAGTTAGCTACAAATTAGGCCTCTGTATAGAAGCATATAATGGAGAACTATAAATCGACAAAATTGATAAATGTAATAACTTCATAGTTTGAACTTAAATGCAAAAGAGAGACAAACAAACAGACCAAAAAATAAATAAAAAACCTTCCCCTTCATTGATAATATATATCTCAAATTATTTGAGGAATTAAAAGACTACTACAATCTTCCAGTTCAACAACTCATGTTTATGTAACATTCTTTTATCTTTACAAGAATGGTTTCCTTTTTGCAAATCAAAAACATGAAAATTATGCTTCATGAGAGATGAGCAATCTCTCGAAACAAGAGGATCTACAGCAGTAACATAATTCAATTTCTTATCAATATGCTCTACCTCCCAAAACTTATAAAAAAGGAATAAATAATAAGAACAAAGTGATAGTGAAAAGAATAATAAGTCCTACAAATATAAAATTCTAAAGGAGAAAAAGATGTTACACTGAAGATGCAACAAGAAGAGCCTCATTAAGCACATCATCCTCACCATTTGCCAGGGCGAACAGCTCTGCATCCTTTTCTTCATCACTGGACAAATCCCGCTTCTCAAGCTTCGAATGAGCAGCAATAAATATCATTTTCTGAGCCCTCTCCAAACCTGCACTTGAGTGACCATTGGCACTGACCCCTCTCAAGGAAGACCAATTGCACTTGAACCTACATGAAGTTGCATGAAGGAAGATGAGCCTAACTGCAACTTTCCCTAGTGACTTAAACTGGGTGAGGTGAGATTCCCACACAAGCCTACTGCTTTGAGGATTGGCAATTTTCATCTTCCCAGTATTGGGGTCTCTCTGCTTCATCTGTACAGCCTGTGCATATACAGGATCAAGCCCTTCTGCTCTCCATTTCATAAGCTCCATTAGCACAATATGGGCCTCTTCCCTTGATACAAGCCGGGTTAAAAGCTTGTCGACATCCTTCTCTTGCTCAGGCGTCAAGCATTTAAAGGGAGGCAGATACTTCCCACTGGTGTCCCTAATCAAATAAAGTGGATCAAGTATAAATGCAGCAGCCCAAGCAGGGTGATAATTCTTTCTAAACCGCGTATCAATCACCTTTTCCACTGTCCCTTCGGAAATGTGGAATTTCAAACACCAGTCCTTCACTTTCGCTCTAAACTCATCCCAAAGGGGAAGACACTGCCCAATCAGTGGCTTCTCAGTCTCAATCTCTTGAGCCATTCCTTTGATTTGCTTTACTAGCAAATGCACCGCTTCGAGTTCATTCCAAAAATGAGGACTTCCCATCATCTCCTCTATCTCTCTTGCAAGTACTGGCTCCTCCATTGACACCATCTTATATGATTCGTCTAGCACCACTAGCTGAAGTGCACGTGCTGAGCTGAGTATGTCCTCAACCATAGTGCACGCAGGTCCGTAGTTTGATTTCTCACATTCACCCAAGGGAACCCTTAATAACCCAACATGCCCATACTCCTGCAACTGATACTTGTGAAAATTATTTCGAACTTGAGAGTTGTTATTGACGAAATTAGCCAGTTTCGAACAATTCTCAATCACATTATTGAACAATGGAAGCTCCCTATAGAAGTCCTTAATCAAACTAGTGAAGCCTTGAAACTGACAAGAAAGATTAACCATCCAATGATGTTGATCCTCTAAATTCCTCAATGACTTGGCCTTAAACTTGTCTGCAACTATACCAACACATTGTTGCACATTGTTCCCACAAATGTCTATGATTGTGTCCCATAAAACCTCTTCTGCATAGTTAGAAGGCACACACCCATCGGTGAACACTGCCCTCCGATACACACTAGTACCATTGGGAAGATTCACAGCCAAATTCACCAAATTTTCTCCCACCCCTTGTCCACCATTCTTTGATTTCCAACCATCGGAAGCAATTTGAAAGAACATGGCGTCTCGAATTCTGGCTTCTGATTCTGCTTTGGCTTCCTCAAATTTGGCGTCTAATCTAGCTCCGGTGAGCTCTCTTCGCGACATTGCCGGCAAACCAACCTGGTTAAGGAAAGCTTTGAACTTTGGGTGGTCGAGACTTGAAAGTGAGACTGACCCACATGACTCATAGACCCAATCAGCAAGATAATCAAGTGCAGAATCAATCTGGGTCTTGCTTAGAGTTGGACCAGGCGATGATTTTGGACTCTTTAGCTTCTTCACACTATCTTCCAACATTGCTAAAGCCCCCAAATCTTCTTTCCCGCCAGACAACATCAAATGCTGCTGCTGCTGACCATACAAAGAACCGCCGCCGCCACTGCCACGACCACCGGAAGAAGATGAACTACGCTTACGGTGGTGCTGCTGCTGCGAAGCAGAGGAAGGCGAAACCAGATGAGGCATAGAAATTGACGAAATTGGTGAAATTGATGAAATGGGTTTGGGAAAATGATGGTAATTTGGGCAAGTTCCTTTCTTGAGATGCTCTGAAGCAGTTCTCGATGGGTTCGAAGCAGAGAAGAGAGACTCACACAGAGAACACCTCAATTTCACAGCTTTGGCCAAGCCCGAATCGGGATTGTGAACCAGAATGGGCTCAAGGTGAGACCAGTACCAAGCCCCTTTGCCCTTAATCGCTTTGTTTCGAACCATCACCAACCCTTCATATCGTTTTTGCAGGGACTTCGCTGCGAGCTCGTCTGGTGAGAGTGACACTGACGAAGACTCAACGTGTTGAGTGGGTGCATTTGTTCCCGCCATTGTATCAGCAACACTGCAGAATGAATTTGCAATATATATCGCTGAGTATAATCAAATATATATGTGTGTGTATATCTATATATGGTTGTGGATGAAAAAGGAAAGTTGTGGTTTTTCTATTTAGTTTGGTTTTCTGAAGGGTTATTTTGGAACTTTAGATTATGGTTTTGCCATGGTTGGAGGGTATAAGGGTGGTGACCGTTTGACGGTCGTAGCCCTGCATTTAACCGGAAAACGCCTACGGCGGCGGACGGAATTTGATGTTCTCCAGAGGGCCATTCCGGAGTCCGGCGATCTGGTACTTTAGGGTTGTGATGATGGTCTCGGTGATGGGTTGTTTTCAGTTGTCTGCAAAGAAGTTTCGGGGGGAGAGAGTGAGAGAGCGTGTAGAGAGAGAAAAGAAGAGAGGAGTCAAGGGAGTAGAGAGAGTAGAGAAACAGGGTGGAGATATGTACCATGTTGTTCCAAACGTCAGTGTAATGATCACGCGCTGTACGTGCAAGTGGAAAAAGCTTCTGCTTGGTTAAAGAAAGAGAGAAATTTTTTTGTTTAATTGAATTCTTTCTAGCATTGCATGTAACCTTAAAAAAACATGAGATTATTTTCATACTTTTATTTTACTTCAATTTGCTTATTAGAGAGTGGAGAAGAATATCCCATCCACATGGTTACTAATTAGAATATCTCACCCAAAAAATAATTTTCCATTTTTAATTAAATGAAAACCATATAATGATACAAAAACTCAGCAACACTCAATTTTAAAAAGACCTGTGTTAAAATAATTTTGTGTTCTAAAAAACTTTTACAACAAAACTGCTTAAATATTTATTTATTGGAATAAAATATTACAATTGCGCACAAAATATACTATGTTACTAGGTCATTAGTAGAATTGTATAACTTCTCTGCCTTCCTTACACACACACACACATATATAATGCATTTGTGATGATCCATTTTCTCACTCTTCATAATGCATAGGACGTTGTAGTTACTAGTTAGTGGAGGTACGTTTTCATTCGTGATTCTCGTGCACATTCTCGGTCCAAAATCATTTAACAAACAAATTCTTTCATACGGTTTAAGTTTCCCGCTAGACTCAGTTTAAATTTTAACTCAAATTTTTTTCTTAATTTTTCACTCAAAATTTAAAAACTTATTCTATTTAGGAATATAAATCAAATAAACATTCTTTCTAAATTTACACAATTATACTAAATAAACTTTAATATTCTTCTAGCAACAATAGTTTTGTTTATAACATCAAGTGTAAGGAAAAAAAATAGTACTTTTGCATTATAAACCGGATGGAAGGATGCCGAGTAAAACCTTTATCGGTCCCCCTCACACTTGTTTGAGTTTTTACTATACAATTTAGGATAAATTATACTTAGTCCCCTTAAGACTTGTTAATATTTTACATAGACCCCTTCTTGATTTCGTAATCCCACTTATCTCTTCTATCAGTGAAATATTTATTTTTATTTCACATTTTCTGTTGCTGATACAAATTATTCATCTTCGGATGCACATGCACGATATGAAAAATCTGTTACATAAATAACAACATCTTCGGATGCACATGCACGATATGAAAAATCTGTTACATAAATAACAACTTTAAAGAAACTAAATAAAATTATAAATTCAAAAATAGATTTAGATAGGATATTGATAAACCAGAGGCCAGTGGAATTTACCTATAGTTAATTACAACTCCTAAAATCATCAAATGAAGAAATCCATTTTAAATGGGACAAGGGAGGGTGGGTGCTTGAGAAAATAGACTATTTTGCCATCCCTAGGAGTTGGGCTGGAGAAGGGAGCGACGATTCTTAAACCACACTTCCTTAATTAGAACGTGAAGTCCACGCTGTTTAAAGCAGTGGACCAGTGGTCTTCGATATTGAGTTTTATATTTGGGACTTTTGGACCTTGTAGTGGGGTCTTGTGAGACATTGGGCAGCCCCTTTTTTTTTTTTTTTTTTTTTTTTTTTCAACCCATTAGACATTAGTTTTCTTTCTTTAATTTCATTTATACTATATATATATATAAATTTAAGGATATTGAGGATTTTGTTTCTTTAATTTTCATTAATACCATATATATATATACATATATACATACATACATATACAAAGACATATATAGGATATTGAGGATTTTCTATTACAAGCTTATATGGCTCTCTTATTGTGCCTTGTTTTTCATGTGGTGTTAGTTAGAATAAGGGCATATAATAGGCAACCTAAGAACCACCAGTTTTTTGATGGGCCAGTGTTGTTGACCAAATCAAACATGGGAATGGGCTTGACAAAGTTTCAACCAATGTATTTGCAATTAAGAGACGTCAAGGGTAGGTGATATATTACATGGATTTAGTCATTCACGAGCTAATTTGGTCTTTCTTTTTGGCACAATTACATGGAAACATGTACCATAATCTTTTGAAGATTCTTCTTTTTCACTCAATTACATGGATACATGTACAGTAATATGGCGAAGAATGTCGATTTTTATTTTTTTATTAAATTTAAATTTGACATTATATACACGAGTTTTTAAATTTCTGAAGGTCTGTTACACATTTGTTTAGTCATATGGTCAAAAACCATGCATCCCAATTTCTTAGATCTCGGGGGAAGATCTCTTGATTTTAAACTCAAAATTGGAATTGAGTTTTTGTACTAACAATTTTGACTCATTTTAACCATTCAATTATTACTGCAGAATACAGTAAATATTAAGCAAAATTCTGAGTTAACCCGAAGGGATTCAAAATCTCAACTCCTTTAAATTAAATACAAGTTAATGAGATCCCTACACGCACAAAACTTGTAAAACTACCTATAAGGTATTTAAAAAAAAAAAAAAAAAACAAATTTATTGAATCTCCGTGATTTTTTGTGATGTCCATCAGTCCATGTCTTGTTTAGGGTCAGTTGGTGAAACTAGACTTAGGTCTCCTTGATACTTGGGTCCAAGACCCCAAATATTGTGCTAATTGATGAGCCATTTCTTAAAAAGTAACTATAGTTAACCCAACATGAGTTTCCTATGTCGCATCTGATCAGAGTTGTTGGAGAGGGAGCTTTTAAGTACAAAATATTGGTATCTAGTGTTTGGGTGTGGGTTTGATTCTTTTCCAACTCTGCAAATTTCTGATTTAAAATATTACCCTCAATATGAGACTTGGTAGATAGTCAAGAGTCAAGTCCAAAGACGAGTAATTGCGAGAGCTCTTAAAAAATAACAGATAATGAGGTTTCTACTTTCTAGACTTCTAAATGGGGAGTACCAAAAACGAATCCTTAATAAAAGAAATAAAAAATATGCAATGGTGAGACCAGGAAAGGAAAAATAAAAAAAGGTAACAAACTCGCCCACCGTGGGGCTCGAACCCACGACCACAAGGTTAAGAGCCTTGCGCTCTACCAACTGATCTAGACGGGCTTTCAATGTTTTGCAGGGTGTATCTTCTCCATATATATAAATTACATAACCACTGGAATATATATTTTAGAGTTAAGGTATTTATCGTCACCACTCTGCATTAATAAATTAGGGTTAAGTTGAACAATAAAACTACTGACAACCTTACAAGTTTTAAATACGGAGGTTCAGCTCTCTTACTGTTCTATTCATAAAGTGAACAACATAGGAAGTGCTTGGGTTTTTCATTTACCATATTAGAGCATTTTTTTGAGGCAAAAACCTCGATGTAATTATCCTCTAATCTCAATGCCATTTGTTTCCATCTCAATGCTGGTTGAAGAGTAATGTTGAGAACCCATATTAAAAGCAATTGGAATTTCATAAATCTAGGAAACATTCTATTGTGTAGCTCACATAATTTGTTTCTATTTGATTGTTGATATGATTAAGTAATTTGAAAACATGACTATTTTGCTAAAAGTTTATTACTTCCAAGTTTTCCACTGTCTGAGCTTCATCCGTACGAAGTATTCTAAGTACATGAGCATCTCAGAATTCATATTCACAAGAATCAGAAGCAATAAGCCCCCAATTTATAAGATAATGAACTGAACATACTGTTTAAAAACATCAGGTTATACACCTAAACCCGGAGTTTTCAAGATTCACCCATCATACTACAAAGGATCACAATACCGAAAGACCACAGTCATCTCCATCTAGACAGCCAAAAATCTCTAATATTCCAGACCATGGCATAGTGAGAAGTGAGAACAACAGATGATGTGAACTTGAACATCAGGTTCGAAGCGTTGTCACTATTGAGAAGCATGCTGGAAAAACCAATGGCTAGTCTTCGGTTCTGAAGCTCCATGTTTAGTCATATTTGAAATCTCCACCAGGGATGTTGTTTTGGCCTCCATTTTGTTGCCCACTGCTCTTCAATTCATCTTTCAACTGAAAAACGTAAACAAGTAATGATTTTAAAAAACTAACATTCAAGCAGTACAACATATCAAACTTGGTCACCGCTGCACAATGACACAAAGGGGCATCTATCACCTCCTGCCCAGCATATAATGTCACCAACATTGAGACCAAGCATATAAACCAAAGTTCTAACAAAAATAATGGAAATCAATTACAGGCTCTAAAAAATCAGTAAGCCTCCAGGACTTAGATAATGAATGAACCCCTTGCACATTCTACAAAAAGAGAGATGTGGAAGAAGAACTCAAATCAAGCCGCCAAACAACCAACACAAACAAAGAGACAAAGAACTGCAGCTTTTACCTGCCGGAGGAGCCTCTTTTGGTACCGGAAGCCCTAGTGAGATAAACCAAAGAAGCATTACAACATTATAGCATAAGCTGTTCTGAAATAAAAATCATGAAACTGATTATCTAATTACCTTATCAGTTCCATAGATGTAATCACAGTAGGTGAACACAGAAGCAAAGTTGCTCTGGCTCTGTCCACCAACATAATGATGGTAATCATGGTATTCTGCACCACCATAAAATGGAATATATTTTGTGGGAGTCCAAGGAATGTCGTACCTGTGTAGTAGTGGTATGACACGTTATAGATACTCTAAAAACATACTTAAAGTAGGAGAAGACCAGCAGAAATGTTAGAGAGCACCTGCTCACATTTCAAAACCTTTTACAATTTGAATGTGTGTAAGCCAAAAAGAAGGAATACAGCTTGCTATACAAGTGAAAAAGGCCAACTCTGCTTTTTCTGCTTTTTATCTTTTATCTTGCTAGAGGATTGACAAACAAGAAAAAGCATTACACATATTCAATTTCATGTCAAGTGAAAAAGGCCAACTCCGCCTTTTCTTTTCTTTTTATCTTTTATACCATCCCCTCTTCCTTAGTGCTCCTTGCTGGTGCTAGCATGTCTTTTATACGCATAACCAGACTATCTTCAATTGGCCTTTCCGTACATCCAGCTGTGTAATTCAGCAAAAGAGATTCTTTTCATCACTTTTGTATATGTTGAGAGAAATTTTCAATGCTTTTTATATGTTAAACTCGACTCTAGTCATATTGACAAGAGGCTGCAGGTCAGGTAAGAATTTATAAAGAAAATTTTATGATTTACTCAACTTCCATAAATGATAAAAAATAATAATAATAAATAAATAAATAAACAACAAATTTAGGAAGAAAAGGAATCCAGAAAACAATAATTTGATCTGGTTCTCCAACTAATCATCATTACATATATTTTTTATATTTAATAGCTAAGAAAGGCAAAAACGAAAGAAAACCAACATAATCAACGACTATCTACCAAATAACTAACCTATTATTAATTTTATAATCAATGGCTCTGTAATTATTAAAGGCTCAAGGTGTGTTAAGCACCAAGATCTCCTAAGCACGAGGGGCAGTGTAATGTGTCTAAAGGCCGCACGTGAGCTTGGAAAGGTCCAAGTCCATGACAGTAAGGCCAAAACCAATGAAGCAATGCATAATATACTTACAGTTGATATAATTCAATATATGCAACACCAACGAGTCAAAAATATTTTTAAAAGAAAAAAGAAAAAGGAATATTGATGTTATTATTATTATTTTATTTCTTTTGACATGTCAATTAGGAGGAATAGCTAAATGAATGTGCATGTGTCCTCTGAATTTGTATATATGTACAACTAAACCAAATACCAGGCAAATATGCAATAACAAAAGGCTACAACTATACAAACCTTAAGCATATATGATATTATCATAAGTATACTTTCTTGGTAAGTAAATTTTTATACATATGAAGAACCAGAGCACTAGAGGAATGTAATTCAAGTTGACATATAGAAGTGGTCCTGAATACCAAATATTTTATATAATTTAACTATAGGACATGGCATCCAATAGAAGTTAAGGGAGAAAAAGGACGAGGAAGATATGATTAAATGATTAATAATAAAAAAAACCTGCTTTTTATTGAGCATCAAATCTACTAAAAAGTGGGATCTTGAGGCCTTTATGCACATCTAATTGAAAGGGCTTGCCTGTCATAAAATGAGCCAACATGACAAACCTTAACAAGCTTAGTGCTCATTAATGTACAGGCATGCCTTCAACAACTATAAGCAGCTCGAATAGTACTAGCAAACTTAATCCTTCGGAAGAACTATGCAACCGTGAATTATTTTCATAGCAAAGTAAGAATTTTCCATTTTTCTTTTTCTTTATTGTTTGCACAACAATCATGTCTCAGAAACTTGATTTAAGAATTTATTCCAAGAAAAATAAATAAATCACTCACAGATTTGTTCATCGACTTTCCATGTTGAAATGAGAAAATATTAAAGATAGCAACAGGGGTACCTTTTAAAACAAAAGATTAACTTGTGTATAAAATAATAATAATAATAATAATAATATATATATATATATATATAATCTAGAGTTAAAATTTACAGCAATCAATCCACGAGGACCCATGCCCCAAATACAGGATCTAATGAATCTCTTTATATTTGAATTTTAAAATCATTTACAATTAGATTTTCAACTTTCAGTAGTCATTTTTAGAGTTTATTGGTTCTATCTCCATCATTCACATTTTCTTCATTGAATTATGCTCAACTTCTCAATCACTTTTATTATTCATTTCCCTTTTTTTGTTTGCTCAATTAATTAAGAATAAAACAGTATTTCTTTATACATTCAACAAATGGATTCTTCAATAGTAATATACTCATTTCGATCATACACTTGATCTTGAAAACTTTTAACACATTGGACCTAGAATCCAAAATTAATATTCCTAAATAATAACATTGCAAAACAATTGATGACAATGAAATGAAACAACCATCAAAGATAAGACCTCTATAACAATTCAAGAAATTCATATAAACTTCTTCCCAAGTTAGCACAGAGTAATATCTGGAAAGTGAAGAAGACCCAAGGCACTTTAAAGGCAATAATGAAGCAACCACACAAATAGAGGAAGAAACAATGATGCACAAGAATGACATTCCAGACATAAAATCCACATTTCTCTTGATCCAAGAGTAAAACATGTTCATTATTTAAATTTTCTTAATCAACATTATTAGATTACTTCCCCTTTAACCTTGAACCTTGCTATAAGGAGCTAACAGTTTCACCTCCCCTTTGAGGGAGGAGAGGTTTTACCATTGGGCTAATGGCCCATTGGTGTGTCAGTGTGAGTACTTAATACTTACCTAATCAAAAAAAAAAAAAAAAAAAGGAAAAAAAGAGCTAACAGTTTCAACTCCACCACTACTGATTCAAATCAACCAAATTCTAAACCCAAATTCACATATATAAAGCAGCAAAAGCAAAAGACGTTTTTGATGGCAAATAAGCCCTAAATCATCTATAAATTATAGCAAACACCTATGTTAGACAGAGCAGGAGCAAGAGCGAAAAAGTGGCAAAATCTAAAATTTGGGCAGAGCATTTCTACACTTGTATGCTATCATAAATAGATAGATAGCATGCGCATGTATAAAAAACTTTCGGTATTTGTACATATGCTAAAGGCAATTACTGGGTGAAACAATAAAAAATTAATCTCATAAATTATTTCTTCTACGTTAGGAGATACATAATGTTTTACCAAGTTAAAATACAAAAAAATTAATGCTATATATATATTTTTTTAAAGGGGTATAAGTCCAAAAATCTATACATTTATTTGTAATTCTTAAAGAGATAATGTTTAAATTTTTATAAGTTAAAGATTTAATTTAAGAAATTCTAAAAGCATCTTAACTAAATAAAATAAAACTAATAAGTTTATACGCAACCTTTTTGCAAATACACATGTTTGCACACATGCACAAACTTAATATTTTCAGATTATTATATTCTGTTAAGAACTAGTTTAGATATCTCTTATAATTAAGACATTTATTATTAAATAAATAACATAAACGAAAAATTATCAATATGAAATGGGCAACAACATGGTAAGAATTGTTGTCCTTTCTTAATATTATAGGTTCATTTTTAGTTCAGCGCGCTTCTGGCAGTTTTTATTCAATTTTAGGTATATTTTGTTTCGTTGTATATATAACTGTCACTTGTGGTTGTTCATCATTCAAGGAATGTAAAATCATTATGAATTCAAGAATTCGCAAACAGATTTGAGGGTTAACAAAATTGAATTCACGAATTAAGGAATGATTTCCTCTGAGAGTCCCAATTCACTCACGTTGCGTGAGGATGGCACCCCTTTAGGAGCATTGGGTGACTTTGGCAAACACCCTAATTGTGAATAAATGTAGTAATATATAACAATGTAACAAGCGCAATAACATATAATTATCTTCCAATTATCAAATACCAAAAATAATAATAATACTAAACAAAAATTAATAAATTTTTATTTAATTAAGAAAAGATTAAAAAAAAATGGGGCTCTAGAGAAAGAAGAAACTCCAAAGGAGGTCGCCCTTTGATCCTCCTTTCAAAGCCCAAAAAGTAAAGTATTATTCAAAATCCACAGTTTCAAATGAATTAAATACACAGTAAACAACAGAACAATGAATGATAAAAGCAACTTTACTGTTAACCATCATTAGCTCAACTTAGCTAAAGAAGAAAATGGCATTCATCAAACACATTAAAAAAAAGTGATTTAAGGCAGCGCATGCGTACCCACTGTGAGTCTCAATGGCCTCAATCTGCCTCAAAACAATCCATAGCCAAAATGTAATCATGTGCCCTGGAACAATGGCAGGCCCTAGGAATGAAGGAATCCCAAGAATCAAAACCTCCGCCCAGTGCGCGTATGGCGCTGCATACCCGATCGGTGCAGTATATTCATGGTGAACCCTATGAATTTTCTCGTACCCCCATTTGCAATGCAGAAACCTATGGATCCAATAGTTCGTATAGTCCTCAATTATGAAATAAACCCCCAATTGCGCAACAATTTCACTCAGTGATGGCAATGGTAAACTCGTCCGAATCCCAATAATCTTCAACAATAATCAAGTGATAAGCAATAAAATTTCAAACCCAAATCATTATAATAACATAAAATATGCATAACCAACATAATTATTTTCAATAAGAATTAAGTGAAAACCAATAAATAATCAATTCGAAATCGTTATACTAAAAGGATGTATTCATAATTGTCTCATATTATGCATTTCAGTGTGTGAAATAAGCAACATAATTTCGGCCAGTGATGGCTATGTCAAGCCCGTTATAGTCCCAATCATCTTCAACAATAGTCAATTAATAAGCAATAAATAATCAAACCCAATATCAGAATAATAAAATGCAATAACTATCATAGTTATCATATATATATATATATATATATATATATATATATAAAGAGAGAGAGAGAGAGAGAGAGAGGGGCATACTTTGATGGAAGGGTAGGAGATGAGTTGGAGAGGGCCAACGACGAAGAAGAACATGCGCATTACGTCTCTGTAACATTTGAAGGTTTCGGAATAGGAGAGTTTGATTTTGGGTTGGATTTTGTAGATGTGGATTTTCTTGTAAACGAATTCGATGAGGATGTAGAAGAGCGGGACGACGGAGAATACGAGGAAGAGGAAGAGAATGTTATGGCAGTAGAGGAAGTAGTCGGATTTGGTGGCGGAGTAGTTGAACCATACGGTTTCGACGGTGGTTAGGGCTCGGCCGAGGGCGGTCTCCGCCTCATGGATGGTTTTGTAGGGCAACATGGGCGGCGGAGGCGGAGAGGTGCGGAGATTGGCGGTGGGGAGTAGAGGACAAAGTGGGTCGCAGGCGCACAAACAGTGGGTTTGTGGGGGTGGTTTAGTTTGTTAAAAATATGCGGGAATATTTAAATAAGGAAAAATAATAATTCGCATTAGTACTCACTAGTCCACGTCACTTGTTGTAAATGAATGTGTGAATACATTTAATACTCTTCCCTCCCCCACCCAAAATCAAAGCCTTCCCTTGTCACACAAATCAATCATTATTATTAGTATTTTTGTAGGGGCCTATTTTGACTTTAACCCGAGCTCATAATAAAAATAAGTTTGGATTGGACTAATCAAATATGAAGTTGAATTGTGCTCAAGTTTGAATCAAATTTCGTAGTGTGCTTAATTGAGATTAAGTTGATTTTTTTATCTTTTCCATCCACTTGATTTGCACCCAATTTAAATTTAGTGGGACGGTACAAGTGGTGAAGTTTAAAAGGTAAGATTGCTTACTTGGTTTAATACATTTAGAAAATGTTATAATTGACAATTTTAAATGTAGTGGTTATTCTAACATTTAACTTAAATATGTATTTAAATTATGTTTTTTTTTATCTTTTTAATTTGAGTAACGTTGGAGGAACCGAATAGCTAATTTCGAAATTTCATCGACGTTACCTAGCCACGTCAGCTTCATTATCACTAACGCGTGAGAATTTAAACACTCTCTCTCACCTCGCGTGGGTTTGTCTTCAACCTCACATACTGTACCAGAATGGTTGGGTGAGTTTCGATCTTCAAACTCACAAATTGGATCAGATCCCAAGGTTCAATTGTAGTACTCAACGGCAACGATCCCTAACGAGGAGGCTGCTTGGTCTTCTGTTGCAAGAGATGCGTACCGGGCCACCGGACCAGCTTCCGACTGCCCTCTGTGTCGATGGTGGTGAACTTACAGGCGCCATATCGGAACTCATTTAGACGAAATTAATAGATCCAAACAAAAATAATGGGTCTCTCTGTGTGTGTGTATATATATATATACAAATTCATTCCCAAATAAATATTATACACTCATACCTATATCTATGTGTGTGTGTATATACCTTCTATTGTATATTCTCTTGCTGATTATGATATTTGTGTTTTCTGGTCAATTACAATGCTTGAGAAAACCATCTTAACACATTTCCAGAAGACAATGGTTCCGATTAGGATTTTTCTGAGTTTTCCTTTTATTTTATGCACTTATTTTTTTTTTTTCGTTTCAAAATCGGTGACTAAACAAAGTTCAGATTTAGTTTGTCCGGGAAAAATTCCAGACTTGTTCATTCTCTAAATAGAACCCATGTCTTCAGATTTAGTTTCTCTGGGTAAAAATTCAAGACTTCATTCTTTAAAGAGAACCCATTGTCTTGAGGTTGAAGATGAATTTTGAAGGGCCCACGCACGTGAGGTAAGAGAACATGTTGAATTATGTTGTTTGAAGAAGCTTACGTGGCCGAGACACGTCAAGTTCGGTGAAAATTCGAGAATTAGCTATTCGATTCTCCAATCGCTACTCTTTCAATTTTTACAGAGAGGCCTGACTGCAGTTTTTCCACCGTCCAAAAGGAGGAATGAATGTAGGTTGTGACGAAAATAGATGTCCTGAATGTGAACAATGCGACAAAGAAGGATTATTGTAAAAGATTATTGATACTTGGATTGATTGGTCGATAGCTCCTTTTAGGTGAGCGAGCGTTTCAACTAATGGATCGGGGACTACAAGGCAACGATTGGAGAGGGAAAGCCGGCACATGAGTTTATCGGTGCATCTTTTTTCAGCTTCTTTTTCGTTTTACAGTAAGTTTATAAGAATTTAATTTGTACGAAATCTAAACACAAAAACTGTATTTGGAATCTTGAACTTCAACAACAATCAACGACTTGAAGAACCTAGGATTGATAAGGGTTGATATTTCATTTATGTATATATTATATACTCATGTCTTGAGTAATTCTTGTTGGGGGAGGTAACAATAAACAAATATAGCGGAATAAATCTTTTTCCTATATGCAAGCAAATATAATATGTCTCTACTTTTATATGTGCTGAAAAAAAAATAAAAATAAAAAAATAAATAAATAAACAATCAAACCAAGCCACAAGAACACAAGCAATTTTTTACATGAAAAATTTTCCCAGTGTGAGAAACAAAAACCACGGGACCTAGTCCAGTTGAAACCTCCACTATCAACCAAATAATTGGTACACAAAGTCATCTCTAATCTTAATTAGAGGTTACAATACATCTCATCAAGATATCACCAATCTTGGCAAAAACAAAGAGAATTGGAGAGAAAAATACCAAAACTTAGTTACTATTCACGGGCACGAATCACTGTTCCCGAGCTCAAAATCCGATCTCCACCATTCATATTTTAATTCATTGAGTCGTGAACCTCTCCTCCAAATTTCAGCTCGATCGGACCACGAACAAAGCTGGATCGGACGTTTGATGAAATCTGGGCAGAATAGAAAAAACCTGCGTTTTTCTTCTTTCTCTTGTGAAAAAAACGGTTGACCTCTCTCCCTCTTTTATTCTGACTTCCTTAGGGCTATTTACCCTAAAGAGCTGGGTTTTGGGCTATAATAAAACCCACTTGGGCTTTCCTCCATATAGAAGAAAATAAACCCAACAAATCTCCCCCTTTCCACTATGTGGAAGCAATCGTCATCCCGGCGATCGAACAACAAACTTCAAGCTTTTCTCTTGGTAGGGTCTTTGTCAACATATCAGAACCATTATCATCAGTGTGAACCTTCTCAAGTTCAAGTAACTTATTGTTCAACGCATCTTTGATCCAATGGTATCATACATCAATGTGCTTAGATCTTGCATGAAAACTGGAATTCTTAGCAAGATGAATAGCACGCTGGCTATCACAAAACAACACATACCTTTGCTTCTTGAAACCAAGTTCTCTCAAGAACTTCTTTGCCCATAGCAACTCTTTAGTCGTTTCCGTTGTTGCAATAAACTTTGCCTCTGTCGTAGAAAGAACAATACACTTTTGAAGTCTCGATTGCCAACCTACAGCCCTACCTGCAAAAGTGATTAAATAACCCAAAGTAGACTTACGAGTATCCACATCCCCTGCCATATTTGCATCTGTGTAGCCAACTAACAATGGTTGTCCGTTTCCCAAACCAAGTCTCAAACGGGAAGTGCCTCGAAGATACCTCATGATCCACTTCACTGCATTCCAGTATTCTCTTCCCGGATTTGACAAGAATCGGCTAACTACACCAACTGCATGGGCTATATCTGGTCTTGTGCAAATCATTGCATACATCAAACTTCCTACTGTTGAGGCGTAAGGAACTCTTTCCATGTCTTCCTTTTCCTTATATGTAGAAGGACATTGTTTTGTACTCAGTCTGAAGTGGGTAGCAAGAGGAGAGCTAACCACTTTAGTGTTGTCCATATTGAACCTCTGAAGCACTTTTTCAATGTACTCCTCCTGTGACAAATATAACTTCTTGGTACTCCTATCACGACTGATTCTTATGCCAAGAATTTTCTTTGCTAGACCTAAATCCTTCATAGCAAATGACTTACTCAATTATTTCTTCAATTGGTCAATCCTTAAAGCATTCCTACCAATAATCAACATGTTATCCACATAAAGCAGTAGAATAATAAAATCATCATCAGAATTTTTTTTAACAAATACATAGTGATCAGAAGTTGTCTTCTTGTAGCCTTGCTCTCCAATAACAGGCTCAAACTTCTTATACCACTGTCTCGGTGCTTGTTTCAAACCATATAGGCTTTTCTTTAGCTTGCACACATAATCCTCTTTCCCTTTCACTTTGAAACCCTTTGGTTGCTTCATATAAATCTCTTCCTCCAAATCACCATGAAGGAAGGCAGTTTTCACATCCATTTGCTCAACTTCCAAGTAAGACTAGTTGCTAGGCCGAGTGCTATACGGATCGATGACATCTTTACAACTGGAGAGAAGATCTCATCAAAGTCAATACCTTTTCTCTGACCGAACCTTTTGACAACCAATCTAGCTTTATACCGTGGCTGTGAAGAGAAACCATTTGGTTTCTTCCTGTAAATCCACTTGTTTTCCAAAGCTCTTTTTCCTTTAGGTAGCTTCACTAACTCAAAAGTATGATTAACATGCAATGACTACATCTTATCTTGCATGGCCTCAACCCACTCTGTCTTGTGTTCATCTTCTATGGCTTCTGCAAAACACTAGGGCTCTCCCCCGTCAGTCAATAACACATACTGCTCTGTTGAATACCAAGTGGAAGGACGTCGGTTTCTGGGAGACTTCCTGGATGGAATCTCTGGCGCTGTCAACTGCTCATCAGTCTCAACATCTCCCTGAATCTGTAGGGGAACATCCATATCACCTGTACACTGGTGGTCATCTTGAACATCATTCTCAACCTGGGATGGCAGATTCTTCAGAGGAGCTGGATCTACATCAGTCAAGATATCACCTTGCTGAGACATAAATTTCCCTGCTTTCTCAACATTCTGAATCGTCTGATCTTCTACAAACACGACATCTCTGCTTCTCACAATTTTCTTCTCAACTGGATCATAAAGCTTGTACCCAAACTCATCTTGGCTATAGCCAAGGAATATACACTGTCGTGGTTTCACATCAAGTTTGGACCTTTCATCTTTTGGAATATGCACCAATGCTTTGCACCCAAAAACACGAAGATGATTATAGGAGACATCCTTACCTATCCAAACTCGGTTTGGCACATCAAACTGTAGAGGAACACAGGGTGTAAGATTCAACACATGAACAACTGTGCTCAATGCCTCCCCCCAAAAGGATTTTGGCAACTGGGCTTGTGAAAGCAAACATCTCACTCTCTCAACCAGTGTCCTGTTATTCTTTCTGCTACGCCATTCAACTGAGGAGTTTTAGGAGTTGTCTTTTGATACTGGATACCCTGCTGTCTACAATACTCATCAAAAGGACCAGAAAACTCTCCGCCGTTATCAGTACGAATGCATCTCAGCCTCTTTCCAGTCTGTCTCTCAACTAGTTGAAATTGCTTGAACACTGCTAACACTTGGTCTTTTGAATTCAAGGTATATACCTACAACTTCTTTGAATGATCATCTACGAAGGTCACAAAGTATCTGAAGCCACCAAGTGTTCTCGTCGTCATAGGGCCACACACATCTGAATGTACCAAATCCAGTATCTCTGACTTTCTCAAATGAGGGGAATTCTTGAAGGAGACTCTGCTTTGCTTCCCTGACAAACAATGAGTACACATTTTCAGAAGTATACTTTTCAATCCACATAGTAGACTTTTCTTCCCAAGTAGAGCTAATCATTTCTCACTCATGTGAGCCAGTCTCTTGTGCCACAACTCTGTTGTATCATTATCCTCCATCGCATTAACAATGTCGTTGGAGATCTTTGTTTGCAGAACGTTTAGTGCAAAGTGCTTCATGCCTCGAGCCACAACCATAGCACCCCTAGTGAGCTTCCACTGGCCATCACTGAAAGTGCTGCAATACCCTTCATCATCAAGTTTACCTACAGAAATCAAATTCAAACGAATGTCAGGAACATGCTTCACATCTCTGAGAACTAACTTCGTGCCATTATTCGTCTTCAGATACACATCCCTAATTCCAATGGCTTTAACCAAGCCATCTTTGCCCATCTTTACTGTTCCAAAATCATAAGATTTATAAGATGTAAAGAAATCCTTCCGAGATGTAGCATGAATGGAGGCACCACTGTCAATCACCCAACTAGTCTCATTGTATGTAACATTTATCGTCTCATCATTATAAACAATGAGGAAGTCTGCAGGAGTGGTGGTAGCAACTCTGTCATCACCATCTTTGTCATCTCCATTCTTTGTTCCCTTCCCTTTCTTATTCTTGTTTTCTTTCTTCAATTACTTGCAATATTTTTTTATGTGTCCCTTTTTTCGGCAATGATAACACTCAACATTTGCAAACTTGTTGGACTTGCTTCTGTTATTATCTCTGTTCTTCGGACCTCTGCTCTTACTTCTCCCATCTTTTCTGTAATCAAGATCTCTGACTGTGAAGAGGATCCCTGTGTTTTTCTTCCCATCTCTTTATTTAGCAAACAACTCTTGGCCATATCCATTGTGATTACACCTTTTGGAGCGGAATTAGACAATAAAGTTCTGAGCGTCTCCCACAAGTCCGGTAACGAACCAAGCAACCATAACCCTTGTATGTCATCATCAAGCTTAATACCCATTCCAGCCAGCTGATTAATAATTTCTTGGAATGTATTTAGGTGATCAGATAAATGAGTCCCCTCCTAGTATCTCAAAGCCATCATCTGGTTAATCAGAAACAATTTATTATTTACAGTCTTTCTAGCATATAGCTGTTCAAGCTTACTCCATAGAGAACGTGCATTTGTTTCTCCACTAATGTGGTTCAAAACATTATCATCTACCCACTGCCTGATATACCCACACACCTGTTGATGTAACAAAGTCCATTCCACATCAGACTTTTTTTCTGGTTTTTCAGCACTAAGCACCAGTAGGTAATAATCTTTCATATAAAGAAGATCCTTCATTTTTCCTTTCCATATGTGATAATTTGAACCATTGAAATTAATCATTCTACTCGTTTTTGCTTTCATAACTTAAACTGCCAACCTGTCAATCTGTTAACCTGGCGCTCTAATACCACTTTGTTGGGAGAGGTAACAATAAACAAATATAGCGGAATAACTCTTCTCCCTATATGCAAGCAAATATAGTACATCTCTATTTTTATATGTGCTGAAAATAATAGAAAAAAAAACAATCACACCAAGCCACAAGAACACAAGCAATTTTTTACGTGAAAAATGTCCCCAATGTGAGGAACAAAAACCACGGGACCTAGTCCAGTTGAAACCTCCACTATCAACCAAATAATGGGTACACAAAGTCTTCTCTAATCGTAATTAGAGACTATAATACATCTCATCAAGATATCATCAATCTTGGCAAAAATAAAGAGAATTGGAGAGAAAAATACCAAAACCAGATTACTGTTCACGAGCACGAATCACTGTTCCCGAGCTCAAAATCCGATCTCCACCGTTCAAATTTTAACTCATTGAGTCGTGAACCTCTCCTCCAAATTTCAGCTCGATCGGACCATAGACGAAGCGGGATTAGACGTTTGATGAAATCTGGACAAAATAGAAAAAACCTGCGTTTTTCTTCTCTCTCTTGTGAAAAAAATGGCTGATCTCTCTCCCTCTTTTATTCTGACTTTCTTAGGGTTATTTACTCTAAAGAGTTAGATTTTGGACTTTAATAAAACCCACTTGGACTTTCCTCCGTATAGAAGGAAATAAACCCAAAAATTCTTCCATTACAAAGGTTCAAATGCAAACCCATTAGGGTTTTGTTTATCGTTTATATCCCTTCTTCCATTCTTTCTTTTCTTTTTTCATAAGATTTCAAATTTCTACCAACCATCTAAATTTTTTTACTCAATTTTTAAAGAGTTATGATGTGGCAAAAGGCTATTGGCCACGTGTTGGGTCGATAATTTTTCGATTTTAAAAAGCAAGGACATGGCAAAGGGCTATCCGTAACTTTTCGATTTTTACCTATAAGTCAAGTATAACACTTCTCAAGAAAAAAAATATAAATGCTTAGCTTAAAACGTGACGAAGTCTAGTAATTTTTTAATTTTTACAAGTGTTTTAAGTATAGAAAAAAATATTCAGTGCGCTTCAGGCACCACCGTGCTAATCAGAATTGTGCATGGTATACACACTTGGGTGCGTGATGTGCAGGCACCAGTAGTTTACCTTCAAAAAAAACACAGCTCTTTCTAGTCGAGCACACCGAATTCGGGTTCTATCAGAACGGGTAATGGGCTTTATGACCCGACCCATTTGTATACTGCACCACAATACCTTTTATTCAGTTTTCATCGTTGTATTCATTAATACTCGAGGCTTCTCACAGCCGCAACACTCTTCACAAAGCTCTCCACTTCCGGCCATCCGACGGCGTCCACCATAATTTCCGACAGTAAGCTCTCTCTCTTCCTCTGTCTTTCTCTCTCATAGACGCGTATTTAAAATCTGATATGATATGCTTACCACATACCACTTGAAAATTTAAGGGCAGGGAAGGTGAAAAATGTAGCATTTTTAGAGGTTAGTTTGTTGGGTACAGATTGGATTTCATTTAAAATTTGGATGAAAAGTGTTGAAATTTTAAACAATTGATGAGTGTGACCTTTGTCCCTATAGATGATATTATGATTTTAATGACCCATTTGAAAAGCAATTTTGCCATAGCACTCAGTTGATGACCTTTTCCCGATGATAGTTCATAGCCTATGAATTTCTTGTTACAGAGGGGCTATAAATAACAGGAAGGTTAGTTTGATGAGATTGTGTGATTTAGATGATAACAACATTTTGACCTAGGATAAAATCTGTCTAATTAATTAGTAAATCATCAAAGACATTATATAGTGAAGATTATAATGGTCTGTTTTCAATTATTTGTTTTAGTTTTGCTTGTTATGTTTTTTTATTTCTGACCAACATTCATATTGTTCTTATAATGTTAGGTCTGAACAACTTACTTGAATATGATTCTAAGCCAATGCTCTATGATATCTGGGAGTGCTTTTATGAATTATAGGGCATGTTACTCAGCTTCTGTGGGTGTGCCTTGCTTGCCCGCCAAAGTTCCATTCTCTAGCATTAGGAGTTCATGGGGACCTCGTCAAGAACCAAAATCGTCGTCTTTTGGAGGTATGTATTTGTACTTGTCAAGTTAGGTTTTTAGGTATAAAATTCATTTAAATTGCATTTGGTATTTTAGGGAAAAGAAAATTATAGTCTAGAAAGGGTTTTGATTTGGCCTAGTAATTTTTTTTTTTGGCAAGTTTGTGGTCTTGTGGACCAATGAGTTAGTATATGATTCTAAGAAGTGAAGCAAAAAACATTTCCTTTTCTGGTCATGCTACAAAAAGGCTGGTTGTTCATGCCTCATTTATGCAATTATATTTTGTTATATTGAATTATTCTGAATGCCACACAAATATGTTCTTGACCCAACCGGTTCTGGATATGGCGTACAAGCTTCAACAGAATTTTGCAACTGAAGACTTTGGAACAATATCCAGGAGACTTGACTACTAGATGGCTTCTTCCATGTTTATGTCAAGCTTGAACTAGAACCAATAAGCCTTAATTCTAACTCTGCTTGGACAAGCTTTATGGACGGTTATGCATGCCTCATATTCAATCTTCTGTCAAGGAAACAGCATTGCAAAGAAACATTACATTGATATCTTTTTGCAATGGTAAACACATTGGATGTTTTGCTAGAAAAAGATGTCTTTCACTCTTCTTCTTCTGCTCTTCCTTTCCTTTTTTCTTTTGGCTGCTTCAAAAGAGAATAATAAAAGAATTTATTGTTTAGAGCCTCATCCCAAATGGATTAAATTCTTCATATACTCGATTCTTCTTTTTAACACAATGATGCATATTATAACTCATTTAGATAAAACTGAACTTTGATAGCACCTTGAAGATTGTATGTCCTGTTTGTATTCCTTATTCATTGTTCTATATACGTACATATATGTATGTGTATTCTTGTGGCAGGACCGCCACTTCTGCAGCTTTCGTCTGCATCAACGCCGCTTTTTAGTGGTGATCAAGGGAGCTTGTCAGATAGAATACCCATGCTACCAAGGCGAGGGAGATCTTTTATGTCCCCAAGAGCATCGAAGGATGTCCCTTACAGTTTTCGGTATCCTGCAATGACCAAGAAGCCAAAATGGTGGTGGAGGACATTAGCATGTCTGCCCTATTTAATGCCCCTCCATGAGACATGGATGTATGCTGAGACAGCATATCATCTCCACCCATTCTTGGAGGATTTGGAATTCTTGACATACCCTTTCTTGGAAGCAATTGGCAGATTGCCAAGCTGGTTCTTAATGGCATATTTCTTTGTTGCATATCTTGGAGTGGTGAGGAAAAAGGAATGGCCCCACTTCTTTAGGTTTCATGTGGTGATGGGCATGCTATTGGAGATTGCCTTACAGGTGATAGGGACTGTAAGCCGTTGGATGCCGCTGGCCGTATATTGGGGTAAGGTTGGTATGCATTTCTGGACTGCTATTGCATTTGCTTACCTTTTCACGGTTCTGGAGTGCATGAGGTGCGCCCTTGCTGGGATGTATGCAGACATTCCTTTTGTGTGTGATGCGGCATACATTCAAATTCCGTATGATTAAGGAGGGTACGCATAGGAGTGGCAGATGGTACTTGCGTCACGTCTTTTTGTAGGATATGTTGTCTACTTCTTTAGTGTTTTTTCCCCTTTTTTGTTGAGTAAATAACTAAATTAAGTTCTTGAATTTGGCATTGCCCAGACTTGAACTGGAAACCAATGATAGGCTCGGCTTTTGGATGAGTTCTTTTTAATTTATGTAGTTGTTTTTGTACCCAAGTGATGCTTATAAAAACTCTCATTTGAAATTTCCAAGACTTTAGAGGAGTAGTTTATGTATACCGGACTTGATATTCCTTGTACTTGTGTCTCTGAATTCCTTTTCTCTGATCATATTGCATGCGTGTATGGGTGTTGAATGGTTCACAAACTAGGTGATATTTTTGGGCCTGAGCGTCAATGACTGAAATAGGTAACATTTCCACTATGCAACTCTTTATTTATTTATTAGAGTTCCTACTTTTCTGAATTTTTAAAATTTCCATTCCGCATCTGTCAGATTGAATAATCATCCAGTTGGATGGTTGAAGTGTGGGGCATTGGTACCCAACCCTAGGCTTGATGCATCTTCATCGTCCTCTTCTCTCTCACGCTATGGTAAAGGACATCATGGATTCATTGGAGTGTTCTTGTGCGCATCTTTGAGGTATACACGAAGTTTGAAAAAATATAATATTTATGTGTCAGATATCTCCAAGGCTTTTAGTTAAAGTGGTGACTTCTTCTCACATGTGAGATAAGAGAGTTTGCCACTATTGGCACTCTAGTGAGTGTGTAAATGTTAGTTACAAAGTATTTCTGAAAATATCTGAATATTAGCTTAGATTTAACAGCAGCTGAAATTTCATCTATGCATTTTTCCACAACTCGATACAGTTCTAACTCGAGAGAATTCAGTTGTGTGTCAAGAGCATCTTGCGTGCCCTGCGAACTCATGGATGGGCTAAGGGTTGGGGAGCGCATTATGTCTCTGTAGCATCCGAAGGTGTCAGAATAGGAGAGTTCGATTTTGGGTTGGATTCGTAGTTGTGGATCTTCTTGTAAACAAATATAATGAGTGAGACAATGGAGAAGATGAGGAAGAGGGAAAAAAATGTTGTGGCAGTAGAGGAAGTAGTCAGACTTGGTCATGAATAATAGGGTTTTAGCAGTGGTTAGGGCTCACCGGAGGTCGGTCTCCGCCGGGCAACATTGGTGGTGGGGAGAAGAGGACGTTTGTGAATTGTGGTATTTGGAGTTTATTTATGCGGGGTATTCACTAGTGGTGACGACTAGCAGTAATATCAATGCATTGAGTTTGAAGGACAGTGATGGTTGATGAAAATGAAATTGTGGTGCGATGGATGGTAGTGGGAGGTGAAAAGTTGGAGCCCAACATTGTGTGAGCATCTTTGCTAAACTAAAAAGCAGTCCATTCATTACATAAATGGGCTTAACCCAGAATCAAGTCTCGTGTGCAAGTAATGCCATTAACCAATCAAATGAAAACATATATGGTTCAGATTCTTTTGGTTTTTTAGACTTTTTCATTTGAGAATGACAATCAATTCTTTTAATTAATTGACTCAAACAAATCCTTTTAAAGTTTGAAACAGACATGTGAGTTCAGCTCGGGTTAGATGTGTTGGACAAATAAAACCCAAGCCGACGTTTACATTATTATTATTATTAGTCGCAGCAACAGTAGTAAGAACTAAAAAATCAACCAACTTGGAGATTAATTAGACCTTGACGTGAGCTCATTAAAATAAGTTAGTATCGGAACAAAGTTGGGATTGGAACCAAGTTGGATTGTGCTCGAGTTTGGTTCAATATTTTATACTTAATTGAGATCTGAGTTTATTTTTCAATTTGTTCTACTAACTTAAGTTGCACTAAGTTTGAAAAATTCATGTCATGTTTAGGTGTATTTAATTTGGGATTGAAAAAAAATTTAGTTCAAAATTTGTACCGAATACTAAATTTTCTTCAATCTCAAATTCAAGGTACCGATTCCATGCTACCAAACCTGGCATCAGTGAAAAGATACATCAAGTCAAGAATTTGTCTTAAAAAAGCATGAGAATTGAAATTAAAAATAACGACGTCAACCAACTTAAATTAAACATATGTTTATGTTATTTTATTAGGATCTCGTTTAATTGATGACGAGATACGACATTGTTACAATATAAATTTTCTCACATGTTGATCGATGACATGATTTAGATTTAGATATAGATATCTAAAATATAGATCTATAATAAAATTAACATAAATCTACTCCATTTGATATCCTAATTGCTTTGTTTTGTCACCATCACTTATGGCCCGGACTAGTGCTATGCCAAGCTTGTGAGTCTCTGAGCTCGCTGTACGGGCCAGCCCGACTTGGTCACTCTGCCCCTAAAGCTTGGTGAGAGCACGGAGTCGGGACCAATCAAAGCCCGACAGGCCCAAATGTGGGCCTGTGAGCCCGACAACTTTCTTTTCATCTCTTTTTCTAACTTTATACAAAAACTTTTTGATAATAATGTTTCCAATAATGTTTGAATTGAAAGGTGGAGTACAAACACTGTTGAAAAAATTTGCATCTAATTTACTAATAGAATATATGTTATTTGAATAAAATATAATTATTTATACAAAATTAATAATTAGTGGTTTCTATTCGATGCCGAGCAAAAACAAAAAATAGTTTAAAACCACACTATTTTATATTTTATGAATAAATTTATATACAAAAAGAAAAAAAATATTTGTCAATTGATTTTTTTTACCGACTAATGTTATTAAAATAAATACTGTGATTCTATTTTTATTATATTGACAAATTTTTTTTTTAGCCTACGTACAAAATACTACCTCCATAACTCGGCCCAGCCCACCGGGGGAGCCAGGCATTCTGTTGACTAGTCAACGCCGACTGGACCGGGCAAATGGTGAAGAAACTTTGGTCGTGTTCATTTCTGCCGCGTATAAAGGTCCCACTCCGTAGTAAAATGGCATTTTGGGAATATAACCAACTGGGCAGAGCATTTAAATGGAGAGCAAAAAACATTGAAAAGGGTAAAGACAAAGACGTTAACTTGGAAAAAAGCAGCAGTTAAAACGATTCATAGAATACACACGCATACACAGTGCACACACTCTCTCTCGTCTGAAGGAACCAACCCATCACAACTACCTGTCCACGAAGCTTCCTTCACGCCTTCCTTCATCTTCCTCCCTCTTCCTCCATTGCTCAAAAAACTTTTATATATATATAGACACACACATATACACCAATATATATATATGCCAGAGACAAATCATCGTCGAAGAATTCCGGTGAGGCACCGGAGAAATAGACAGCCGCATCCCTCGCCGTCTCCTCAACGGCGAACGCCACCGCCGGCGCCTCGGCGCTCATCGAAACCTTCGAGGCCGGTTAAGATCCTAAAGAGATGCAAGTCAGAGCCTACTTTGTGGACCGTCGACGTCGGCGGCGACGATCATCGGAATCTAAAGGCGCCCGACGACGCTGTGCTTTTCCGACCGCTTACTTGTACGGACATCTTCTCGGCTCCTGAGTTGTTATCTCGAACTCCTCCAGAAATCGAGGTAGGACCGATTTCTCTGGTTTGATTGGCTGTAGGGACTGTTTGTTTACGTTTATAGTAAATTAATGCAGTTTGGTCGATTATATCTTGTTCTCTCACATGACCTTGAGCTCTCACCTGTTAGATGAAGAGCAATTGATGCAAAAAATTGTACTGCAACTTTGGATGAGATTGTACGATCTATTCTAATTTTTAAGCCAGAATTTTATTTTTCTTAGTAATTTAAAATTAAATGGTCATGTGTGCATCTTAGGACTGTTTGGTTACGTTTATAGTAAATTTAACTTTTTAATCAATTAATTTATTTTTATGCCAAATAAAGTTAATTGCCTGCACCATTAGGCGGGCATGTGTGTTGTTTCACTGAAAGAAAAGTTAAATGAATGCCATTTGGTGTAAAAGGTGACTAACCGTCACCAAAAAAAAAAAAAAAAAAAAAAAAAAAAAAAAAAAAAAAATCTTATATAATGCAATGATATTATCTAGGATTCACACCAAAGTTTCCATTAATCATTTTGTTTGTTTGTTTGTTTGTTGGTTTATGTTATCAGTTTTACTTAATACCGATACCCTTTTTTCGTGTTATTGGTCTGGGATTACATGTTAAAATGCTTGAACAATGGAATGTGGTGGTTGGCTTAGGAATGTACATCATCATATGGATGAGTCCATAACCGACCTCTTAAAGAATTTAATGTCTTACATTTGAATTGCAATACCAATAGAAGCATGGTCCGTCCTAATAAATTCAATGCATTAAAGTCAAGCATGGTGAAGCGATCAATAAATTTGCTACATGTGAACAATTATACCTCATTATATGTGACATTACATTTAATACTAAATAATAGAAAAGAAATGACTTTGATAATTGTAATTAAATTCTGAAGGAGGTATAATGCGAAATTGGTTTTGTATTTCAAAAGGCTAATTATTACAATTCTGTTAAAAACGATCCAACATATCATGCATGTTCTTGTTTCCAGAGGTTTTGATATATTTAGTGGTTGGTTGGTCCCAACCATATTGCAAGCAAGTGGACTCACTTGACAATTATATAGTACTAGTAAATTAACCACTGCCTAAATGTCTAAATTTGGTGAGAATTTTGGCGTGCAGAGTTATAACAAGGATGCCAAGGTCGTGCTTAATGTGACAGTTGAAGGAAGTGTTGGTCCGATCAGGACTATGGTCAAATTGGGATCAAGTGTGGACGAGACAATAAGGCTCGTTCTTAACAAGTATGGCGAAGAAGGGCGGAGTCCTCAGTTTGATAAAAAGGCTGCTTCGTCTTTCGAATTACACCACTCATACTTCAGTCTTCAAAGTAAGTTCAGGATTTAGAGTTTCTTTTCAGTCTATTCCTTTCATTCCCTAGAAAATGAGGATAAAGAAGGGGAGAAATATGAAAGATAATCGAACACGAAATAACTTTTCATTAGTAATTTTTTTTTTGGAAAATTTGTTGCTACAATTTGGTCTTGGAATGATAGTCATAAGAGCCCAAATATTTTTTTTCTTTGTTTTCTTAAAAATGTCCCAATTTGTTTATGCCTTTTATAAGCAATTGATTACTTTGGTAATGTGTTACTTAAAGAAACTCTATAGGAGGCAATTGACTAGATATCTTGTTTACATTGCTAAAAGAGATGGTTGAGCAATAAATAATATGAAATCTTGACTTTAAGTAATAGACAATTGTCATATTGACCTTTGAAATAGTGACTTTGATGTTTAGGTATTGAATTTAACCCGATTAATTGGTCATTTCGTCTTTTGTTTATAAGAAACCCTGAAATTAATTGTTCTGGGGTGTTTGAAGGATAGCCATTTCTGAGAAATTGAGTACGTGCTACTTTGAAGGACAGCCATTTTTTCATCTCACGCCACACCTATGTTACCTAGAAATAGAATGTGAAACCAAACACCTAAACATCAAGGTTACTATTGCAAATATCAACTAGACAGGTCTAAAACTTAAATCAAGGTAAAATGTCACGCATTGTTCAACCATCTTATGTGGGCCCCGATGTGGAACCCACATGATCCAAGGGCTGAGCTTCCACGGTCAAGACTGCATATTGCATTGAAGGGCTCACAGTGATTGACACCTCACCTCACCGTCCAAAACTTTTTATATTTATGCGCGTGAAATTATGTAATGGTCGGTTCCTAACTTCTACTACATTCCCACTGGTATATCGTAGGTTTTTATGGAGTTGCGTATCTTAAGACAGACTTTTAAATACTAGGTCCTAGATGTGCCAACAGGGCAACAAAAGATGGTTAATATAACTTTAAATTTGCATAGTCAATAAGTCCAGCAGGTAGCTTTCCTGTTAGGTCATAATCCTGTTTATGTCACCCTCAACTGAAAAAACTTCTCATATCCTCTCGGATCATGTTAAAAGTTGCTAAAATAACGTATCGAAGCAAAAAAGGGCTCACCAATTATTGACCTTTTCTGTGGTAGTGTGGCACGTCAACTATAGCGAAATTTTTGGATTACAACACATTAATTGACATTAAGTATAATGGTTTAAGATTTCATTTCTCTTTTTCTCCTAATTGACTTTTCCCTGAAAGTGAGGTAAAATTTAGAGAATGTCTAATGTAAATCCATCCCCCTTGTAATTTTAGTCCAAGAACTGATCAGATGCGAATACTTACCTCAGTGTCTTGTTTATATTATTTACTGAAAGGAATTTGTTTTGGTTTATAGGTTTGAATAAATCAGACGTGATCGGAGATGTTGGAAGTAGAAGTTTCTATCTTCGAAAGAACAATAGTGATTATAGCAGCAGCGGCGGAGAAATTGTACCTGCGGGAAGAGGAAGTGCTCCTCAACAAGCACAGCATTTTCTCTATTCCCTCCCAGGTTTAATTGCTAGGAAGATAGACAAAATTATTAGAAGAGCTCGTAAACTGTGGAATATGTTGGGTTGCTTGAATTGTGGTGGATGACCCGTGATGCCGCATCCATACTAGAGTAACATAAAAATATTATAATCTTGTTACTCTTCTCGACCACCTTGTTGTGTATTGGTGGCGGTCATTCCTTTTTATTTTTTCTATTATTTTTCTATCGACCATAAATATTCTCTCCTATACGTAACTTGTAAATACAACCTTGTATTATCCTCATTTGTTCTTGATCATCCACTTCATGAGAAAATTCTCCGTGGAAAGATCCTTGTTACAAAATTATAATGTCAAGTGTTCAAAAGTTTATTTGGGATATATGGTAAGAATGTTTCCAAGTTCGTTTGTATCTGTATGCCCGGTTCCCTCTGCCCCTTTCTGTGTATGTATGTGTGTGTCAGTGTGTGTAAGAGAGAAAGCTGAACCACAAGTTTTTCGCTAATTATGAACCACAAATTGAGTTCTTCTGTGGTGGTACTTTATGCTTGATAATTGGTTGAAGCACTTTTTTTTTTTTTTGGCCTGAACTTGAATTATTCCTACTAAAATCTCTCCAAACAGCATATATATATATATATATATATATATATATATATATATATATTTTCTTACTTGGTATTTATACATATTTGTCTTTTTTGAAATTTAAACTCCTGACTTTTTTTTTTTTTTCTTTTTTCCTTCTGACACTTAAATTTCTAACCTCTTTTTGAGAAGTAAGAAACTGATACGTTATGTCATTGACCCATTAATTATGTATATATATATATATATATATATATATATATATATGTTTCTCTCTATTTTCATAATTATACATCTGTAATCAATCATGTTTGCTGCCAAAATTGATGAGAAATCCTAGTTGGGCTAGCTAATGTTGGATGATCAAAGAATCCATCATCTTTAGTTGCGCTTGCTTTCTCATGGAAAGAGACGGCCAACTAACTGTCTTTTTCAACATGGTGCAGGCGCTTTAACGTGCGCAATGCAAGATCATTTTTTTCTAACATACTTTACCAATCCTAAAAAAAAATAAAAAAATAAAAATTATAATTAACGCAAATAAAATGGGATGTGATTGTGACCTATACAGGTCACAACTTCGAAGTCGAAAACAATCAATTTTGCCTTCTTCAAATTTTACAATAACAGAAGCCTAGTATACTAGGAAGTGATTATTTACTGGTCGCCATTGTTTTGTCCCTAAACATGTGGCATCCCTCTTCCTTAAAAATTTCCTGTGACCAAGTGCTAGCACTAAAGTCCTAAAAATAGTTGCCAATTCTGCAACATAAACGACAACCACACAAATAGACTTGACCATCGGCATAAACAACGGCCACTTCTTTCTCCAGTTGTATTTGCTTAGGTATTAGTGCCATCAACTCAAGGCTCGCTATTCACAATTTAAAAGAACTTTTTTAATTAGTATTCCTCCAATTTTAAGACACCTATGCGAATTCAAACAAATAGTAAGCACTAATTTGGTGTGTTTCAATAAAATAAAGTGGGGGCTAGTTTCGCGTAATTGAATGAAATAAAGTGGAAATGAAATGAATAAAAGAAGAGGGATACTAGTCACAGTCGCCTCCGCGACTGTAGAATCTCAGTTGCTAATTGAGGGATTGACGTGTGTGTTTTCTTTTCTAATAATTAATTACTATTTTTCTGCTAACTTCCTTTTAGATCTCTCATTCTTTTCTAATAATTAATTACTATTTTTCTGCTAACTTCCTTTTAGATCTCTCATTATATATAATTATTATACTAACCTTATAACTAAGAAACTTCGTAAACCTTCGCGATTTCATCTTTTTAAAATTTTATTTTTTAAAAAATTCCATATCTAAATGTTTGAAATTCCAACACTAAAAATTTTTTTTTATATAAAAGTACATATCTAAATATTTGAAGTTCAAATCTATATTTTTTTCAGATCCGTATTCTTTGTGATTTTTCAGATTAAAAAAAAAAATTATCATAAAATAAAAAGAAAAAAGTACTATAATTTTTTTTTCAGATTATACTTTTTTTTTTTATTTCATTTGATTTTTTATATTTGAAAAACAACCGAATACTTCGAAATAGAGAATAAGAATCTGATAGTACTTTTTTCACTGATATTTGAAACCTCCACGGTTCCATCTAATTTTAAAATTTTATTTTTTACAAAATTCCATATCTAAATGTTTGAAATTCCAACACTAAAATTTTCTTTATACAAAAGTCTATATCTTAATGTTTGAAGTTCAAATCTGAATTTTTTCAGATTCGTATTCTTTGTATTTTGAGTATTGCTCTGATTTTTCAGATTAAAAAACCAAAAAAAATTATCATAAATTAAAAAGAAAAAAATACTATAAATTTTTTTTAGATTATACATTTTTTTTTTCCATCTAATTTTATTTTTATTTTTTTATTTGAAAAACAACCAAATACTTAAAAACAGAGAATAGGGATCTGAAAAAATCAGATAATTTTAGAGAGGGAACCAAATTATAGTACTTTTTTCACTGGTTTCTGGAAGCTAGTATAGTAATTATATAGAATGAGAGATCCAAAAGGAAGTTAGTATAAAAATAGTACTTAATTATTGGAATTTTGTAAAAAATAAAATTTTAAAGTGAGATGGAACTATGGAGGTTTCTGAAATTTTTTAATTAGGATGCTAATACAGTAATTATATATAATGAGAGACCCAAAAGAAAGTTAGCAAAAAAATAGTAAATAATTATTGGGAAAGAAAACACATGCGTCAACCCCTCAACTAGCGACTGAAATTCCACAGTCGTGGGGCGATTGTGATTAGCATCCCTCATAAAAGAATGAAATAGGAATGGATTCCCATATTTAATTGCACAAAAAAAAATCCTATTTTTGTTTATATTTATATAAATATTTATATATGGCAGTTGGGAATGGAATGATCATTCCTTTAGTTAGAAATGGAATGAATTAGTGTGAATAACCATTCTTGAAGAATGGGTAAGAATCATAATTCTAACTTTAAAGTTAGTTACAAAACTAAAAATGAAAACAAAAGTATTCCATTACCATTTCATTTGATTTCATTTACTTACACTAAACATGGCATAAGATCATTTAAGTATGTGTTTAAAATCATTTGAGTATGTGTTTAAAAGTAATCTTATAATAAGATCAATTAAAATTTTAGATTTCTAATATGTTAAAAATCGATTACGGAAGAATTATAAGACACTAATATAATATATTTAAATTGAAAATGCAGTATATTATATCAAAATTATACGTATCCATTGTGAAATGCAAAACTTTTACATTAACTAGGAACCAAAAAAAACCCTAACATTATTACTGTGTTGATTGTATTATCCGTTTAATAGTAGTACGCAAGTGTTTCAACGTTTCTATTGTTAACTTGTTACCTTTAAAAATATATAATATATATATTTAAATGCTATCTTATTTTATTTTATTTTCTAATAACTATCTTGTTATTTAGCTGGTATTATCGTAATTACTCAAATTCCAGAGGTTGATACAGAAACTAGGCACTTTCTGCGAACTTTCGCGCGCCCCTCTCTTATGTACAAACCGACCTGATATAATATCTGAACCACAAGTCCACATCTATATTATGTGAATTTACATATACATATTATACATCTCTCTCCTCTCAATTCAATATTTTAAACTTTAAACATTTGTAATTTTCATTAAAATGACGTCTTCTCTGCAACCACGAACTCGCCGGCAAGACATCTTTGGCAAGAGTTTCACGGCTGCCGGAGGTGGAAATCCGCCGGCGAAATTCGACTCGCACTCGCATCCGGAACTCGTACGCCAACGAGGTGGTCTTATCACTGTTCCCCGTAATCTGCCTCCCCCGGTCACCGGTGCGCCAGGCAGACTAACCAAACTGTTGCTGAACGTCAACATCCAGACGAGTTTGGGGCCGGTTCAGGTGATGATGTCGCCGGAAAACACCGTGCGGGACTTGGTGCAGGCGGCCATAGAGATCTACGTGAAGGAGAAGCGGCGGCCGTTTTTATGTGAAACCGATCCTCGGCGTTTCGAGCTCCACTATTCGCCGTTTAGTTTGGAGAGTAAGTTCTCGCGCGATATTTGGGTTTATTTTGGTGTTATTGTTGATTTAGTATATAGGTCCTTGTATTTCTATTAATTTATATGTCAGCCTACACTTTTGCTTATATAAAGGAAAGAAGGGGTGGATGGAAAATAGGAGAGAGGAGATAAAAAAAATAAAAAATAAAAATTAGTTTTTTCTTTACAAATTTTCATTTAGAGATGTCTTGACTGTCCTCTCATTATTCAGTCAGTGCCCTGGAGTTTTTTTTCCCCACACACATTACTCACACACTCCACTTTCACATTACTCACACACTCCACTTTGTTTTTTGAAAGTTTAAATTTTCATCATTTACTTTGAGAAATAGATAAGAAGTTATGACTATTTGCACCGATTTGTTAATTACTGAACCGAATATTGATAATTGGTTTCTTTATACACAATACATGCAAATGGAGGGCTCACTTCCTTATTTATGCATAAATGAATCAATTAAAAAAAACAAGTCTGGCAATTCACTATAACAAATTACATACATAAATAATTAGGGCCCTCTACTTACACGACAAATATTCGGTTAGATAATTCAGTGCAATAAATCAGTGCAAGTATCATTACTCGAGCATAGGTATACCAAGGAGTTTAGTCTCTTAACTATTGCAACAATAGATGAATTAATGCTGATTTCCATAGGCTTTGAGCAGATCAGAGGAATTAAACAACATAAATCAGCTGATTAATTTTCTTGTGGATATATAGATCACATTAGTGTTTATGCAGGCTTGAAGCCAGAGGAAAAGTTGGCAAACTTGGGGTCTCGAAATTTCTTCTTGTGTACAAAGCCTAGCAATGCTGCGTGCTCAGACGAGGCGAAGAAGGCAGCATTATCTTCATTTCCATTCACAAGATTCATGGATTTCTTGCTGTAACTTATTGATTTCTCAGATGCTCCCCCAATTTTATTCTATGCCCAAACCACTTCCGTTTCCGTTTCCATTTCCATTTCCTTCTTATAAATATGTTGCTCACTCTGTCACAAAGTTAGTGTGTTATTGCTGATTTTGAAAATAATTTCAAAACTAAAAACAACAAATGAACAATTTAGCAAAGCTATTTTATTTTATTTTTACATTGATCATACAAAAAACCAACAATTATTTTTGGATATTTCAAAAAAGAATAGGGATATGTACCTATTTGACGTGCATATATATACAAACAAAAATACATTCATCGGCCTATGGCCTATGTAACTATGCAAGTATTGGAAGGAAAAGACCCACTTTATACATATATAATGTGGCCTGATGGAAAATAATATCTTATTGAATTAAAAAGAAAAAAGAAAAAAAAAAAAAAAAGTATGCAACATGATAAAATGATTTAATATGGGTCCTTTTGTTCATTCCAATTGCCTAATTAAATTCGAAAAAAGAAAAAGAAAAATGATATTTATACTCTTATCTTGGTTTCTTGCACAAAAAAATGTTGCAACAATTGGCCTTCTAAGAATACAAAACAGATGCAAATACATCATTTCTAAAATAGTTGAATATCATAATTCAAAGATCACCGAATTTTAAAAAAGCATTCTTCTAAAATTATTGTCATTATTCTTGAATAAATTTTTTAAAAATGGGATATGCATATGAATTTCTTTTTCCATATTAGAAGTCGTCTCTCCTTTAGTATTTAACTTTATAAAATCAATTCTAAAATTTTTATCCCATATTAATTTTGGGTGCCTGTGTCCATAGACTCCATTCCACCTAATTGGATCACACCATTTACAGGTATCACACATAATTTTTTCCTTCTATTTCGATCATGGTTTGCAATCGCATTATAACGAATTCGGGCAAATATTAGTATAAATCGGCCGAATTGACTAATTTATGAAAGTGTGTAACAGTATCGAACCTTTAAAAATTGTTTATGAACCGAACCGATATGACAAACCATAATTTTGATTTGGAACCGTATCTCCTATCATCCATCTTTAACATCTTTGCTTCCGCGAGGTGAATTCGTTTTCGTTACATTTTTTTATTTAAATTCATTTCTATCATCCATCCTAACATCTTTGTCTCGGCTAGCTGAATTGGTTTTCCTTACATCTTTTTTAAATCCACACTTTTTACCATATTATAGTTGGCCTAATAATTGACATGGTATGAATTGATTATTTTATAAATTAATAAAACCCAATATGATATATAATTTCTTTACCGAGAAAACTCGATATATAATACTCTTCGGTTCTTTAAAAAAAAAAATATTCTTTTTCTGAATCTAACTTTTTTAAGGTGATAGTTTTTTTTTTTTTTAAATTGGTAATGAATGAATTATTAATTTATTGGTCTACAATGATGTAATAATTTGTTTATTTTTTTTAAAATTTAATATAAAAAGATTAAATTAATACTATTAAAAGAAATTACATTTACTAGTACATTTATTTTGTGATAGTGGAAATGTGGACAATTTTTTTTGGAAACAGAGGAATAATATACTATATAGCAAAAGTGTGTGTATATATATAATCAGGGTGAAACCGTGAGAACTGAAAACTGAGAAGAGAAGAGGGTAGAGGAAGTTTTCGTATCACTCGTCTCTAATATTCAGGTATATTTACTTGATTTTACTATTGATTCGTTTCTTAATAATATTTTCTCGATTGCTTCATCTGTTTATCGGAAAATGAAACCAATTAAAGTTTTGAATCTCGAATTTTTCGTTACTTTGCGTTATTCTTCTCGTTTCCTCATTTTCCCAGCTGCCAAACGGAGGATATTTCATTTTTCTGTTGCTCTAATTTCCTGATACCCACTCAATTTATCTGCAGTATATTTCCAATTGACTGATATTTAGTTAGTGAGAAGAGATGGTTTGCTATGAGGTTTTTGAATACTATTATGTTACTTTATTGATTCCCTTCTAATGTTACTCGAAAGTTAGGATTGGTGAAATTGATCAAATTGCGGTGTTATGGATTTTAGGACGTAGGAAATTTCAATGCTTTTCTTACCTTTAAAATTGATTATGGAGGAGATTGAAATTTTAATAAATTCTTTCCAGCTTGAAGTCCTGGAGATTGAATACTGTTATGTTACTTTATTTATTCCATTGTAATGTGGAACTTGAAAGTTAGGATTGGTGAAATTGATAAAATTGAGTTATTGTGGATGTTGGCAAAGTAGGGAACTATACTTTGAAACATGAACCCTTGAAGCTTGTGGAATGCTACCCACCCTTTTCCCACTTAATTTTGGCTAATTTTGGCTTTCTTTTCATGTTAAATTGAATGTGAAGGATATTTAAATTTTGATAAATTCTTTTTAGCAGAATATAACATGATTATTCTCATTGATTTATGTTGCAGTTCAAACTTTCTAAAATTGCTGCTAGATCATGGTAAACGCTATCAAGGGACTGTTCATTTCATGGTAAATTTTGATTTTATGCATTACATTTATGTCTAGTGCTTATTGATTGGGTCTGTTTCTTCAATGTTAATGAATCACTTCTTGTGTTTTGGGGAAGTACTTCAAAGGCATAATTTGAGAAATTCCAGCAACTGCCATTGGTTCTTTTCCTTGACCTTTCTTTTTCTTTTTTTAACATGAAGTTGTGGAAGTTAAAATTAGTCAACAATCATAAGAAGGAATTTGACGAAGAGCAACTGATAATAGTAAAAATTTGACACTAATAAAAAAAATAAATGGCAAAATATTTTATAGCCTTGGGTTTTGGCTGTTGGAATTGACTCTATTTTTACTTCTGCATCTCTGTGTGTATTTGTTTGCATGAGCAAGCATACTTATGTCTTGGATGCCTGGTACAATCATCCATTAAAATGTTTCAAGTTAGAAACATGATCTTTCATTTGTTGGGCAATCAGAATAATGATCTACTATGTGCTCACACGCCTTGATCATCTTCATGAAGCATCTTTTGTGTGACTGACCTAACTGTCCTAATGAATGTAGGATAAATAAATTGAGTTGCCTCGCTGTGCATATATGTCTTAAGCTTTATCGCTTTTTATGTAATTATTAATGCATTGAATGACTGCCAATCCAATGACCCAATTTGTACCAACGGAGTTTCATGGGTTTCATTTCATGCCTGTGTTATAGTTTTCTCTATTCTGATGGCATCTTTGTTTTTTATTCTTTTTAACATTCCCCTCTTTGTTACTTTGACAATCTGCTCGCGCCTTCTTGCAGTGACGTACCCATGGCACAGTTCATCATCAACTTGAATGCTTCGCTGCCTACATCACAGAAGTTCATAATACATATCTTGGATGATACTCACCTTTTTGTGCAACCCCATGTGGCTGAAATGATAAGAAGTGCCATTTCAGAGTTGAGAGACCAGAATTCTTATGAGAAGCCCAGTTGATGTAGTTTTTTCAAGATATCCTCCTTCATATGCTAAAGATGCTATGAAGCATGTTGCTCTCATCAAGCTATATTTCATACCACTACTTTTTCCAGTTTGTTGTTTCTCTTTTTCATTGTACAAGTCACATATTACAATTTCTCTTGTTGAGCAAGTTGCTACTTGTTAAAAGTGACAGGAATTTCCCCAACAATTTTCAATCCAAATAACTTCTGATGAGGAAAATTTTTCATAGTCTGTAATTGAAGCATGATTTTGATGGAATTTTATGAAGTTTTCAATTATAAGAACTTGGTTGCATATTTTTGATAGTTTGGTTATCTTTACTGATCCTGTTGTTTCATCTCTGACTGTATATTTTACCATTGCTGCATCGAGCGAGTGTTTCTGGTTGGCAGCACATGGCGGGTATGAGATGCTATTAATTGTAATATGGGGGGTGGGGGTGATAAGCAAGCCAATGCGAAGTTGGATGTTGAATAGTGCATAGATTTTTCCTCCATTGTCTTGATCTCCAAACAATAGCATTCTCACCCATCAAAGACATATTAAAGTGGGTGGATTCTGGAAAAATCATTTCCAGAAGATCTGTGTTAGGTGTCATCGCATCATCCGATTTGGCTATATTATCTTTAGAAATGTCAAGGCCTTGTATAAAACTACTTAACCCTTTATGACTACGTTAAATGCTAATGAGTTACTGTATAACTTGGTTACTAAGTATTTGGGTAAGAGGTTTAGACCCATATAAGGGGCTTATTCTGTGTGTGCGCGCGCGCGCGAGACACTGTGAGCCAAGTTAAATGGTGGATTTTTTCCCTCATCCATGTCCCCTCAATGTTAGCGTGAAGTTTCCTCGTGTGTTGAGCAATTTCCCACCTGATCAATTTATTTCTCATTTTTTTAGTAAGAAATTCATTGAATTATTGGGTTGTAGTATCAGGTATGTGTTCACTGGGCAACATATAGACGAAGAGTTCACCAATCAAATACTGGCAACAATGCTCTATCTTGACTTTGTCGATTCTTGCAAAAGGATGTATACGTACATCAATGATCCCTGTGGAGATGTGAGTCATTCGAATATCAAGTCTATTACATACTACATAATTTGATTTTTTTTCTTTAGAATATTCTTTATGATCTTGTTATTTTCCAGCTAAAAAGATGCACCATTTTTGAAGCTCACTCCAAGCATGGCTGCATGGGTATCTATGACACAATGCAGAGCTTGAAAAGTCCTGTTGGCACCCGCCTTTTGGGCTATGCCTATAATTTGGCAGGCTTTCTGCTTGCAGCTGGGGAGAAGGTAAATAATCTTTTCTAGGGCTGATAAATACGTAGCAGGTAAAATTTTACTTTTGAGGATAATATACAAGACATAGTGTGGGAGTTGGACACACCATTTAAAGCATTTGGCTGCTTTAATAGATAACTAACGAATATAAAGGAAACTTAATCTATTATATTGATAACAACTACCTATCGACTTCTTTTAGGGACCTTTGTACTTTTTTGGTATAAATCTGATAGACTGGATGTTGTGATTACTGAATTACTCAGAGATTGTGGTCTCATCCTTCAGCATTATTATTTTATGCTGTAATTATTAGATTGATGAATTCTTACCGTGCTTAATTTTAATGTGCAACACTCCCTTACTGTGTACGTACTACAAAAAAATGAAATTTGAATTTCTGATCTATCATTTCTGTCTCTGAACCTTTTGTGCTATGAAGGGAAATCACTTTGCAATGCCCCTTTCAAAAATGTCCCTACAGTCTCCTCGTGGTATATATCATCATCATCATAGAAAATTTGTTGTAAATAAGCTTCCTACTGCACTTTTTTTCTTTACTTATAGTTTATATATGGATGTGTTTCTTTTTGCAGGCTAATGACATTTATCACAAACCAAATGAGTTTCTCAGAATCAGAGGTTACCTTTGGTTGTCATTGAACTTTGTGATATTTTTCTGATTGATTAGTCCACTATATCTTACCCTTAATATGAAGATTAACAAGGACTTAAGCTGGATGAAGCGCTTCAATGCCCAGGAGGCTCTGGAATATGGGCTCATTAATAGGAGCCTCCTGTATCAAGGCAGACGCACCGCGTAAAGATGCAGGCACAGGTCTTGGTTAAAAAATTTGTTATTTGTGCACCACGTTGGTTGCCAACTGTGATACATTGAGAATGATTTGTAGCATTATGCATTCACTTACATAATACGACTTCCATTCAGTAATTGATGCGTATCTTTTGTGATCAACTGATTAATCTGAAATCAATTAGTGTCATCGGGGCTTCCAAAAACCATTATTTTGTCTAAAGAATGATTTATTAATTTGCAGAACTGATTGCATTTGTTGTGGTGGTAACTAATGTTCCAGTTGTATTTAGATCTCCAAGGCCCATTACCGTATGAAATACTGTTATTGTAGTCACATGTTCTATTGTTTATATCCAAATCTTTTGTCATAAATCCATAGGCTGGTCAAATGGTGGAGAGTGTTTCTCTGGCTTAGAAATTGCATTCCTGATGTAGTAATATGGCGTAAAGTTAAACTGTTCCCCGATTCCTTTCATTTGGAAGAACCTATTACTGCACTAATATGCTAGATATTTATATTGCTATTGTGAGTTAATTAAGTGAGGGTGCAAAAACAGCACAAAGTGGAAAACAATAGCGGCCGAAGTATAATTCATCTTGCTTCTTGTGGCATTTGCAGGCCTGAACACCATTTAGAATGAAGTGATTTTAACAAAAGTAAGGGGAGAGTGATTGGTCTTTTGGTTTGAAGTTTCTGATTCTTTATGTTGCAATAGAGATATTTGAGTTCATTGTGGGATGTAGCATATGCAAATTTTATAGTAGTTTCCTGCGTACTCAAAATTTTCTAAATTTAGGATCGATTTGGCAACCACTTCACCAGTTAGGCACTTCTATATGCTCACTAATTTTTAGACTTCTGATAATACCCCTTCTACTGAAATATTATCTAAGAAATAATATGATTCACTAGTTTTCTTTGGTAGTATATCCTTCGGAGAATAGTTTATTTTTTTTCTCAAATCTAAAACAAGGTTGAGCATACCCATTTATACCCATGTCATTTCCCATCTGGATCCGATGTGGGACATGTCTCCCCTTGTAACATTCTTCCTCACCCGAACTCGCAACGCCCTCGTTGCGGTTGGGCCACCCTGCCTATCCAGGGTGGTTCACCCGGACGCCTTTCGGGCCGGGCGCTTGGCGTGGCACCGGATCAAAGATTGGGTCTGGCTCTGATACCAACTGTAACGGGTAGGCGCTTGCCCATTTACCTAAAAGCTTGAATTTTTGGGTAGTGTTGCATACTCACCTATTTATACCCATGTCACTTTCCATCTGGATCCGATGTGGGACAAGTCTCCCCTTGTAACAATAGTACAGTGGGAATAACAAAACATAGTGTTAACTCTCGAGGACAAAGATCTATTCTGAGAACAATTAAACAGAACTGGTATAGAATTTTAAGTATCCATAAGAGGTGATTTGGTTTCCCTTCAGCATGGAACTGAACTGCTGTGGTTACGAATTTTAGCATTCGGTTAAGGCTTTAAAACCTTCTTAAGGTTTCATTCTTTTCCCACATGAAAGCTACAACAGAAAACTTAGTTTTAATTCAATTGACATCAAATTTGCTTATGAAAATTACACAAATAACAAAACTGTATTATTTATTAATGAACTAGTGTTAACAGCAATTCCTTTGCTAAGTATTATTGTACACACATTTGATTGTCCCTGAAAATGGACGCATCTTAAGAAATAAAACAGAAGGCTAAAATTCCCTACTAAAAAACGGGAGCCTAAATTTGAAAAAACTAATAAACACAATTACAACATATAGAAGATTGAAACTTCGACATTATCATAGACAACTCCAGAGACTAGAAATGGATTATGGTTGTACTTTATAGTTGTTGTAAAGGTTGTCCCTTAACAATTCTTCTCTCCATCCTGTAATGACCTTTGTGATGAATTCATCAATCCTGCTCTCCAAATCATCATGTTCTTCATTGCTATCCCAGCCAATCTCATCATCACTGCCATCATCATCGTCGTCTTCATCATAACCATCATCTGAACCATAATAATATGCATTATCATCATCATCATAATCATCATAATCACAATTGCTTCTGTGATAGCTGCTGTCATCATCATTAGGTCTGTCTTTGCTTTGGGCTTCCTCTTCCTCATAATAACCAAAGTGGAGGAAAGGTTCTGCAAATTCATCCATAGATGGTTTAAAACTTTTGGCAAAGATGGCAAAAGTTATGGTGTTAAACATTGTAAACAAGAAAACACGATTAGATAAAAATCCAAGAAGGTCGAGATGTGGTGGCAAAGAGAAGTTCAAAAGTGCAAGAGAGGCAGCAGCAGTTAGAAAGACCACTATGGATACCCCGACTAGTTTCATGCCCTGTGTCATGTACAATATAGGTGATGTTGGTTTGATATTGTTTATTATAGGAGGAGTTATCCTTTTTATAGGGTTGATTGAGTAGATTTTCTAGACAAAAGGTGTTTTCTGAGAAAAGTTGTTTAAAGTACATGTAGTGTACAATGGACATTGTTTTGATTGGTTTATTTTGTAGAAGTTAAAGCTTACTTTCCAAGCATGGACTGGGAAATTGCCCAGAAACTTTTGGCCTCACTCTTTATTCTATTTCCCAATAGAAAAGTCTGAATAGGGCTGGAAATTTTGACCTGAATGTAAATTGTTCATACTTTAGACAGATCCCATTTGGATAATGGGTTCATTATTACATATTTGTATCCTGGTGATACTTGGATTACCAAAATCCAAGCTGATGCAATTGCAATCCGTTGATGGATTTGATTTAACTTGTTAATTTAATATGTTTTTGTGTGAATCTATTGGTTTTTTTGGGGGACTTTGGCAGCTCAGTGACTCAGTCTGGTTTGAAAAATCTGCTGCAGAAGCTGTCACTATGTAACTTCTTACCGTGAAAGCTGGAGTTGACAATGAAACCTCCCTGGATTTTGGTATGATTTGAGGTTAACAGTTAGAATATTGTTGTTGGCTTAACTAATAAAACGTGTTGTTGTCATTGACCAGGTCGTTGGCAATTGTATTAAGGAAACAATGAGCAATACTCAACTTAGTCTGTAAGACATTCTTGAAGGTCTGACCTCGAAAGCTTCTTTTTTGCAAACATTTCCAAACTACGAACATTTGGCAAAAGGCTTGGTCATTGATGTATGTATATACACTGTTTGGAGTTAAGCCCTGTGTTTCTAACTTTGTGTAATTTCTCAATTTGTGTGTGTTGGTGTTGAAGTATTGATATAGACTGGGGAGCTGACTTTAGTGGTGGTGACTGTTAATGATTGGGATAACCCTCTTGTCACTTTTAGCATTAAAGAATACCATATCAGAAAATGATAGTTTAGAACTTTTTCTAGTGCAATAGGAAGGTTCCTGTGACTAGTGGTTTTAAATATGAAGTTTTGAGTGTCTATTATCTACTATAAAATAACCACAGAATGTGTGTACCATGGTGGTGGTCCTGTGAAATCTGCAGTCGTACAAGTGGTGGTGTTGGCAGTATAATGGTGTCTTTCACCGATGTGACGGCATTGGCGGTAGGCATGGTAGTTTTTAAGGTGGTGGTGGTGGTGTAATTTTTGTCTTCGGTCTTTAGATAAAAGTATTTGCCGGAGGATTTGATATTGGAACTCTGTGTGAGTCTCTCATGGTTGGTCTTCCTCTCTCATTGGAAACGATTACTCGCCCTTGCTGGTTTACTAGTGAAGATGTTAGAGAGAATGGTGCATCCTAATAACTCACTTTGTTCAGTCAATTTCGAGCTCAAACTTAAACCTATAAAATCAGGATTTATAAGGAAAATAATAATTATTATAAATCTACACAAGTTCTATAAAACTGAGCATGCTTGCAAACCTTAACAATATTGTTCATTATCAAACGGCATATTCAAGCCATGAATTGTATAGACTAGGTGTAAACCGTGTAATAGACAGGATGTTTCGCGATCCGATTCAAAAACTTTGCTAGTTCAGATGGGAGAGAATGTAATAAGAAGAATTTGTCCCACAGTAAACCTAGATGAAAAAGTGAATAAGAATACTAAAGTTCTAGAACAAGAAAGTCGAATTATATACTTTATTCCATACAAACTCTTTGTTTTTTTTGTTTTTTTTGGTAGGATCCGCTACAATAATGAGATATGTTATATATTGATTATTATCGAATTTATTAACAACTAAGTTAATTTGTTTCGTGACATCTTCACGACTTGATTAATAGCCAATTGAGATGAAAATCCAGATGTCCTTTGACAGTGACACCCAGGGCGACTTTATTGAATTTAGCTTTCACAACCTGGATTTGCTTTAGAATACTCCAACCGGTACCTTTTTCAAGCTCATCTCTCTCTCTCTCTCTCTCTCTCTCTCTCTCTCTCTCTCACACACACACAATCAGAGCACCAATCTGATTTGAAGAGGGCGTGTCTACCGCCTTCCAATCAACAATTCCTCTCAGAAAAAGACATCAGTGCCACCCATATAATACGAGATTTGCTTTTTAAAAGACGACCCATAAATGGGGCTCACTATCTCTCTACACTGATTTTTTCCACCCTAATTTAGCAAAGATAGCAGTATTAGTATCTTTCGTCTCTAAAGACACAGCACACTCCTTTGTAAAGCAAATGTCATTATAATTCACTCGCTGAAATAATCACTTCACCATGTGCACATGTTGTCTGGGCATGGACACAAAAACACACACATTCACCAATATGTGTTGTAATGGATTGTACCATCATAAAAGAGAAGAAAGCAGTGTAGAAAAGGCATTAGAGAGAACTTGAAAATGTTACAATGACACCAATATTAAAAGCACAGTACATAACTCACCCGAAATGAAACTCCAGGGGTAAATAATACACCGAAATATTCTACAAGACAAAAGTAGCTGAAGAAGCCTTCCTAATGTGCTAGCTAGTTGAACTACAACATGGAAAGAACACAAACGCCCACCAGAAATCAATATGCTGGTACAAATAAACAGTAATAAGATTACAGACACAAACAAACAAGTGAGATTCATCAATTGGAGTTTTAACTGCCAATGTGGTCAGTTACAAACCTCGTATTGCTAAATCTGTTGAGGCCCTCAAAATGTTAACCAGGCAGAGTGACATTGATATCAGTTGGTTTACTCCTCAAGTCTGGAGGCAGTTGACCAGTTATGAAGAGAGATTCCGTTTTGGGGTAGCTCAAGTGCGCTGCCCCTGTACACCGTATGGCTCTTCCATCTCCGCACTAGAAATAGGAATGGCAGCAGTTGGTGTGGCAGCTATTATGGAGTCAGTTTTCTGTTTCTTGGGCTTTTGCTCATGTTGGTTGCCCGCTAGAAAACTCCCTACAACAATCTGATCCAAAGAAGAGAATTATTACAATTCTTATCATCTTATAATTTTAAAGGAATAAATCCCCAGTTAGCATTACCAATTGTGCATGCACTTTACCAAGAAGATTTCCTAGAAGACCATAAAGATTAACCTTGGGACCAAAAGATAAAGAATCCATACCTGCACAGGGCCGGCAGCTACTAATAAGCCAGCAACTCCACCCCCTACAACACGTCCATCTGGGCTAGCTAAAGAAACACTCATGCCACCAGATCTGTTTCTTATTCCACCACTCTCGGCTGGCATAAACGATCCAGTCAAGGAGAGTATCTCGAAACGACCCTGAATAACAGCGGGAAGATAGGGTATTTAAGTAAATGATTACCAACAGAAAAGTTGACGGAATTATAAGCAACACCTTAATGCCATAATGAAGGTTTATCTTTTAAAATGTTTCAACTCCCTATGGAATTCAAATGATAAACGGTAGAACCTTCTGAACAATCCAATTTCTAAGTAAATTCTACCCACGTAACAAGGATTAGAATAAAAATTTGAAGTTACATGAGCACTTAAAAGGTAACACCAATTGTGAAAAGATGTGAGACACATTCTGTACTAGTTTAGAAATAGCACCATGGTTAAAGTGAAAGAACCGAGAAGCCAAAGGCCCAAAGGATTAGGTGAGGTAGCAAGATACCTACAAGCTTATGATAGGAAATATAGATTTAGAGATAACAGATCTTTGAAACAAGACCGATCTAGCCAATTTCACAAAAATGTAACGAGGCGAAGATGAGATACACCTCCATAACTACCCCAACAACCATTTGGTTGATCACACAATTAACACCCCACTTTAAGTCATTTGTCATGCAATTCATACCCTCCTGATTATTCAGGTCTTAATTGAATGCCACCAATCACATCCTTATGCAAACAAAAACAAAAAAAATCACATCCTTACAGATTGCCCAAGTTACCACCTTTATTAAAGATACTTTTAAAAGGATTTTGTACATGACAACCATCTAAGTCAATTCAAATATTTTTTCTATGCATTGGACTAGATTTCATCTTTGGTACATCTTCTGATTTGAAAAAACTCCATATTTGGCAAAAAAAGTAGGTAGTAGGTACATTCAAAGATGATAAAGATGCTTGTAAATGCAAAAATAAATAAAAAATAAAAAATCGCATAAATCCAACTTCGGAAGGGATTGAACCTACAAATCAAATCGCTACAATTTTATAGTCAATGTTTTTATGTGAACATAACAATTTCATTGGAAAAGACCATGCCTTAGTATAATATACACTATAAATTTTTTACTCTGCTTTTCTAAACAAGTAGAAGAATTATGCTACTGGGTTAAAGATTTCTATCTATAAATATTGGTGGACCAAGTTCTTTGGAGATGAAAAGAAATAACATATTGATGTTTGTCATCACATATTGATGGACCTTGGTCCTGCATATTGGAGAAAACAAGCATTTCCACTTTTAAATTGAACTGAACAGAAATTAGGTCAATCTGTTCTAATTTGATTTTTATATCTACATCTATAAAACATCGCATTTGAGAAAAATGCCAAGCACAAAAGATAGCATCAGGAACCATAAATGACATTTGTACAAGTCTTCCAATTGTACCAACATGAATGCATTTTTGCAACATATTTACCACCATTAAACAGTAAAGAAGTAAATAAAACATGTACTGAATGTGAGAGATGCTCCTACATGAGGGAAATTACGTATCTGGAATATTTTAACAAAAGTCTACTTTTTGGCTCATAATATATATTGAATATTTTGACAAAACTCAAAAGTTATCATTAAAAAGGTCTAAATTATTCCCTTCACTGATATACAATGGTAATAGTATTACCACATTTTTATTGGGTTATTCATTTTTCAATCAAAAAAAAAAAAAAAATTCAGATATGTAACATCATCATCTATACAGTTATGCAAAGAAACATCCAAAACTCCTCATAAATGAGATCAAACACAACTATCAAGAAGATTGTTCTTTTCAAAAAGGATAAATATTAAATGCAGCACCTCATATGTCAAAGTACCCCCAGAAGAATCAGGCTGACGAAGCGTAACACTTGAAATTACACCATTTGCAGAGAGAATGCATATGGCCCGAGGCCCTTGTTGAGAAAATGATATAACCTTCATGGTAACATCCTAAAACAAGCAAACGGATTATTTTCAGTGCAGGAAATTTCAACTTAAATGTCTTTAAAAATAAGACACATGGTGATAGAGGGTATTCAGAAGAGGTTAGTACAATCCTTATTTGGAATCTTCTTTATATGTGCCCCTTTTTGGTCACATTTACTTTTCTTAGGATATGATCAAACTATAAAAACAATAAGATGGAAAGCAAAGCAACATATGGTTCAATTTTACTTTGAGTAAACCTTTGATTTGCAATGTATAGAGTCAAAGATGACAAGTTTTATGCATGAAAATAAAGTATTAAAATTTAGCCAGGGGAATTCAAGCAAGATGGTGGTCATATACCTTCTTGGCATTTATTTTCTTCGCCTCCAATCAACAAAAAAATAAAAAGAAAGAGAACCAAAAATTATATTTGTTTACACTTCATAGTAAATTAGTAATAGTTGGTAAATCATATATTGATAAGAAATTAAAATATCCATAAAAAGGGAAAGGAACTTGATGGAAGCACAAAGAAAGATTTGAAAATTGCTTTGTGTGTGCATGTTATCTAATACCACGGGATGAAAAGCCCAACGAAATTTCAGAACCTCAATGCAGGATATATTTGTGTGTGCATGTTATTTCACTAAAAGCCACAAGTTACAATAACATTTACCTCTCCAGAATTAACAGTTATAATATGGGGGGTGAAATTGGCACCAACAGAACATGAAACCCAATCACCTACAAAGAAAAATTGAAGATTAGTATATTCCCATTCTGCAATAAATTATTTATTGCCTAGTTAACAAACAATAGATAAATGCCACAAAATTAAGCAGTGAGATAATTTTAAGGAATCCTAGAATCTATGTTTCCTCGTGAAGTTTGCATCTTCTATATTTTATGACCAATGGGTAAATCTGGACTACAGATCATCATTTATTATCATAAAACAACCACCACATCATCACTATAACCATCTAATCCTTTAAAAATTACTTCTGTCATTTTATCTAGGAGAATTTTCCATTAATCCCCAAAAACAGCCCTATTGGTTAATAGAAAGCCCAAGGATTATCACATACTAAATTTCCATAAATTGTTGTAACTTTTATTCTGTTCCTCCTTGGTTAAAATAATTTAATTAAACTGATTATATTAATATATTTTGTTATATTATGTTGATGCAAATTGGTTTATTTTTTATGCATGTAAAGCAAAGATGAAAAAGTGGATATTTAAATGTTAAACTGATAGGAAATCAGTATGAACTTCCAGAAAGAAAGGTAAAAGAATGTTCACTCACTCACACGCAACAGATTCAATTTGCTGTAACATATTGACAGTGTATCATGCGTCCATCCCAAGTTTACATCAACACTTACACACAGTAATATGTTGGCCAACTTATATAACCATATTTATATTTTGGCCCAACTTATATATATAACCATATTCCGTCATCTTAAATGGTAAATAATTTACCGTTTATAGATAGTTCAATCTCTTAATTTTATGCAGGACTTGTGAAACCGCCAGGATAGAAAACTAGGAATTTTCAAACAAAGAACAGTGTGCTTCTTGATATCCCCTACTTCAACTATGGAAGTATTCAGAATAATGGCTATGAACAAAAAAGAGAGGAAAGGGTAGATGGCAAAACCACAAATTTCGATGCTCCTCCATGACGCATTCCGAGTATAATGCATAACATATGTACCATACAAGTTTCCTCCTTTTGACACACTTGGTAGTTGGTAGAAAAAATCAAGATAATTAACGAAACACAAAATGTAATTATGAAGACCTTTTGATCGATATAGTTGCTCCTGATAGACCAATAAATACTACTTAATATCAAGAATAATATCCAACAATACATGTAAAAAACAAGTTCATGCATTTTTTGCTACCCAGCAAGCCTTCAACATTTTTCATTATTTACCGAGATCTGATTACAGGTTTCTTATTTATTTTTAATTTTTTTTCCGGAAGGGATTACAGGTTTCTTTACCATTACCTAAAAGGACTTTACCAGGTAAGTGAAGATACCACCTTTGGTTCTTACTCTTCCCTGTTACCATCTTCCCCAAAAGGTGAGAAGTGTCAAAAGACAGTAAGAGTGAGTGCGAGAGCGAGAAGACGAAGATTCCCCAGTACCACACCAACCCAAAAATTCCACCTTACTTTCAGAACTACCCATTTATATCAAGATCTGGGTTGGGTCATGTAATCACAGGTCCCACATCTAAAACCAACATTGTATGCTAATAATGCCATAAATCCCAAAAGTATATCACACACAAAGTTAAACACTAAACAGCAATTCCACTACCAGATCAGATCAGTTAAACTATCAACTTGCATACCAAAAAAAAAAAAAAAACTGAACTTTAACTTTAGCACAACAACACAACAATAAAATTTTGTAAAGGGGTATAAAATATCTTTTCATTACCTAAATTCTCCAAATCCATCTTGGATTGTTGATGCTTGCTAGCTGACCCAGCCGGCCGGACCTTTCCCCGCTTATCGGCCGAGAAGTCGATCACGGCCGGTGGCGCTGAAGATGATATCGGCTTCGGCGAAAGCGCCATAGTCACTGACCCGTCAGGTCCATACTTCCTCGGCCTACCTCTCTTCTTCTTCACCGTTGTGACACCCGCCACCGCCGCAGTCGCAGTCGCAGTCGCAGTCGCAGTCGCAGCCGCAGCGGGCGGCGGAACAACCACTTGGGGGGTCACAGCCGGCGTTGATCCACTGGTCTGACTAGGGTTTTCCGTCCTAGGTGCGACATGGTAGTCCGAAGGAGCATCAGATGCCACCACTGTAACCCCACTACTACTGATACCTTCTCTTGCTTCCATACCCAAAACCCAAAAATAAATTCTATCAATTTCTCACCAAAAACCCATTATTTTCCTGAAACCCAAACACCCAAAACCTCCAATTATTCCTTGAAAAATTCGAGGAAAAAAAAAAGAAAGTAAAAAACAACACACCAAAAACCACAAAACCTCAAACCCCGAAAAATGTTAGAAAGAGAAAAGGGATTTAATTCAAAAGCTTGAAAATAACCAGATTACAGAGCAGAGTAAGATTCAAACTACAGCAAAACTGAGACTGTTAATTTAATATTTGTAGCTATTAGAAAGCAGAGTAAAACAAAAACAGAACTTTAATGGTGATGATCTAATTTTTTAAAAAAAAAAAATTAATTTTTGGTACATAAAGAGTGAGATTGAAGACAAAGATTGATTTTTCTTTGCTCTCTATTAAAGAGAAAATGGAAAATTGGGGGGTTCTGATGTTAAGCTAATTTTGGGTTGCTAACTTTACTCAATGTCCGAAATGGTGATTAAAAAATTAATACAGTGGGGGAAAAGAAAAAGAAATTAAATATTTGGTCATTAAATTATTGATTGTTAAAGCAGAGAAATTATAAATTTTAGTTAAGAAAATGGGTGGAGTCCGGTGGAAAAGAAATATATAAAAAAAATATTATGGTTGGGAAAAGTGATTTAGGCTGTCAAGGCATGGAGACAACCGCCCTTTAAAAGGATAGAAAAAGAAAAAGAAAATTATATATATATATATATATGTATATGTATATTGGTATATCTGTATACTCCTATATATAGATGGGTATGAAAAGCTACCATTTATTCAATACAGACATACTGTAAAGTCTGTGATATACCACAGCAAGTGAAATGTAGAATAGGAACCCTTGGGAAATATCATTGATACTTCCCAATTTGTTCTTCATTACTTGTGGGTATCACCAGACTCACAATTGCAAACAATCCTTTTTTTACTCAATGAGTGAGTGTCATGTACTTGACTTCAGTTCAATTCTACATCCCTTCAAGAATGGTTTGAAATTTGAAATTCAGAGAATGTTTTGTTCAATGAAAATAGTAATATTAAAAATTTGATAAACAAAAAATTATTAAGAAATTTAATTCCTGTTTAGTTTGTGATTTGAAAAACTGTTTTAGATAATTATAAAAGATAATTATTTAAAAATAAATTTTTAATAAACTGCACTATAGAGTTTTTGAATAATTTGTTGATTTATAATTATCTGAAAACATAAAATTGTGTTCTGGGTGATAATAATAAATCAAATAGATATTGCCATATTTCGTATTCAAAACTAATACACCAAGTTATAGTTTTGCTCTCTGAAAATATATATATATATATATAATTATGCTCAAAGTTTTTTTTTTTTTTTTGGTTAAAAATTATGCTCAAAGTTATTGAGGTGAAAGTTTCAAATGCAAGTGTGAATTGAGGTTGAAAGATGTGATGACTGTAAAAGCATCTATATGAGCAGTCATTAGGTCATGTTTATTGAACTCCTAAAAGTACTGAAGTTAGTTGAAGTAAAATTAAAAAATTGTCAGTGTGAGGTTGTATTCATTTAAGATTTTGTTGTACATGTTGCAGAGGATACATTTCTACCTGTTGTGATTTAATTGGTGGCATATCGGATTCTAAATCTAATTCAACTTGTCTCTACTCCATAGGTTATTGTACCGGTTGTATTTCTTGTTGCACAGGTGTAAGCTCTCCCACATAATCTAGGATTTTTTTTTTTTTTTTTTTGGACCTTTGTTTGCAACCAAAGACGTATTTCAGTGATTTCAGGAAATTTTAAATTACTACAAAGAGTTGTAATTTAGAAGTACTCTCTCACTTTTTAAAGTAAGAAAATTTTGAGTATTTGACAAAATGAGTGTGTTGGAGCTATGTTATCTCTCATTTTTTATAATAAAAAAATTTAAGTATTTAACAAAATGAGCTTGTTCGAACTATTTTATCATATGTGTTTAAAGCGATCAGAGGAATAGATTTAATTAGATTCGCAAGCACTTGTGATGAGAGAAGACAATTGATATTCTAATAAAAAGTTGATGTGATTATATTGACACAAATCACTTTTACAGGTGATTATGAAATTACTGAAACTTCAAATCACTGAGCGTTATATATAAACCAATGGTAATTGATTTCGAAGACACTCCAAATGAATACTCATAAAGTGCAATCTCGAAGGCATGAGAACTTGTTGTACCCTTTTGTTGGGTATGGATCGATTTGTTTGGGGGTAGCTAGCCTCTATGTTTTGTTGCACATAAAAATATCTTGATGTCACCTCTCTACTCTCCCTTTCTATTTTTTCTTGCTATTGTGTGTTGGCTTATTTTACTGTGGTTTATTTAATAAGAAAAATTAAGTTTAAAAACAAGTGAACAAATTAAACATATTCATCATCTCTTTTAGATTTTCACAAACACTTCCACATTTGTGCAATGCTCAAACATAATTTTCAAAGATTATAAATAAAATAATTTTAAAAACTTCTGTAAAATAAGTCATTTTTATTGAATTGTCATTAATCAGTTTTTTTATGAAGAAAAAAAAAAATTACATTTTTTTTTCTTTTTTGTATTTCAATCATCTGAAAAATTAAACAATGCCCTTACTGTATCATTCTATTTAACAAGAAAAGGTTTGACAGACCAATGTTAAACATAATTATTCATAAGTTATTTATTTAATATTCGAAATTGTGTGTTTAAACTTATGTGTAAAGTGATGACTCATATTCCAATTCCTATCTTTACATCTATTCATATGAGTTTATATGAAATAGTCAGATTTCTACTAATTAATAAAGTTCCTCTCCATTTACATGAATGGAAATATATTCATTTAGCCATGTCTCCTGGGACGAAGAGTGGTCTAACCCATGTCTCCTTAGTATGAGCAAAATGGAGTCCACATCCATGCTGATTTTAAAGTTGCACCTTTAGAAACAGAATTGCTTTTTATATCGATAAAAATGAAAATTTATAAATACATATTTTACAGAAGCAATCTAATATTTGATACATTTTCTTTTTCTTATAAGTCGTTATATATATATATATACACACGATTAGCAAGGACGGAGTCACCTACTTTGTCCTACAATAGATTTCAATTAGGGAGGGAGGAGGTTGATGCAATTGTTATGCTATGTAGAATAATGGATTATAGAAGCATAAGTGAGAAATTCTTACAATTATAACTCAACAAATGTCAAGAATAAAGAAGAAATTTGATAATTCCATAGCCAAAAATGGTCGCTTCACATTTCTATACATGAGTAGTCCCCATGGAGACAAAATGGAATCATTCCTTTGTCAGATGGTTTAAAATTTCTGCCCTTTTGTTGGCACCTAAATTAGTTATTTGGTCTACCTAGGCATGACATCATAGAATAATAGAGTTTTGATTGATAGAAAGGTGAAAGAGACATGATCAGATTCCATTTTAAGTTACGTTCGTAGTCTCTGTGACTATATTCAAACACCAAATATACAAGGCCGGACGAAGTAGATGACTAACAACGGACGAAGTCACCTACTTTGTCTTGCCAAGACATAACCAAGTTAGTCCAAGAATGATGCCTCACGGCAATAACCTTTATAAAGAATTCGTCTCGACCGTTCATGTGGCGCACATCCAACCAAGGATCTAAAGATATCAAACACAATAAATAGAACAGCCCTATGAAAATATCAGAATCCTACACAACCCATCTATACATTTCTTCGAATTTGTGCCATATAGACTTAGCTTTACATTTATGCATAACTTAGTTTTACTGTAATACATTTACATACTTTCTTAGTGTAACTCATAATCTTAGGTTTACAGGGTTTTAATTACATTTACTTGCTCTTATTATGTAGTTTATTCTTCACTTTACATTCCAAATTTGTAACAGGTTATCAATTAATAGTTCAACTTAAAATATAACTAGGTTCTTTTAACTTCCCAAGTTAATAAAGAAATGGTTACATTTTTTTTTAAAAAAAAGGAAAAAGAAAAATATATATTGTTCTTTACTCACGTGATTATAGTCATAACTCTCATCCAACACACTTCAAATTCAACAGTATCCTTTGGTTAAAACCGAAGTGATACGAATCTAAGAGAGAGTCATTATTGCTTCGCCAGTCATATTCAACACGAGAGCGCACATATACACTCACAATTATTGTAAATTAAAAGGAATATTTGTTTGGCTTTTCCTTTGACAAAAAATACAAATTTACGGATAACTGAGAAATTGCAAATGTACCGGAGAGAATATACTTATGCCAAACACCTTTGCTTTAGTTGCAAAACTTAGAAAATCGTAATAATGGCTCCACATCTATGAACAACTTTCCTATATGAGCAAATAAAAAATTAAATTCACATTCAAGTCATATGATTTTCTTATACGACTATATTGCTAGGTGATTACATTCAAAGATATGAAAACTTTTACATTGAGAGGAAAGATCTTATTGTTCTCGTCATATGGTTCTTTCTCTATTAAAACCCTGGATCCAGTTTATAGATCTAAGCTTTTATACTACTACTTTCAACAACTGGTAAAGGTACACCTTCTACATTCGTTTTATATACGACAAATATATATATATATTATCTTGCAACAAAGTTTTATATTAAACACAATATCAACATATAAATATTCATGGCACATCTATATTTGTGTGTGAAATTCAGAAAAGATAGTTCATATATACGTATCATTGAAAATGTATATATTTATTTTAAAAAAAAATTATCATATAGAAAATTAGAATGTGGATAGCTGCACTTGGTAAAGTAAAAAGCCTATCATAAATGTGATTTATTATTCATTCAAAAATGTTTATATAAAATAGGAAAATGTATATAAACGAATCAGTATATATTAATTCATTAAAAATGTATATAAAAAATAAAAACCTCATATAGTTACGTTTATATAGCAGTATAATCCAAATATTAATATTTTAATTGAGAAAACCGATAAAAAGGTATAAAAAATTCCTATAATATAATATCATATGTATACAACGCACGAGACTTGCACAAAGTCGCAATTGGAAGTTTGGAAATGTAATATATATTACATAAGCAAGTAGAGAGATTGTTTTCAATTTTAAACATACAATTGTATGTTGTAACGGAGCAAGAGAGATTATTTTCATGATGAATTTTAAACATACTGACTACAATGGAGCAATCTTATAGCCCCAAAGCCTTCCCTAATCATAGCTATATATTCACCACATTCCTAACCATTTTAAGTAGGAAATTAAATTGGAATTTTAAAAGTTTTTATTATTGTTGAAGCTAAAATTCTCCCGACCCATGAAGATAATGTTTTGGACAAAATAAAGAATTACGTTGCTCCGTAAGATACTGGTGTGGTGTCAGTCGACGATGCTCCGACAATTTAATACTTCATTAATATTTAATATTGTTTATAGTGTTTTCACATACCCCATTAATTGTCGGTCATATTTATTGTTGTTCTCGAGATTATTCACAAATTGATTGACATTGACATTGACAGAGTCTTCATCATATTTACCTCCTGTCTAAAAACGAATTATGCAGTTTTTTTGGTCTCATCACAAATATATACATGTATATATATTTGAGTCATCAAGTATG